GATATCATAAAGAAGACGATGATCGAAAAACTAATCTAGTCGTTTCGCTGTAGATATTAACGAAGACTATGACGAGTGACGACGGAAGACAAGATTTTGGTTGTCTAACAAATAAGCCCTAATTTAATTTTTATTTTTATAAGTAACAAAATGACTTATTTAAGACTACATCTGATAGTGTTAATCGTTAAAGATGAAAAATGTTATATGCTTTCAAATTTTGAACACAAATAAGGTCGCCGCGTCTATTATTGGAGTAAACGAACACTCCGGCCTTATTAGAAGCAGTTACATACTACCACGTTATATGTGGTCTATGTATTAAATGGTCTTTAAGGGCCACATATTACAATACTACATGAAAGCTAGCTATTTGTTGTGGAGTGGAGTTACACAATGATTTTATTCAAAGGCACATGTTAATATATAGATGCTACACGTTAAACACGCATGATATTATATATATGTTCCGAATTCTGAAAAAGTAAATCAATAATACAGCGATATTGATCATGCGTTAAATCATCCTATATATAAAATTAATTAACCAAATAAATAATAACACCGTGAGATAGATCGTGCAATGAATCATCCTCTATATAGTTAATTATTTTTGGTTTTTGGGTCAAATGACAAAAAAAAAATTTGAGAAATGATGATCAGGAGTAACTAAATAGAGTATCGAGATACAATCATGAATCCAAGAATTGTGATCAATGGTGAGAATAATCGTGAGTAGACGGCCTAAGAGAAGCTGCATAATGTCTCGATCGAATGATATTGTGGCTGGTTTGGCTTCCGTTCGATGCGGTGTTGTATTTATTTATGTCCAAATCGCATACAATGCTTGGAATATGAGTTTGAAGATGCGTTAAGAATTATAGGTTGATTTTGATTAGACGGCCATATCTAATTGTTTTTACTAAACAATAGTAGTTGGGTCACTCGTTAGTCGTTACCAAAATTAAAATAAAAAAAAAACACACACGTTCGAGTCACGTCGATATATATCCACTTATATATTGATATTTAATCGAAAATACGATCTGGATCTATACAGTACAGCACCAAAAATAATTAACGAGGCCAGATTGGCAACTGAGAGATCAAATCAGTGAATGTTAATCGCTATATAAAGAACCCCACTTAGATGTATAAGAACCATCCTATACACTTCTTCTCCTGAAGGAAACAAAAAACAACTAAAATCAAAATGGCTTTGCAAAAGTTTCCTTTCGTGGGGCTACTTCTACTCTTAACCATCATCGTCTCTCCGGCAACAGCTGATGGACCTGTTTGTCCACCGACGACCAAACTAAGTCGGGCAAGTTTCCCTGAAGGTTTTTTATTTGGCACGGCTACTGCAGCGTATCAGGTATATAATATTATAAGTTTTATAAACATTTCTTTACATTTATAAAAGTAAATGTCCTTCATTATATCACACATCAAACAACGTATATAATATAATAGAAAACTATGGTCATATAATACAAATAGTAAAGTAGTGGCGTTTCATATTATCATATACTATACTTTTAAGACGATTTTTGATACGTAAACGATATAGGATAGAAATATATGGCACAAACATATATAACACTCACCACAATTAGGGTATTTTGATATTTCTTTTTGTTTTCTTTGATAGTAATGTAGTCAAAGGTTTATCATGATATTTACTAAATTTTACTGTATATAGCAAATTAACCTATATCTTATATATCTTTTCCTAAATCCATCAACTATTTTCGTTATATCATTAGGTTGAAGGTGCAGTAAATGAAACTTGTCGTGGACCGGCCTTATGGGATATCTACTGTAAGAGATATCCATGTGAGTGTCTCTACATTTCTTATCTCTTAATTGTATTTTGGATTACTTTTTCACTAATAATATTAAAAATCATTGATTTTGTTCATTAAATTGAAATTACAGCTAGATGCAACAACGATAACGGCGATGTAGCCGTTGATTTCTTCCATCGATATAAGGTAAATAATTTAGTATAGATTGAAGAAATTAATTATCAACGTATTTATCAAGTAACTAATTAAATTTCCTATTATTTTTATAGTCCATTGATTCATATTCGTCTTGTATGAAAAAAATGCTTATAGGAGGATATTCAACTAATGAAGAATCTAAACACAGACGCCTTCAGAATGTCTATCGCATGGCCAAGAATATTTCCTCGTGAGTATATGTGCTAAAGATCGAGATGCACATTTAGCTTTCTATTCAATCACTAATTTGATTTACTTTTAATTGAGATTGGTGTTTTCAAAAAGGAAAATCATTGTTGAAATATTAATGAAGCTAAACAATATTATATCAGATGGGAGAATGGAGAAAGGAATCAGTCGAGCTGGTGTGCAATTTTACCACGACCTCATCGACGAGCTCCTTAGAAATGGTTATCTATTTAAATGCATATACATATATATATACATATTAATTTTAACAAAAAATATATACATATATACAGTTAGATTAATCATTTATATTCTCTAAACAATTTCAATTTAATATTGTAGGTATAGTTCCGTTTGTGACTGTTTTTCACTGGGACACTCCACAAGATTTAGAAGATGAGTATGGCGGTTTTTTAAGTGAAAGGATTGTGTAAGTTTTTTTGGATTTTTTTTTTTTGTTTTTTTGTAAAACCAATCCCAGTTTCTATATGCATATAAAACCAATATACAACGTGATAATATTTTGAATATCCTTTTGCAAAAATGCAGAAAAGATTTCCGGGAATATGCAAATTTTGTTTTCCAAGAATATGGTGGAAAAGTGAAACATTGGATCACTTTTAATGAGCCATGGGTTTTCTCGCACGCTGGTTATGACGTAGGCAAGAAAGCACCAGGACGTTGCTCTAAATACGTCAAAGAAGAATGCCAAGAGGGACGATCAGGATATGAGGCTTACCTCGTCACTCACAATCTCCTTAACTCTCACGCAGAAGCTGTTGAGGCTTTCCGACAATGCGAAAAGGTATATCATATATATAATAATAATTATGACAAAAAAAAAATATATAATAATAATTTATCGTCTTTCCGATTTGAAAAACTGTTTGCTTTGTGTTATGTTTATGGCCACAGTGTAAAGGTGGGAAAATCGGAATCGCACATAGTCCGGCTTGGTTCGAACCACACGACCTTGCTGATTCTCAAGATGGTGCATCCATTAACCGTATGCTTGACTTTATTTTGGGATGGTAAGTAGTTGATATCCTAATATCATCAAGTACTAAATATGTATCTTGTGGTTTTATATAGTAGTGGAAAAAAAAATATATATATATATATATAGTATAGAATATTTGAATTTTTTTTCTTTTATAGGCATCTAGACACAACTACCTATGGAGATTATCCACAGATCATGAAAGACATTGTTGGACACAGATTGCCTAAATTCACTACTGAGCAGAAGGCAAAACTGAAAAACTCTGCCGATTTCGTTGGGCTCAACTATTATACTTCAGTATTTTCAAACCATATCGAGAAGCCAGATCCTTCTAAACCAAGATGGATGCAAGATTCTCTTGTTAACTGGGAATGTAAGTTTTTTTTTTTGCCCTTACTTGAAAACCGGACCCAAAAAAAACAGATGCCAACAAATCAAAGTGAAAAGGTTTATCTTTGGTACTAATAATTCTATCTTGCTTTCAGCTAAGAATGCGCACAATTATTCCATTGGTAGCAAGGTATGCATTTAATTAGTCTAATAATGAATTATATATTTAGATTAATATTATAATTTTGTTTATAACGTAAAATCTTCACCTTGGTCGTATATCAGCCTTTCACCGCTGCACTGCCCGTTTACGCGAGAGGCTTTAGAAGTCTTTTGAAGTACATCAAGGATAAATATGCTAACCCGGAAATTATGATCATGGAAAATGGTAACCAAAAATTCTGTTATATCATCGTTAAGTACTCCTTTTTGTTCATTTTTTAAAAAACAAATGTAAAAAAAAATTGATCATGCATGCTATTCGTTTTTTAGGATATGGAGAAGAACTTGGGGCATCAGATTCAATTGCAGTTGGCACAGCTGATCACAACAGGAAATATTATCTTCAGAGGCATCTTTTAAGTATGCAAGAAGCTATCTGGTAAGTCTTATATATTCCTTTTTTATATGATAGACTAGCAATATTGTATTGGAGAGTTAATAAAAACATTTGTGTAATATATGCAGCGTCGACAAGGTGAATGTTACGGGATACTTTGTATGGTCATTGTTGGATAACTTCGAGTGGCAAGATGGTTATAAGAACAGATTTGGACTATACTACATTGATTTTAAAAATAACCTCACACGTTATGAGAAAGAATCGGGCAAGTATTACAAACAATTCCTAAGTGAAGGTGTTCGTCCATCTGCTATCAAGAGGGATGAGCTTTGAGCTATATCTTGAGGATTTGTTTTTCTGTTTCACTGTCTCTTTTATGATGTTTTAGTTTGTGATTGACCAAGATCGAAGAGGTCTTGGTTAGAATAAAAGTGTTTTTTCTTTCTTTCTTTCTTCTCTTTTTTTTTTTTTCATTTCTCAATGTCTACCTGATTTGACAAGATCAAAAAAGGCTTTTGAAATAATAAAAGTTTCTCTTTCGATAATTCGCTATATATGTGACTGTACATCTCTATACCTTCAATTCAAACATGAAGAAATATAGCATTGCATATATAGCCGAAAGAAAAATAACAAAAGGAGTAAATTCATTATGACAGGAAAAAAATGTGAATTTTCTAGAATGAAAATTACATTACGAATGTATGAAATAGATAAGAAAATATGATTCTACGTCATCTAAAACAACTTCAATCGTGCAAAGATTTTTATGACTAACTAAACCGTTGGGCGATTTATAATGGAAACGATTCATTCAAGATGACATGTATGGGTTCATTTCAAGATTACATTGATGGTATGGTGGGTTAATCGGTTAAACACAAGGAATATATCAAAACGGGTTTCCTGGTTATTTTCTGGCTAAGGGATAACTACATGATTATAAAATAAATAGTAGAATTTCATAGAGAGTACAAACACAATACCAAATGTCAGAACTTATGCCTCTTCTTGTTCCCTCTGATGCTTTGGTCCCAAATACCAACCGCGCAAACATAGAAAATGGAATAGTCTTCCATTGCCTTTACGCAAACCTCCAAACGCAAAAAGACCAAAAAAAGAGTTCTGAAATCGTGTAGCGTTTCTTTAGTTCTTGGATCAAATATCAATAGGAGAAGCATGGTGAATGCATATAAACCATTTCCCATCGATCCGTTCAAACACATTCGACACAAACTGAGCTCCCCAACTACTACTCTCTTTCGTCTTCACAAACTCCATGCAAGTTACATAACCTACTTCGCCTCGGACATGAACCTCAACATCTTTCAGCTCAATCTGTAACGGAAACTCATAGTTCATCCACACAAGTTCCCAGCTTTCCATCACGTAATCATACCCGGTTATGCCTTTGGCTCCTGGATGGACACAGCACGGGTTTCCGGATTTTGACCACAGCGATTGCATCGCCGCTAAGTCCCCGTTTCTAAAAGATTGGTAGAACCGAGCATTGGCTGATAAAACAGAGGCTTTGTTGTCTTCTTGAAGCCCTTTTAGTTTATCCCGGATTTTAGCTGCCTCCACGTAGTTTTCTTCTTGGATCGCAGTCTTGAGATCTTGATTCAACGTGTTTTCATCCACTGATATGCTTTCAACATCTGCGGTTTGGTTATTCTCTTCGCGTTTGACTCGACATGGCCTCAGACGAGAGCCTGTTTAACAGTAAACAGAAACCAAGACTAAGAACTGGGTCTTACCTAAAACTAGACCTTGCTCGAATCAAAAACCAAGTTGACCACAGCATTTAAGAGTAAAACTCACACGGTTCTTGTTCTGGAGCTTGAGAGGACCCAACCCCAAATGTGTTGCTGACTGAAACCACGTTGTAGTGAATCGGATAAGACTTAGGCAAGTAAAGCAGCCTCGTCGAACCACCAAACAGAGAAGTGATCTCTACTGTGTTTGAGACCTATCATCAGGGAGCAAAAGATTTGAAGCGAGATTAGCACAGCATGAGATTTAGACAACCAATGAAACGAATATTCATAAAAGATCGGATTTTGAAGACGACGCTTATAAACACTGCATCTCCGGGTTGAGTTTCAAACACTTTCTGATCGAAAACAAGCTTATATGAATTTCCTCCAAGGTTTAATCTTCGTATAAGTCCTAATCCCTACGAATTCCCACACCAAACAAGATCTTAACTCTGCACATGAACATAACTCATCTAATCTTAATGGTTTCTTCTTAGAAATTGACTAAATCCCAAGAATACATACGAAGTGTATACGCAAGGGAGCTTCAGAATCAAGGAAGAGAATCAGATGAATTGTCTTTCAACGAGAGAAATTCTAGCTTACTTTGCATAAAAATCCAGACCCATGAAGTGCCATGAAAAGAAGGAAGCGATAAATTCAGAGAGATTGAGGGATCAGGAAACCAGAATACTTTCACAATCAGGGTTTCGCAAAGATCAATCAACCAGGATGAAAACGGATGAAAACTCAAGGGACTTCAGAATTCAGGATAAAACTAGTGGGCTTTGCATCAAAGCCCACAGAGAAACTTGTAGTTAGGCCTATATTTATGACCTTAAGCCCAATGATTTTATCCATGTTTATTTTTTTTATATCAACTTTTATCCATGTTTATTTATCTTATTTTTTAGATTTTGCATTTTTTTTATAAATAATTAGCTTTTTTATTTGTCAGATTTTTGCATTTTTATTGAAATGATTAGGTTTTTGTATTTGGTCAGAAAAAATGATTAGCTTAGATACCCATGATCAGAGTGTAAATATCATCTTTTTTTTATTCATCTGCATATCACGAACTTAATTTAATTTAGTGTTTTTATAATCAACTAAACGAGCGTCCCATTATAAACATTGGACTGTCTATAATGAGCAAAACATAGCAAAACGCTTTGATGATATATTTATGTTTTTAAAAGTACGGATGGAAAATGAATTAAAATAAGAGGGGTGAAAATTAGTATATTACGCCCAATCCTCAAAAAGCTTCGTAGAAACTAAAATTAATAGTTTTATTGTGAAAAAAATTCTGTGTAGACTAAAAGTTAAAACTCTAAGTTTAAAGTCGCTCGCCAAGAGAAGCGGTTTAACATAGACTTGACCTAACCGTTGTATCAATGCAGTAATTTCGGTTAGATCGAATTTGGTTTGTTTTTTGTACTTTTGGTTCAGTTCGATTGTTAATCCCGGTTTGGATTGATATTATATATATATTATAAAAAAAAAAATCGATAAGTTTAAATACGATGATCCATTGAAAATCGATAAGTTTCTAACAAATGTTATGTTTTTTTCTGGAATGTTTCATGCTCAGATGAGGAAATCAAATGGAACAAGCAAACAAAATTCTTTATAATACAATTAGATCCTGTTTGACATTTTTCGTATTACAAAATAATATACATCTACGTTGATTTTTTCAAAAAAATATTATATGTTGTTCAAAAGAAATTATTGGTGTTACTTATATAATTAATAGTAATTTTTTTCCCGGAGGCGGGAGTTTCACCAAGCACTTCAAAAGTTTTAGTCCACCGGAGAAATTAACCTCGTCGTCTTTCTCCATTGCCGGCGATGGGCTGCATTTGCTTCAGGCCTTGGCGCCGATCGCCATCTCCGTCGATTACATCTACGGTCATCGACGATCTAGGTGAAATCGGACGATATTCTCTACCAATTACTCTTTTACGTTAAATCCTTAATTAAGACGACGATGATCGAGAATCTAACCCTCGCCGTTTTCACTGCAGATAATAACGAAGACGATGACGGAAGCTCTTGTCCGAATTTCCGGGTATTCAGCTTAGAACAGTTGAGGGTCGCGACTGAAGGATTCTCCGCCGGCAACATCGTGTCGGAGCACAACGAGAGGGTACCTAACATCGTCTACAAAGGGAGGCTCAACGACGGTAGATGGATCGCCGTCAAGCGGTTTCAGAGGCTTTCATGGCCTGATTCTTCCGAATTCATTGTTCGTCCTTTACCTATCGATACTCACTGATTTGTTTAAAATTTGCCCCCTTCGTTTAATGGCTGCGATTAAAATTAGGTTTTCAGTTGGATGAAATCTATGAAATCTTCTATTTTTGATTTTACTCTTTAAGATTTTGCATAAGATTTGAAGAGTCCCAATTTTGGCTTAACTTTTCCTAGTTGTTCATTGTGTTTGACTTGATTGGTTCATACTTCCGAGAAATATCCTCTTGAATTGGCGATTTTCTAGATTCCGATCTGTTGCACAGCAAAATTTCATTCCTTTTTGAATTGGTAAAAAGATTCTTGTACGTGCTAGCTTGATCTTTTGCACAGGAAAAGTTATTGAATATGGCTTTGTTTTTTCAGGAAGAGGCACAAGCAGTGGGGAGGTGTAGGAGTGAGCATATGGCCAATTTGATCGGTTGTTGCTCAGAGGGCCACGAGAGGCTTCTCGTTGCTGAGTACATGCCCAATGGAACACTTGCAAAGCATCTCTTCCACTGTGAGGGTCAACTTTTTTCAGTTGTTGATAATCTCATCATGCCTCTGATCTCATTTGCATTAACTTACTGTAGAGTTTCATCTGTGTCTAATCAGTATATTTGACTGTAAAATGGTTTACAGGGGAGAAACGACCAATGAAATGGGAAATGAGGTTGAGGGTTGCGTTGCATACTGCCACAGCCTTGGAGTACTGTAATGACAGGGGACTAGACTTGTACCATGATCTTAACACCTACAGAATAATGTTTGATAAGGTACATAGACTTCCAAAAACTTCATTCGCGGTTTGATAGCCGTAATTCGTATCGAAAGTTATTTACGTAAGTGTTCCAACAGGTTGGGAATCCCAAGCTGTCTTGCTTCGGTCTCATGAAGTGTAGCAGAGAGGGAAAGAGCTACAGCACGAATTTGGCATTTGCTCCTCCCGAATATTTGCGTCTTGGTATGTTGAATTTTTCTGACTACCAGCCAACCACTCTTCTTAAGAGAAATTTTCTAAATTTCTTCAGCTGAAATACTCATAACCTTTATGCGTTACTTTGCTAGGTACTGTGATACCGGAAAGTGTCATATTTAGCTTTGGGACCTTGTTGCTGGATCTTATGAGTGGCAGACATATTCCACCAAACCATGTAACTTTCTTCTCACAAAGCAAAAATGTCTGTTGGTCCTCAAGGTGTCAATCTTTAGAAGTGAATTGGCGCTTTCTCAAGTAGACTGTAATTAGTTGCATCCAGAGGCATTATATAATTCTATACATACCTTGAGCAGTTTTTTTGTTGTTTTTTGGCTTATCTGCCAATGTTATTTGCAGGCACTTGATCTGTTCCGTGGCAAAAACTATTTGGTGCTAATGGATTCAGCTCTGGATGGTCAATTCTCTGATGAGGACAGAACAGAACTAATCCACCTAGCTTCTCGCTGTTTGATGCCTGAAATAGACGAGAGGCCAAGCATAAAGTTTCTTATGTCTGCTCTTTCAAGACTTGAGAAACGAGCCGAGTTATGGCCCAACGTCAAAGGAGAAGACATCCCTGTAAGTCATGACCACTATTACTTCTTCCAAGATTTCGGGTTTTGCAGAGTTTCTTATGTATTAATGGGACTAAATAATCACAGACTCCATCATACACTGAACCTGCAACAAAGCAGCCATTGCGCTTAACCCCTCTTGGAGAAGCATGCTGGAGAGTGGACCTAAGTGGCATACACGAATTACTCGAGAAACTCGGGTATGGAGAGGATGATGTGGTGGTCACAAATGAGGTATATATGTTTGTGAGAAACATAATCTCTTGATACATCTCAATCTCTCATTCTGAGGATGTAAAACAAATATTGCAGTTCTCATTCCAAATGTGGACGGGTCGAATGCAAGAGAATATGGATTACAAGAAGCATGGAGATGCGGCATTTCGTGCTAAGGATTTCGAAACCGCGGTTGAATTCTACACAGAGGTATCATTTTGAATCATCAAGAAACCTTCTTTTTCCCCACCTAAAAAATATATATCTTATAAAGATATGAAATTTTGGTATGAACAGTTCATGAGCGGAGCACCAGTTATATCACCAACCGTATTAACAAGACGGTGTCTGTGTTACCTAATGAGCGACATGTTCCGCGAGGCTCTAAGCGATGCGATGCAAGCTCAGGTTGCATCACCAGAGTGTTCAACCGCTCTCTACTTACAGGCGGCTTGTCTCTTAAAGCTTGGGATGGAGGCTGAGGCGAAAGAAGCACTTAGACATGGTTCTTCTCTCGAAGCTTTTTAGAGTTACAGGAACAACAACAGAAATGCCAGATCTGTACAGCTTCTTTCTCTGCATACGTATTTAGAAATGTGAATACACACACAGCAGATATACATGTTTGCCTCTTTGAGTTCGCTTGAGAAAATCTTGGTGTACCATCAGATTTTTGTGTGCTAAAACCGGATTTTCTTGCCATTTCCCTTGATCAGTTGATCTTAACTGGATTGTGGATTTTTTTTACTATAAGTTCACACTAATTGGTAGTATGTTGACATTAATAATCAATGTCGGCTTCTTGTGAAAGCATGTTACAAAGTGAAATAACCATCATGAAATGGTATACGCAGAAGCCATACGAGTCGCAAGGAAGTTGAAGATGCTCAATTTCAGAACTAAAGACACTATTTCTACTCAATTACATCACAACTTCGATTACAAGTAAAACTCAAGCTCTCTGAGATCAAAGAGAGAGGGGGAGAAATCAAGTAAGAAACCTCAAAGAAAAAATAAAGAAAAATCTCATGGCCTCTGTTTTTGTTCTGCCATTTTTATGTGGACAGTACGTTGGTTATGTTCTTCCCCTGTTCAGATACAAGATAATGATCTCGATGTCCCCTTGAGCCTTGAGGCCTTAACCGACCAGCTGCTTCCTCCATCGCCCTCACGCTGCTGCTCTCTAAACCACTTCTCAGCCAAGCGAGGCTACTTATATCTGTTGCTATAGCAGCTAGTTCGTAACTCGGAAACGTCGGTGGGTCTAAGTAATCCACAAACTCTGGACCAAGCAATGAGTCTTGCTGATAAATACCAACGGGATCGTTGCTGCAACAACCACGTCCACATTTCTGAGGCACGAACTTTTCGCTGTAAGCTCCTTCAAGCAATCTTAGCATTGCAGTGTCTTGCTTAGATGATTGGAACTGATTTTTTTCGTGCATATGTGGAGAGGAGAAGCCTTCTATGTGATTGCGAACATTAAAAGAACTGAGCCGAGCTACAGGGCGAAAAAGCGTTGGAGGATCATTACCTTCTTTCCTAGAAATGCCTTCCCCGTTTGTTTTGTCTACGCATTGTTCTTCAGACATTTCCATGGAGGTGGCTTCTTTTCCTTCTGAAGATACAAGTGGAGTAGTTGCGTGGCCACCACCTCCTGAAGAGAAAGTTTCTTCTGATGAAGCTATCGTATTCGTCGTTCTGTCAAATCCAGTATCTTCCGGGACTAAGTTTCCAGTTCCTATATTCGTCGTCGGATTTTCAATGTCCATATATCGACGTCTTAGAGTGGAGTTCCAGTGGTTCTTGATAGCATTATCTGTTCTTCCTGGGAGGAGCTTCGCAATCACAGCCCATTTGTTTCCATGGATGGCATGTGCTGTGATGATAGCCTGATCCTCTACCTCTTCATAAACCATAAAAAAGTGTCTGATTTAGTGTTACTGATGAAATGCCATAGAACCAGAGATTTAAGTTGATATGAGAGAACACAAAACTTCCAGAGATTTAAGTTGATATGAGAGAACACAAAACTTCCAGAGATTTAAGTTGATATGAAAAAAACACAAAACTTGAGAACAGGCAGCTAATGCACAAACCCTTGGTAGCTCGTGCCACACAACGCCAAATACAAACAAAAATCTACAGCTAAGCAAAGTAATTCACACCATATAAACCGTGTTTGGTGAGCTACACTATGACTAGAGGTAGTCAAATGGTGTCCAACCTGTTCGTTTGGGATTAAAGGAGAAGGCAATCCAAAAAAATCCCAAATTTTCAAACACAGAAAAAACACAAAATCTAAAGGTTATATCCTCTTCTTCTTCTTGTTCTAGTTTTTTCAGTTTACATTGAAATGAACAACAAGTGATTTGCAGCCAAGTTCACAATCCAATTCCACTTCAAAAGCAACCATGATCCATCAACAGTCACTCTCTCAAAAGAAGAGCATAACATGAACGAAAACCCTAGATTCCACAATTCGCCACGGGTAAATCAAAGATTCAAAAGAAAATGATCACAGGAACCATTCGATCGATAATCAAATCCCCAATTGAAAATCCAAGACTCGCAAAGGGAGAAATACCAGTGAAGGAATTGCGTTTAACGGATGGATCGAGCTGGTTACACCACCGAAGACGACAAGACTTGCCTGACCGACCAGGAATACTTCGTGCGATCAAGCTCCAATTCCTCGCTCCAAACTTCTCAACAAGCTCACTCAACACAACATCCTCCTCCGGCGACCACGGCCCTTTGATTCGCTCTTTCCCTCCCCTTCCCCTCGTCCCTTCCCCAACGAACCTCGCCGCATCTCCTTCTCCCGCGCTGCCGCCTCCACCATCGCCATCTCCTCTGCCACCTGCGAACGCCGCTTCTTCCACATCCCCTAATTCCGTCGTCTCCGATCGTCTCCCAGTCTCTCCCTCCATACGCTTCCTCTCTCTCACACCTACCGGACTTAACTGTAAAGCGTGAAGACACGCTCTCTCTTCTAGATTCGTAGGGCAAGTGTTCCGGGATCTTTTTTACTTTTTGTTATTACTCTTTCACCCTTCCAAATTACTTTTACCTTATCACCCTTCCTCTTAATCACTTTCCTCAAACTTTTCTGAGGGCGATTTAAGTAAATTACTTAAAACGGAAGAGCTTTGGAGGTTGATGACTTTCTGCTATGGCGGGAAATTTCATTAGCGGGACTACATTTTTTATTGGGCCTAAATTATTAACTAATTTCGGCCTCCTCAAGCCCCAAACGATACCCATTATATATTTAAATTTTTTTCTAATGCCAAGAAACACAAATTGTTTAATGGTTGATGGAAAATGAACATTTTATCTCTAGTCTCTACCCTAAAATGGGTTTCCCGTAAAACTAAATAAATTAAAAGTCAGCATGTGCAACGTTTTGTCCATTTTAAACAATGGTTTAAGTTCAACACCATTAACTTTCTTGACTGAACAAAACAAAATAATATCGTTTGTTTTTTTGTCAACTTCAGAAGACTGACCAAGATCAGTATGCCAGTTGGCAATATTTAATAAAATCGTTTTATTTTAATAAAATAAAATCGCCTCTTTCATATATGATTCTTCTATACCAAAAAAAAAAAAATTGAGTTGATAGCAATTTTGTGACTGTGGGAAATATAACTGTCATTTGATTTGATTTCCTTTCGTAGTTTTAACGTATCTATATGTTCGGTGTGAAAATATTATAGATTGAGTTTTCGTCGTGCACTCTTTCACCAGCTAAAACCGAAATCCACATTAGAAAATATTCAAGATACAGCAGTTCATTGTTTTGAAAAAGAATTTGCTTTGTCATTTGTGGCTATAAAATTGAAATGTCAATGATATTCCATCCATCCGCGTATGAAATGAGATGGCGAAAGCTAATAAACAACAATGCTTGAGGCATACAAGAAACAGTCAGATTATTATGACAGAGCGACCTTTGCTTGACAATACATCTTATAATAATCTGATAAGAATGGGCTTTCAAATTATAACTGCCGTTTACAATGTACAAGACATTTCATTGATTATTAACCTAAAAATTAATTAACAAAAATATAATATGTCTACAGTAAACACCACATAATGACCTCGTAAAAGAATGATTAACGGGAACAACTAGATCAAGTGGAAACAGTTGTCGCATCGTGCAGTATATATACCCAAAAAACAGATAATGGTAAAAGTAAACAGTTATTATACAAACATGATGTTGACAAGAAAATGATCACACAGAATACCGATATGATCTACACAAAACATATAACACGTTCTCGAAGGAATTGTAAAGTTGACTTAGATGCTTACAAGTTTCAACTTGATGAAAACATGGACCGTTTCTATGCACGTACTAAATCCGTCATTTTTATAATAAATATGTATAACTAGTCCTAAGCGAAAAACCATCTTTTTGTCATAAGTTATTTTACCAAATTGATCCATAGTTGAAAGGACCAGTTCCACGAACCACGATACTACAACTGTCATATATTCCGAGACAAAATCAATTGGCCTGTGTCTAGAGTGCGTCGCATGTATTGTATTTTTTTTAGTTCAATTTTAACCCATGTATTGTTTTTACATTTAAATAAATTCTTAAGCAAGTTTTGGATTCGTTGATTCCTTAATCTTGTCGAATTCGGTCAACTTTGATCTCATACGATTCTCGGAGATTTTGTTTTTAATTGCTTCTTTTTCTTACATCATTTTGTTTTTAATTACTTAAGTTTTACTGTTTTAGAAATCTGAGAACAGTAACATGAAAAAAGGGCGACAGTTAACGAATAAAGATTTACAAATTTTTACTGTTTTTCTTTCAATTCAATGCAACTATTTCGAATAGATTTTGCTAATATTTTTTTCAAAATGATCAGAGATCTGTCGTTAAAATTGTGGTTGTAACTTAGATATCATCATATCAAATTGGATAGGTAGGAACTATTTTGGACTTGTAATTCGAATTATATTGAATTCAATAGAATGGGAGATTGTTTGTCTTGAGAAGCAAGAATTGGATGACTTTTGTTATTCTTTGAAAAATATATAAACTAAATCAATAAGCGGACTAATCAACTGTTAGAAATTAGACAACGACGTCTCTACTAACAGATTGAAAAATCTATTGTCATTTGCATAGCTTCGCAGCATTCGCTAGCAAATATACATCAACATTTACAAAAACAGGAAAACACATGCACACACGTCGATAGAAATATATAAAGACCTAATCAATCATGTTAGAGAACAATGATCGAATTACATCAAGTCATCAACTAACATCTCTGCCATTTTCAAATTCATTAGTAATTCTGATTATGTAAAATATTATATATAAATTAAGAAACTTACACTACAAATGAAACAAATTTGATTATAGCTTTTACTGTTTAAGTTTACATCTAGCTACTACTAGTAAATTGGGTTATTCGTACGGATTTTTTTTTAATTTTTATACATATATATCCTATTTAAAATTAATTTCCTAGAGATTTATATGTTCACAGAAAATTATTATATATGTTCACAGAAAATTATTATATATAACGGAAAACAAACTATTAAAAATGAAATACGTTGTGGCAGTAATTAGTGTATGATTTATTATGATAAAAAAACAAAACTCAATCACTAAAATATAAATAAAGAAATACAGAAAAACATATATTAAATACATATATACACAGTGTTATAAGAATCGTTGAATATATACTTGTATATTTAAACCATTATCTAAGACAACCCTAATTAAGATCAAATGTTTTGCCTCTTGGTTTGTTACCACTTTGAGTTCTATAAATTAAGAAGAACTATATTTCTCTCTTTGCTTCAAAATCTCCAAAACACTTTTTTCTTTCTTTCACTAACGCTACTTTATCTCATCTTTTTTGTTTCTCTCTCTCTGTCTCTCTCTAGAGATGGAGGGTGTTAGGGTTTTTCTTGCTTGCGCTCTTCTTCTTTTTGCAATATCTTCAATAGCTTCTGCAGCCATTGTGGAACACACCTTCAACGTAACCATACATTCTTCCTCCTCTTCTTCATTCAATTTATATATATATATATATATACATATATATTCCTTTTTGCATGTATATATCGTTTTTTAGGCAGTCATTTTGGTTATTTTGTGTCGGTTCATAATTTACAATAAGAACTTTAATTGAAACTCGAATTCATGTTTTTTGCCATATATTGCGATATTATTTGATTAATCTATAAAGGTAAATCTTAGAATGTGAAATATGAGTTTATTTTACCATAGTGACCAAGCGATCGCTAACGACGTTAGAGAAAATTTGATTTTGCCAGGTACAAAACTTAACGGTGTCTCGCCTGTGCAAGCGACAAGTGATAACGGTAGTTAACGGAAGCCTGCCTGGACCGACGGTACGCGTCAAAGAGGGTGATTCGCTCGTTATACACGTCCTCAACAATTCCCCTCACAACATCACAATTCATTGGTACTCACTAATTAATATGTGGAATCTACAATTTTATTTTATTTTACAGCCCTGTGGATTATATAATTAACTTCGTCTTATGTATTTAGTTTATTGCTTAAATAATGGATGATTCCGCATAGTTTTTTTGACTTTACTAGGCGTTAGCCTTTCACAGTCCATTAGTTTGTTTCCTTTTTTCGCATATAATACTCTAATTGTCTTATTCGCTATAGAAAACAATAGAAACTTGGGGAGAAGTCACTTTGGCTTTGAGTTGTTTTTACTTTCTGGATTTAGCCATTTAGGGTTATGAAATCACAAGAACCAGACAACATTTTAGTTTCTTCTTGTAATAAAAACAAAACAAGCAAAAAGTATCAGAATGATTTTTTTATAAATATTTATATATGTTGGATTTATTTATCTTTTAACGTTCGATTCAGCTTCAAGTACTATTCGTATATCAAATGGAGTTAAACAAAATAATCCGAATTAAAGATTCTTTCGATTTGATGAGCTAATTTTCGGAATTACTGACTGGAGATTGCTTTGAACGAAATAAAAAATTAATCTAATTGAGTTTCGTGAAACACATGTTTATTTCATTTAAGAATTTTAAATATTTAAAATAAAGTTTTGGCGTTTTCTCTCATTTTCTATTTCAGTATATATATACATATTGTAAAACTAAGAAAAGAAAACACTATAATCCGAATCAAAATTCACTTAGTTGGTTGGCTTATCAAAATACCGACATACGATTGACCATCCATACTTAAAACTTCAAATCCTAGTGCTAACTAATTAATTAGTCCGTCAATATAATCTTAATTTTTTTTTTTATAATACATACATTACATGCCATATTAATCAATGAAAATCTTAATATATTGCGTACACGCAGGCACGGGATATTCCAGAGACTAACGGTTTGGGCAGATGGACCGAGTATGATAACGCAGTGCCCAATCCAGCCTGGCCATAGCTATGCATACAGGTTCAACATCACCGGCCAAGAAGGTACCTTGTGGTGGCACGCACACTCGTCTTTCCTACGCGCCACCGTATACGGTGCTCTAATCATCCGCCCTAAATCCGGTCATTCTTACCCGTTTCCCAAACCGCACAAAGAAGTTCCCATTTTATTCGGTGTGTCTCAACTCAATAATTATTACTTTTTATTACTATTTAATTGATATCAAACTATTTAGTTGGTGAATAATGATGCCAAGGATGTTGGTCCTTGTCTTTTAAAACTGAAACTTGTATAATATTCTTCATGAGTAATATTGGCCAAAAGTCTTCCACGATTCTAACTAAACGAAGTATTAATATTTTCAATTTTTGTATTATTAAACAGGTGAATGGTGGAATACTGATGTAGTCGCACTAGAGGAGACCGCAATCGCTACCGGAGTTCCTCCAAACAATTCCGACGCTTATACGATCAATGGCCTACCTGGAAACCTATATCCATGTTCCAATAACAGTGAGTCAAGATGAATTCTATTTTTTTTTTGGGTATTCATAGTCAACGACTACAAAACTTTCATATATTTGGAATTGAATAATAATAGATTGAGATACTTTAGGCCATAAAATACTAATGATACTAATTTTATAGATCTTATTAAGGGTCCCTTTTATAGTTTTACGTGTTATTGGTGGTGGAATGCTGGAAATTAAAAAGTATAAGCACTAATTAACGCATATAGTGGATGTTTAAAGTTAAGTAGTGTGTGATATTATTTACATGCTAGCTGTTTTTTAACTAATTAAATAAATAAATTACGTGTTATATACAACTGGTAAAACAACGTACGTGATAAAATCATATGCTACTTTTTTAGTAATTTTAAAAGCACATTAGACGTCAAAATAAATAAATAACATAATATATTTCTCTAATCACACTGCATGATAAACATCACGCAATATATATAAATAAATAGCAAGTTATTTTCACAAAATCCATGGCTAATCCATTACCCTATTTATATACCTACAGTAGTACTATCCAGTATAATTTTTATATATATGCTCATCTAATCTAATATGGTTATGTAGTAAAAAATAATAAAGACGCGCGATCTAATGTCACTTTACTGATCAAGCCTTATATTCAAAGATCATTTTGCAATCTAACCATTTTTTTTTTTTTTTTTTGGTTTTGAAATGAAAATAGGAATGTTCAGCCTAAAAGTAGTGAAAGGGAAGAGCTACTTACTCCGCATCATAAACGCGGCAATGAACGTACAGTTGTTTTTCAAGATAGCCAATCACAGACTGACAGTTGTCGCCGCCGACGCGGTCTACACCGAACCATACGTCACTGACCTCATCACCATCGCACCAGGCCAAACCGTGGACGCGCTCCTCCACGCCGACCAGTCCATAGGCTCCTCATACTACATGGCTGCTCATCCTTACGCCAGCGCACCCGCCGTGCCATTCCCCAACACCACCACCAGAGGCGTCATCCACTACGCCGGCGGCGGCGGCGCGTCGAAAACACCGCCGTCGAAGCGCGTGTTGATGCCTAAGCTGCCTTCCTTCTTCGACACGCCAACGGCTCACAGATTCTACTCCAATCTGACCAGCTTGGTCGGTGGACCTCACTGGGTCCCAGTGCCTCGCCACGTGGACGAAGAGATGCTCGTAACCATCGGGCTCGCGCTAGAGGCCTGCCCAGATAACACCACGTGTCCGAAATTCTCTTCTTCGATGAACAATCACTCCTTCGTCTTACCCAAAAAGCTATCCATCTTGGAAGCGGTTTACAACGGCGTCGACGGGATTTTCACTAGCGATTTTCCAAACCAGCCTCCGGTTAAGTTCGATTACACGGATCCTAACATAACCCAGACAAACCCGGGGCTTTTGTTCGCTCCAAAATCAACGAGCGCCAAGATCTTGAAATTCAATACTACCGTGGATTTGGTGCTGCAGAACCATGCGCTTCTCGCGGCTGAGAACCATCCTATGCACCTCCATGGATTCAATTTCCACGTTCTGGCTCAAGGGTTCGGTAATTATGACCCGACTCGTGACCGGACCAAGTATAATCTCGTTAACCCGCAATTCCGTAACACACTGGCCGTGCCTGTTGGTGGATGGGCCGTGACCCGTTTCACTGCCGATAGCCCAGGTAACTCTCTATCCAATTCTTCTTGTACTTATTTGAATCGGATTTTGGTTCAGTATAGCAACGCCAAATTAAAACTTACTACAAAATGGTTTGGTATGAATTAACTTAACACTAACACTACTACATTATATGATACACAAATGTATGTAGATGGTTTAGCATGTTACTACATGGCTATATATGTTGATACATATGAAACTGAAATTCTGGAAACATTGTGTCAGGTGCGTGGATTATGCATTGTCATATCGATGTTCACTTGCCATTTGGATTAGGGATGGTGTTTGTGGTTCAGAACGGACCGACAAAGTCTACCACCTTGCCACCGCCACCGCCGGATCTCCCGAAATGTTAAACAAGATACAATGTTTTCTTGAAAATAATAAGATTATTTAGGGTAAAAAAGAACAAAATTTGGCTCAAACTGATTGCGTTTTGTTTTATTTGTTTTATTTGCCCTCTCACATTTATTTTGTTGTAGTCGATAATTCAAAAAAAAAAAATTAAATTGAATTTGTAGTGCATTCTTGAGTGGGTAGTGTGTGATTTATATGATGTTCTTTTTTTTTTGGGTCCATTCTTGTGTTTAAATTGAACTTTTGGTTTAATATTCTTGGAAAGTTCTGTGTCTATTCAATCAAAGCGAATCAAACTCAGTTATACAAACAAAAGAAAAAAGAAAAGAAAATTTGTTTTCACAGGAGAAGAGAGGATACAAAGTCTGCATTTTTCTAAACGAATTATGTTTTGGAAGAGAGCTTTATTTTATAACTTTTCCCCTCATTCCCTGCTTAAAAATTTTCTAATGAATACTTCGGTCGGTACTTTTACTCCGGTTTAGACTCATACCGGTAATGGAATTTACCGGTTCCCGCTAAAATTGTCTTCAGAACATTATCCTAAAAAAACCCAGAGCGCTGAGAATTTCGTCGACCGAATTTTCCGGAAAATGATAAAGCTGCAAGGGGGACTTCTTCAATGGAGTCGAAGCAGCTTCATTCCGTCGATTAACACGGCAATTAATAAAACCCATCTCTCTATCTCCGCCTGTGTCGTCGAGCGTAACCACCAGTTGACGGCGAGGGAGAGACGGCAGCTCCGGAACGAGCGGCGGGAGAGCAAATCGGGGTATAGTTGGCGAGAAGAAGTCGAGGAACGTCTGATTAAGAAACCGAAGAAACGGTATGCGTCGTGGACGGAGGAGCTGAATCTGGACACTTTGGCTGAGTCGGGTCCGCAATGGTGGGTGGTTAGGGTTTCGAGACTTCGGGGTCAGGAGACTGCTCAAGTCTTAGCTCGAGCTCTTGCTCGTCAATTCCCTGAGATGGAATTCAAGGTAATTTCATTTTCTTATGTGATCAATGCGTGGAAATTTCACAAAAAGAGGAGATTTTTTTTTTTTTTTTAAAAAGGTATCTGAAAGAATTGTTGAGAAAAATCTTAACAATTGCTGATTGGTATGTGTAAAGGTTGTTTGAAAATCTTAACTTTCTTGAACTTGAGTTCATGGTGTTTTTTTTTTCTGGATTTGGTTTATTGTGTGATCCTGAGTTTGGATGTTTGACAATGAGGCATCTGAGAAAGCTGTTGAGCAAATCTTTTAGATTGTCCGAGAAATTATGAACAATGAATTCAATAAACATAGAATACGTTGAGAAAGTTTATTACTTGATGTTAAAACAAGTGGATTTCGAATTTTATGTTTCAGGTATATGCTCCAGCTGTTCAGGTGAAGAGAAAGCTAAAGAACGGTACTTTATCGGTTAAACCGAAACCCGTGTTCCCTGGCTGCATTTTCATCAGATGTATATTGAACAAAGAGATCCATGACTCCATAAGAGAATGTGATGGAGTCGGAGGTTTCATAGGTTCAAAAGTTGGAAACACGTGAGTATTATCACTCTCACTCTCACTCTCTCTCTGTGTCCGTAATAGTATGTGAGTTGATTTGTATCTACATTTTTGCAGCAAGAGACAGATTAATAAACCGAGACCGGTAGACGACAGTGATTTGGAAGCCATTTTCAAACAAGCAAAAGAAGAACAAGAGAAAGCGGACAGTGAGTTCGAGGAGGCACAACGAGCTGAAGAAGAAGCGAGTTTAGCCTCGCAGAAACTTCTGGCATCTAATTCAGATGTTCTTGAGACTGTAGAATCTCTCTCAGAAACTAAACCGAAAAGATCCCCTAGAAAAGCTACTCTTGCTGCTGAAACAAAGGATCCAAAGGGGAAGAAGAAGAAGCTTGCTGCTGGTTCTACAGTTCGAGTTCTCTCAGGGACGTTTGCCGAATTTGTTGGCAACCTAAAGAAATTGAACCGTAAAACCGCAAAGGTAATAACTAAATTTAAGCTCCTTGTGTGGATTAAATAAGCTGATTAATTTGCACAAATGTGTATGTTTAGATGCCTATTTTTGTATGGTTGCAGGCAACGGTGGGGTTTACTTTGTTTGGGAAGGAGACTCTAGTAGAAATTGACATCAACGAACTTGTTCCTGAGACTCAGTCTTGAAATTGTTCACAAAATGTGATTTTTTTGTTTGGAAAAAAAAAATGCATCACTGCTCCATATGTTCTCTTAGATCTGCCATGCGGACACAATGACGTCGTTTTGAATCTTCCTAAGAACAATAAGTTCAAAAAAAATGTTGGGAAGATGCAAAGGAAACTTATGAACGACAGACCATAAAGATTAAACGTCTTGCTGTTTTAACTCTTAAAATCAGAACGCATGGTGTTTTTCAATTGGTGTAGTACTTTCCACACTTTCAAGCAATTTGGTAAAATGCTGAATTTGGGCCAAATTTCGGGAAAAAGCCCAATATTATTGTAGTAAACAAGAGCCGTCAGATTTGTATTAAGCAAACAAAAATGAACAGTTAGATTCAGATCGCTAAAAACCCTAGATTCATTTATCCACAGGCCATTTCGTCAAGTATAAAAGGAGTAAAACGAAAACCCTAGTCTCCTTTATCTCCGTCGAACTCTTTCTGAACAGAGAAATCCGAGTCTAATCCTTTGAGCAACAATGGTGAAGGCAACAAAGGCTGAGAAGAAGATCGCATATGACGCGAAGCTATGTCAGCTCGTCGACGAGTACACCCAGATCCTGGTCGTCGCCGCCGACAACGTCGGATCGACTCAGCTACAGAGCATCAGGAAGGGTCTTCGTGGAGACTCAGTGGTGCTCATGGGAAAGAACACTATGATGAAGCGTTCGGTTAGGATTCACGCTGAGAACACCGGAAACACTGGAATCATGAATCTCCTTCCCCTTCTTCAGGTCGATTTCCGTCTCTCGAAAATGTTAAGATTTTCTCGGCGTTTTTTCGTGTGTAGAGTTTAGATTGTAATTGCGATGGTCCTGTGTTTGTTTTTTAGGGAAATGTTGGTTTGATCTTCACCAAGGGTGATCTCAAGGAAGTGAGCGAGGAAGTTGCCAAGTACAAGGTTGGTTAATTGATCTTGTCCTTTTTTGATAAATCTGGTTAGCAAATGTTTGATTATAGCTCTTGCTGACTTTTCTATTTGTATTAGTTTAGTTGCATATTTAGTTACAATGATTAGTGTCTTCTGCTTCAACGTGTGCATGGATTGTGTTAATATCTGATGTTTTCTCAATGTGATTGTATTGAATGGAAGTCTCATATATGTCTGACAATATGAACAGGTTGGTGCTCCTGCTCGTGTGGGTTTGGTTGCCCCAATTGATGTCGTTGTCCAACCTGGTAACACTGGTCTCGACCCATCCCAGACATCTTTCTTCCAGGTTTGCTTACTCATGCTCTGTAATGCTTAACTTGTTATCATTTGATTTACGTAATCTGAAGTTTTTGAAACATGAATGTGTTTTGTGACTTTCAGGTGCTTAACATCCCAACTAAGATTAACAAGGGTACAGTCGAAATCATCACACCTGTAGAGCTCATCAAGCAAGGTGACAAGGTCGGTTCTTCTGAGGCTGCCCTTCTAGCCAAGCTCGGCATCAGGCCATTCTCATACGGTCTTGTTGTCCAGTCGGTTTATGACAATGGCTCAGTCTTCAGCCCAGAGGTTCTTAATCTTACAGAAGATGACCTTGTTGAGAAATTTGCTGCTGGTATCTCCATGGTCACTTCCTTGGCTCTAGCCGTCTCTTACCCAACCATTGCTGCTGCGCCGCATATGTTCATCAATGCTTACAAGAATGCGCTAGCTATCTCTGTTGCCACTGAGTATACGTTCCCCCAAGCAGAGAAGGTCAAGGAGTTCTTGAAGGTTAGTCATTGAATTGTTTAAGTTTTTGAAGGTTGGAGTACTGTATTGCTCTTGCTAATGTTAACTAACTCACGGGTCATAATTCTTAATGCAGGATCCTAGCAAGTTTGCTGTTGCTGTAGCGGCTGTGTCTGCGGATGCAAGTGGTGGTGCTGGAGCTGGAGCTGCCAAGGTAGAGGAGAAGAAGCAAGAGGTTGAAGAATCAGATGAAGAAGACTATGGTGGTTTTGGTTTGTTCGATGAATAGATTATATCTATCAAGGTTACCTTTTTGTCGATGCTATAAGTGTTGCTTCGTTTGTAGTATGATGATCTCAATTTTCTTGATTTTGACCTATTCAGATTTATGCTATTGTCTTTTTAGTTTGGTAATGTTTCGTTTTTTGAGTTGTTTTGATAATTTCCTTAGTCTTCACTCTATCTATTTTCTTTGCTCGGTATGTTTGATTGCCTTGCAGGGTTGCGCAACATTGTTGCTCAAAGCAAAAATTCCCTAGTTAGACTTTGTTCTATGACGGATACATTGCTAGAGTTAGAGTTAGTGTTATATAACGTCTATAAAACAGAGTTAACTTGATTTTGAGTCCTTTTGTAGAATTTATTTTAGAGTTTAGTTGTCACTTTACAAAAATGTATCAGACTGGATAAAAACTTCATACTATCAAAGGCCATCCGAGTTTTATATCATAAAAGGTGCTACGTTATCTAGCAAAACTATACAGTTATATGATCTTTGATTTCTCTAAATTGAATCATCAGTTGACACTCTAAACAGTCGTTACATGTTCGCCATAATCTGAGAAGCGTTACCATAAATGATGAAAGAAATCGTATGAAACAAATCTTAAGTAAATTCTTTTTTCCTTTGTTGTTGACATCTCTCTAATGGCTTGCGTGTAGATATTTCGGAGAAAAAGTGGGGGTAGACTAAGAGGGCTAAACAAGAGGAAATGGATTGATATTGAATACATATCAGAAATGGCACTGAAATGAACAATCTTAGTCAGCAACAACTATGAGTTAGGAGGAATAAAGGTATATGCAGAAGATTTGTATTTAATCTTTCGTCTGGTTTCTTCACATAAAGCCACACAAAAACCAGAAAACAAGTGACTTAAATATTTCTACAAGAGAGAGGAGTTTGTCCCTGTGACCATTAAAATCAGAGAGACCCAGGTTTCGTTTAGTTATAGAATCCGAATTAGTACATATATATATGGCGATGTTCAAACCTATGAGTTATGACAAGGATGTTACACTTTTTGGAGATTCGAAGCTGGTCAATGGAGGTTCTTCGATTCAGCTGACCAACTCGGTGAGTGGAAGCGAGGGACGAGTCGTTTACATGGAAACCATTAAGCTATTCCAAGGTAAAGAGAAGGACTCGTTATCTTTCTCGACTGCCTTCTCGTTTTCGATGCGCAATGAGATTGATTGTGTCTTGGCATTTGTAATGGTTCCAAGTAGTTTTGATCTTAGTCTGTTTGGTAAGAAAGATACCAGTTCCTCTGCTTTAGGATTTCTGTTACAATATGCAAAGAACGAGACAGTTGTTGCTTTCGAGTTTGATATATCCGATAGAGGAAACTGTGCAAGAATCTTAATAGGTAGACCTGAATCTTCTGAAATTAGAAACCTTTCGTTTGAGGGTGATTTGATGATGAACAATGGAGGGGCGTTGAGCTGTATGATTGATTATGAGGCAAGTTCTAAGAGAGTGATGGTTCGATTCAGGAAATCTGGTTCAGTAAAGATGTTCGATCCATTCTTCTCTTTTTCGGTTGACTTGGTGGAGCTATGGAAAGATGGTGAATTCATGGTGGGTTTAAGCTCTACAAACGGGAACTCTTCCAATGCACATTTTCTCCATACATGGAAATTTCAGATGAGGGATCCTCCTCCGATGTGGATGCATTCGGAGCCACGTCAACCGAATAAAGCTTTGAAGGACGATGAGGAAGATGGTCCAGGGGGAAGTGAATGTATATAGAGACTAGAGACGTTGTGCATTGGCTTCGGGTAAAGTATGTGAAGGAGCCTTAGGGGATATGTTGGCTTTGTATCTCTGGACAATATGCAGTGTGAGGCCGTCAATAATGTTGCTGTTGAAGAAGGCAAGAAGTACTGAGAAGTTGTTTTGGTTTGGTTTGAATTAAGAAGGTTTGTATTGTGTTTGTAGTGTGAATGTAGTCTTCTTCCGCTTTCTTCTGTATCTTTCGTTAGTGTTAGTTTCGTCAGTTGCAGGTTTCACATGTAAAATCCCTATGAATAAGAAGCCGTACGCCTATTGATCTTGTGAAATTAACTCAGTTGTTGGTGTTTCTAGAAACAATACAACATTCACATATATGATATAACATCAGTTTCCATTAGCTTATTTGTCGCTTAAATGTCAAGGAGGAAAGCGGATGTTTTGTGAAATCACATCTAACCTTAACATGGGACACAAGCCAGAGGTGCCAAGGAGTTAAGCAGATATTATAGATCCATACAAATGTTCTTAAAAAGTTAATTCTTTGACCTTTTAAGTGATCCATACGAAATGTTTTTTTTCTCTAGCCTAATCACTAGGAATCATCTGGAGAGCAACCGGCATGGTAAGCTTCACAAGCGTCGAGGTTGGCTTCCCCAGTTTTGACCACATGAGGTAACTCCTGGTAAGGCCGGTGTAGAGGAGGTAGGATTAAAGCAGATTTTTGATCCATTGCTAATAGCCTTCCACATTTACTGCATAACAAGACAGGTGAATAGTTTAGTCCATGGAAAACACGAGTTCTAGAACATCGCAGAAGAATTACACAGACTGGCTTACTACCTGCATGGTTTGCTAAATAGTGATTCAAAACTGCATATCCATAGCTGCATTAGAGAAAGGTGTTGATTAACTTCCATGGATCCAAAAGAAAGAAATCTTTCATGTTATACAGAGATCGTTGGTCCTTGTAAAATGCCTTACCAGAAGAGAGTAGAGAGGAGTTCCACCTCCGGTACCAAAGCCGAGGAAATATTGCAAGGCCGTTGCAGCATGTTCCTGCAAGAAAATCTATTTAATGCAACTTCTCCCAATATATATATAAATGTAGCACCAATTGCAGTCTCTGTTACCGTGATGTGTTTGTAAACATGATAAACGGAGAAGCCTCTCGCATGCAAGTAGCTACCTCCCTGTAAGTAAGGGAAGGGATGAAGCAAAAAGATGAGTACTCAAAACCAACTTCATTTGAAAATCAAGCCAATGCAGGGAGTTTGGAAGTTACCTCATCTGGAGAGAAGAATGCAACTGCATCCGGATCAACAGAACCAGGTGGATTCAACGAGACTATAGCTCTGAATACAGATGGTACTGATAATTCAATGACAGCAACCTTATCAGCAACTTCAGCCTGTAGCCCTGATCTCAGCTTACTAGAACTCTGGAAGAAAGGTTTCGATGCTTCTGTTGGATCATCACTACCTGACACAGGTAACGAATTAGCTCTTTTCAGCCAGCTCAACCGTCCATAAGTAGACACCTTCACATTCGGGACCAGATTCTCTAAACTCGATTGTATATCTGGCAAAGTTTTGTTATCAACCGGTTGCTCTCTTCCATGTTCAAATGGCGAATGGGAGGCATGATGTTTTTTAGAACTTGGTTCCATCTTTGAACCATCGTCAATGTGAGGAAAGAATCGTCTTTTCTGATCCGTGAAGGCCTTGAGAGCTAACCTAGAGAGTCATATCGACGGAAAACATCATTCACAACAGAAGAGCAAATGGAGAATGCAATAGATGATGGAAAATAGAAACCACAATTAACCGGGAGGAGCTAACATCCATATGGTCTCGGACCCAAAACCCTAATTATGCTCAAACTCATTAGGAACAATGTCATAATACCTGGTTCTATCTACAGCAGACGCACCAGCTTGGCCAGCAAGCTGTCTTTTCCAAGCATAGGCAACGACTGCACCATCTGGACAGACCAGTGGCATGTGAAGACCCCATGAGTTACTTCTTGACCGGAGAGATTCAGTGAGAACTCCAGATTCTTCTAGCTTCTTCCCTGATCCAATAAACATGATGGCTCGTTCAAATCCCTAATCTAGAGAAAGCATAATCGATACTAATTAATGAAATATATCTCGTTTCGAATGTAAGCAAGCACCGATTAATCGGAGATCCTGAAGGTGTTGACGCATGGAGGCGTCTTCTCTGAGGAAGAGCTGAAGGGGCATGTCGGTGTGGCGAGGGTGCGAAGCGACGAACATGGCTTCGAGGATACGGTCGGCGCCGAGGCGGATATCGGCGATAACTCTAGCCGCTTGGTTAAGTCGATCCATGGCCTGAGCCACCTGCTTCGGCGGCGCGTCCAATTCCGATTCCGACTGATTGTTCGCCGCCTCGGCCGAGTTCTGGAGAAGTTGGGATTGATGTAAAGGCTGCATAAGCAGTGATTCAAGGATCAATCTCTCTCTCTCTCTCTCTCGATTTCAACTTGAATTCACTGAACTGTGATCTCCAACTTCAATTTGATTCCCCGGACTGAGATTTATACGTTCGAATCCACGTTTGCGATTTTACGAGGTGGAAACGCCAGACGCTATTTTATTGTACTTTTAGCGTTCCAAACGTTTTGTGTGTAAATTGATCTGCTCAGCAAAGCAATTGTTCATTTTACATGTTGATAAAAATGATATAATATGCAGAAGCCTGTGCTAAAGTAGCCTGGTATACTCTTGGTTTTACAATTACATTAAAAATTTTGATTTTTTTTTGGGTCCAAAACATTACATTTGGTTAGATTAATATTCTTATTATCAAGGGATTATTTGTATTTCTCATTTTCTGGTTACCCATAAATTGTTGCCTCGACTGACCAGTATATATTGAAGACTTCGTCGGATTCTCTTTCTCTCTCTCTCCTTTCTCAACTACTATCGTCTCTCTATCTCTCTCTCCCTCTCGCTAGGGTTTCGATTTCAATTTTTTTTTCCTCTGAACCCGCGATTGAACTGAACCTTCACCGTCTTTCGCCATCTCCGTTTGATTTCCTCGGCATCGACGAAGCTTCTTGTTTCAAAGAACCTTGGATTTTGCTTCCGATTCGCCGGAAGCTTTATGCTCTGTAGGTGATTCCTCGGATGTTGGATGCTCTTGGTGAGTTTTGACACTTGTTTGTGAGACGCCTGATTTTCTGTCGGGATGTTATCTATACGGGGACGAATTTGAAATGTCCGGCCGAGATTTCGTTGATTCGTCGCTTCTAGGGTTATTTTCTCCTATTTGGTAGCTAAGAACGGAGAAGGAAACCAAGATTATTATGTTAATCTCTTGCTCTGCTTTCGATCTTCGTTGCTTCAATTTTGACAAGGGATTTTTGTTTCTCGCTATAGAGAGAATGGGGAAGGGATTTTGAGTTTGCATTACGTTCCTTCTGGTCTGTGTTGCCTTTATCCCGCGGCTGCTAATATTTTGCTTTTCTCATGCCTTCAGACATGACTTAGGTAGTTTAATGCTGTTCATTTGCTCTTGAATGGTTGCTACGATGGATCTAAATGCTTCACCTCAACCCGAAGAAGATGACGAACCCTATGTGAGACATCTAGAAGATTATTCGTCACGTGATGTTCGGATAGAGTCTGCTGTTGATATAGCAAGACGGGTACTATTAATTTCTACACTGTCCTATACAGTTAACTAAAAAGTCATAGCTTATGCGGCATCTCCACATAAATACTTATTTGTCCTGACCCTGAGGATGGATTTCGATTCTGTTGCAGGAACGTGAAGAGAGAAGGAAACGAATGAGATATGACAAGCCAACGCATAACTCTCAGCCAGTTTTCCGTGATCAGTATTATCAGAATCGAAATACCAAAGCTTATGATAGATACAAGATCCCTCAAGGTGATATTCCTTCACCAAATTAATTCCTATCATTTTTTTTTGTTTATTTACTCCCAAGTGTATAAACGGCTTCTGAAAATTTTTGGCTAGTATTTGTCTTTTCTTCCGTTTAGGGCAATGCTTTAAATGTGATGAATCTTTGACAGTCTGTCCAATATTACAGGTTGGCTAGATTGCCCTGCTTCTGGGAATGAGATAGGATTCATCGTTCCTTCAAAAGTCCCTCTGAATGAATCTTACAATAGTCATGTACCTCCTGGAAGTAGATACTCTTTTAAACAAGTGATCCATAACCAGAGGATAGCTGGGAGAAAGGTAATTTGTGGAATCGGTTTGCCTTACTTTGTTAAAAATACGTGTATGCATCATGGTCTATTCAACACTAGTATGTCCATGATCTAAGTGCTTTTTTTTTTTTTTTTGCGTAATGTCATTGTCTTTTTCAGCTTGGTCTAGTTATTGATTTGACAAATACAACTCGTTACTATTCTACAACAGACTTAAAGAAAGAAGGCATTAAGCATGTTAAGGTAAATGGAATACATACTTGTCTATCTATACACCCATATCATCCGTGACTGCTGTAAGAGATTGCTTTATCTTTAATTTTCTTTGCTTGTAGATTGCATGCAAGGGTCGTGATGCAGTGCCAGATAATGTTTCTGTAAACGCGTTTGTCAATGAGGTATATGCTTTGTGTAGTAAAAATCCATGAATCATACATGTTTTCCTGACGTTGTATTTTATTTTCTCTTGATGTTCTTATAAGAGAATTTTTGTCTTCAGGTGAATCAGTTCGTCCTAAATCTAAAACACTCAAAGAAGTACATTCTCGTCCACTGTACACATGGGCATAACCGGACAGGGTTTATGATCGTCCATTATCTTATGCGATCTGGGCCGATGAATGTCACACAGGTGAGTTTTCATTTCTCGTTTTATCTGTGCGCTTTATATACCTCTAAGAGTAAAGATTTTTTTATCATACAATGGTTTTTGTCAGGCATTGAAAATCTTTTCCGATGCCCGCCCCCCGGGGATATATAAACCAGACTATATTGATGCGTTATACTCGTTTTATCATGAAATAAAACCTGAGAATGTTGTTTGCCCATCAACTCCGGAATGGAAGAGGTCAACTGAGCTTGATTTAAATGGTGAAGCTTTACCAGATGATGATGATGATGATGGCGGTCCGGCTGGTTCTGTGCAAGTAAGCTCGGTGCTAACCAGTGATGTTTTGCTCGTTTTCTTAAGCTTCATACATGCCTTTTTCCTTGTTAGTTAGGGGAAACCATCTGAAGAACAGATTATTGCTGAATTCAGCTTCAGAATCATTGTTCTATGCCATTTTATCATTTCTTAGTGATCTTTGAAAACATTGGTAGTACCTACAGAAAAAGCCCTCTGACATGGGTTTAGGTAGGTTTTCAGAAGCTTCGATCACACGTGAATTAATTTTATCACGAATTTCGTTACTGGTGCATGTTGATGGGTGGAGTTGAGTTTATTCAAGGCTTACAAAGTTCATTTAGTGGTCATCTGGTTTCCATGCTTTTCTGGTAGTTAGTTTCTCATGGTTTCTTTTACTTCCGTATTGTTTCAGGAGGAAACCCATCAGGTGGAAGTCAAGTTGTCAAATGATGACATTTTGGGTGATGAAATACCCCCTGACCAGGAGGAAGGTTACCGGCAATTCTTTTATAGGATGCTATCGCTGAATATTGGGGTAGGAAATTTGAAATTTTGTTATGATTACACATAATATGATGTAGTTAAATCTATGAGTATCTCACACTTGAGGTTGCTGTCGCTGAATATTGGGGTAGGAAATTTCAATTCGCTTAAATGCCTTTTCATCTCGTGATTGATGTGTCTTATTCTGCTGTCACATTGACGCTACTTGAGAACATTGCAAAAGTCGGATGTGGTCATTTATAAGTAGAAATTGAAATTAGAACATCATCTTGATCATCTTGGTACATTAAAACATTTAGTGCTGAAGATGAAAGAATGTTTTCCTTGGCTTTTAGGTACTTTTCCCAGTGACTTTGGTTTCATTATGAATCCTTCAACATAGCTTATGATTTAGATTCTGCTACTTCTTTTCTTTTGGTTTGGTTAATATGCTTTTCCTCAAGTGGCTAGGTCAATCTCCTTATATCTCCATTTTTCGTCATTGGCCCATTGTGACATGTGCTTCCCGAATTTATTTTTCTCTAATCTAGGGACGAGGTTGCTCGCAATTTCCTGGTTCACACCCTGTCTCCTTAAACAGGTATTAATATCTGCGTTACTTCTTGTAGTGCATGCAAAGAGGATTGAAGTAATGCACCCCCTGAGTTTCGGATTCGTTTAGTGCATACTGTAGTCTTATTATTTTCATTTACTTGTGCTAAAAACAGGGATAATTTGCAACTCTTGAGACAGCGATACTATTATGCAACGTGGAAGGCTGATGGAACGCGATATATGATGCTGCTAACCATAGATGGATGTTATATAGTAGATAGGAGCTTTAGATTTCGAAGGGTACAGATGCGATTTCCCTTCAGGCATCCAACTGAAGTGAGTAGTTTTCTATCTTTGTTGAATGGGATGTATCAAACTATCAATATCTACACAGAGCTTTCTTACTTATTTACTTTTGGTTGCCAGGGAATATCTGATAAAGTGCACCATTACACTTTGCTTGATGGAGAAATGATTATCGATACCTTGCCAGATAAACAAAGGCAGGAGAGGAGATACCTAATCTATGATATGGTAGCAATCAACGGCCAATCAGTTGTAGAGGTTGGAACTTTGATTATTTATTTTCTTTCTGTGATCGATAATGGTTGGATTGGTTCCCTATGTTTGAAATTGGCTCATTTGGATCTCAAGCTCTTTAGCTCAAGATCTGAGAATGTATCGAGGCACATCGTAAAATGCTGTATCTGCGATAACCCTCATAATACACATTAGAGAAATTACGCATTATCTATGCCGGGTCTACTGTTGTGATTAGAGCGTTTGTTGTTTTTCATCTCTGATATGTCTCGTGATGCAATAAAGCCTTTGAGAATTATGAACATATATGATCCCTATAGTCATCTAGAGCAAGCATCTCATGCCGGTGGTGCGTATTCCATGCAAAGATTTGTACATCATTTGTCGCAGTTGTTCAGTATTATTTGTTGCAGACATTTAGTGTTGAGATAATATGTTTATCAACATACACACCTGTCAGTAGTGTAGAGATCCACTAGTTACTTGGCTTGCTGTATCATGTGTCATTTGCTTAAGATTTTAATGAAATGTTGCACGATTCATAAATGGACCAGCGGCCTTTCTATGAAAGATGGAAGATGCTCGAGAAGGAGGTAATAGAACCCCGTAATCATGAGAAGGTCAGAAGTCATATCTACAGATATGACCTTGAGCCTTTTAGGGTACGTACCAAGAGTTAACATTTTTTTTCTCATGCCATATTCCATTCTTACAATTCCTTTATCATTGTATAACTGCTCATGGAGCTGGTACAATTGTTTTCTCGACTAGGTACGGAGAAAGGATTTCTGGTTGCTTTCTGCGGTTGAGAAGGTTTTGAAGGGTTTCATACCATCACTTTCTCATGAAGCCGACGGCCTAATCTTTCAGGTAACCATGGGACCGGAAAAGGGGTCTCTGATGTTAGACTTTAGGTCCAAAGCCATATTTCTATACAAATGTAGAGATAGTGAAGTCTAGTTTTAGTACAGCTTCTTAATAAGTATCAGAAAATCTGCTTTTCTGTTAACAGGGCTGGGATGACCCTTATGTGGCCCGTACCCATGAAGGTCTGTTGAAGTGGAAGTATCCAGAAATGAACTCGGTTGACTTTCTATACGAGCAGGATGAGAGTGGCCGTGGAATGCTCTCCTTGTTTGAAAGAGGAAAGAAGAAACATATGGATGGAAATACTGTTGTTTTTAGAGGTGTGTATGGTGATATCTCCGTTTATATAAATAGTTAGTAGTAAACACCGTCAATCATAAGTTATCATTATGTCGAAGAACTACTAACTGCTAATGCTGAAACTGCAACAGATGATTCAGACCCTGCCGAGTACTCCGGGAAGATTGTAGAGTGTTCTTGGGATCAGGATGAGAAAGTCTGGGTTAGCATGCGGTTCAGGGTGGATAAATCAACGCCAAATGATATCAACACTTATAGAAAGGTAAGTACTTCATATCTTACCTCCCTTTATATGCTTGATTGTATTCCCCAGTGGTTGCATTATTGTTTGACGATCATACTTTCCTAAACGGAACAAATCTTTATGTCTTTTGTGTTTTCATCATATTTCCTTTCTGTGTAAGCGGTTTCTTCTACTGAAATGATCCTTCAGCTACCTTGTTTACCAATAAACATATACCATGACCCAAAGAAGAGCCTAGGCTTTCTTGGCTATATGTCAAATGTTACATGATGTGATGGGGTTTAGTCTAAACCACATTATGAATGTAAAAATAGGTGATGAGAAGCATAAAAGACAACATCACAGAGGAAGTGTTGCTGCAAGAGATAAGGGAGATCATCCGTTTGCCTATGTATGCGGACCGTATTCAAATGGATAGCAAAGCTGCGCGCCGAAGATGAAACAACAAACATCTGTTTTGTTTCTCTCAATACATACAAGAAGTTAAATCAACATCTGTCTGTGGATGGCCGGTTTTGCTTATTTGCTTCCCTTCTTTGCGAATCCCTGGTGCTTCTATTCTAACATTGTACGTAAGAAGATGGAAGGAACTCTGCTTATCTCTCATATGTGTAAGAATCCCGGTTTCGAGGAGCTTTGCTTTAGGGTTTTATTATGAATCCAATTCCGTTTGGCATATGTGATGATGGTTTTAGCTTGGAAAAAAAGGTGTGTCTACTCTTCTATGTGATTCATATATGTTTAGGTTGAGAAGGTGTTGTAATAGTACAAGTAATAGTACTTAGGAGGGATAATGTTGTATAATCGTTAGTATTAGTATCATATTATTATTGGTTCTTATTTACTTCAGAAGCAAAAAGTATGGTAGCCAACTTTGTCATAGATAAAGTATTATGATTCCGATTCTTTTCAACTCATATGATATCAACTATTCCATTTGAATCGTTAAAAAAATCTTTAAACACATAAACAGTATATAATAAAATAGAGAACTCATGTCGTTTATACAACATACCACACGATGACAAGACAACCCATTCGGAGTGAAGAAAATGGGTGATGTTTCTTACATTTGTAATTAAACAGCCTGTTGTTTCGTGGGCCGAAACTGTTCAACAAATTCACCTATCACATAGATCAAAACGGCAAGCAGTTACTCGTTCCTTCGTCATTCGATTTGACCGGCTGCGATCTACTCGAGCTTCCCACTTTTCCCGTTCACAGTATCAGCTTTGTCTCATTCTCCTTCTCGATCTCTCCTTCTACTCCCACCTCAATTCCCAAAACCCCAAAAATTGAGGGGGTTTTGCAAAATCTCACCCACATAATTGCTTTCAGTTCTTCGAACCTGGATCGGTTTGTTGTGCCAAAGGAATTGTCTAAAATTTGCAGAGTGTGATCATATGAAATCCCGTGCGCGACGGTGTCTGCTGATTTGTTTGCTCTGTCTTACCTTATCGAATCTCTCCTATGGGGAAAACAAGTTCAGAGAGCGTAAAGCCACCGATGACGACCTGGGCTACCCCGAAATGTAAGTATTCGATCTCTATTGAGTTGTGGGTAGACGATGCAACGCGTCAATTTGATAGACTTGTGCGTATTTATGTTAGGGATATTGTTTTTCTTCTTCTTAACTCGTAGCTTTGATATGTTTCCTTGCTCTTTAAGACTTTCTGGTTGGTTTCTCCGATTTAAATGTTTTCTGGGCCATTTCGTTGTGCAGTGATGAAGATGCTTTATTGAATACTCAGTGCCCGAGAAAATTGGAGCTGCGATGGCAGACTGAAGTCACTTCTAGCGTTTATGCTACACCCTTGATTGCTGATATTAACAGGTAGGATATTTTCCTACCAGTTTTATCTTGATTATTATTTGCTAAAATCTTATTCACAATCAGATATTTGTATTCTAAAATTTGGGGTTTTTCATGAGTGTTGGCTCAATATTTTTTGCTTAAACCTGGATTTGGGTTACAGTGATGGAAAGCTTGACATTGTTGTTCCATCTTTTGTTCACTACCTCGATGTTCTTGAAGGGGCTGATGGAGACAAGATGCCAGGTACAGGATATCTTATCTTCTTACCTTTCCCATGCGGAGTTTTTGTCTTGGCCTTGTCATCTAGTGATGTAAAATATGTAGGACTTTGGTATTTTTACTGATGTGTTCACTTCTGAAATGCTAGGGTGGCCTGCTTTTCATCAGTCAAACGTGCATGCTAGTCCTCTTCTATTTGATATCGACAAAGATGGTGTTAGGGAAATTGCTCTGGCGACCTACAATGGCGAAGTGCTCTTTTTCAGGTAATTGTTTCTCTCCGATGATATATATATTTTGTTATAGTGATCCTTGGAGTTTTATGGTTTTGCATACGATACTTTCTTTTCAGGGTATCAGGCTTTTTGATGTCAGATAAGCTAGAAGTGCCACGTAGAAAAGTGCACAAGAACTGGCATGTAGGACTGAATCCTGACCCTGTTGACCGTTCACATCCTGATGTCCATGATGAACAGCTTGTGCAGGAAGCTACGGAAATGAAGTCATCGAACACTCGTAAGTTTCTTTGTCATATTAAATTCTACACCAGTTTTCTAGGTTGCTGCTTAAGTTTTGCCCACATTCCACAGTATCTGCTTGGTTAATTTTGTGTTCTTCTTGTTTTAGAGGACACAGAACTAGTAAGATTGGTTGTATGGTTTATTTAATTGAAAGTGTAAAGCTATGTTTATGCATGGACCAGCTGCCTCAGCTAATCTGAAGAATTTTTGTATTCTTTGTCTTTACATTTATCTTATGGATTTTGCATCATCTGATGGGATTCCATCTTCACTTATCAGTATCTCCTGTATTTCGACGGTAGAGGAAGTACATGTAAAGCAGAGTCGTTTTAAGTCTTGATGAAATTAACTTTGTGACTCACTTCTCCTCTTTATAGAAACGAGTGCAACTACCACAACACCAAATGTTACAGTCTCGATGTCCAAAGAATTTCATGGTGAGGCTTCAAATGTGTCATCTCAAGAGGATCAAAAGAAACCCGAGAATAACCAAACAGAAGCTGGCGTAAAGCCTACTTCAGAGCTACATAATTCCTCCATGGATGTTAGAGCAAATACGTCGGCAGCAAATGATACTACTGCTGGCTCAACAAAAAATTTCAATGAAAATGTAACCACCAATGGGGTGGATCAAAGCAAGATTAGTGAAGTTAAGAATGAAACTGTGATTAAATTAAATACTAGTACGGATAATTCCTCAGAAACTTTGGGGACATCTGGAAACAGTAGTACGACAGAGACAGGAACCAGTAGTGGGAGGCGGCTTCTGGAAGATGATGGATCGAAAGAGTCTGACAATAAAGACAACAGTGAGGGTGTTCACATGGCCACAGTTGAAAACGATGGTGCATTAGAAGCTGATGCAGATTCATCGTTTGACTTGTTGCGTGATAATGATGAGTTAGGTGATGAATACAGTTATGATTATGACGATTATGTTAATGAGTCCATGTGGGGTGATGAGGAATGGGTTGAGGGGCAGCACGAGAACTCAGAGGATTATGTGAATATTGATGCCCATATACTTTGCACTCCTGTGAGTTTCATCTATGTCAAAACCCATTGTCTTGGATTAGTTGCTTCCATGAGAGATCTTATAGTGTCACTTTTTTATCAGGTAATTGCTGACATAGACAAAGATGGAGTACAGGAGATGGTTCTTGCTGTATCCTATTTCTTCGACCCCGAGTAAGTCTGCGTTTCATCTCTTTACCGGTGAAGGTGTTTCCATAATCTGTCAATGCAAAAGCATCACTAGTAATGATTTTCTGAAAGGTCTTAGATATTAGCGTTTCCAGTTTATTTACTTTGCTGAATATAACTGACCCTGATAGCGAAATATTCAGGTACTATGACAATCCAGAACATCTGAAAGAGCTTGGTGGTATTGACATCAAAAAATATATTGCTAGTTCGGTTGTGGTTTTCAATCTTGAGACTAAACAAGTTAAGTGGGTCAAAGAGCTAGATTTGAGTACGGATACAGCCAACTTCCGTGCATATATTTATTCTTCCCCAACGGTTGTCGATTTGGATGGCGATGGTTACTTGGATATTCTTGTCGGAACTTCCTTTGGCTTATTCTACGCCATGGACCATCGTGGTAAGACTTCTTGTAACTTCCTACTGTTTGTCTAATTTACGTAGAATATTCCACAATTCCATTTCTCTGCAGACAGAAATTTCACTTTTAATAGATTTCTATCCATAATGAGTCTTTCGCTTCAAATATGTTCTCACAAGTAAGAACGTATTAGGACTAGTCACTACAGATTTTGTTGCACTGGGTAATCATGACAGTTTCGTTTGCAAGACTCGGCGTTGATTTGGATTCTAAGAGTGTTGTATTTTTGCAGGAAACATCAGGGAAAAATTCCCACTTGAAATGGCTGAAATTCAAGGGGCAGTGGTTGCAGCTGATATAAATGATGATGGAAAGATTGAACTTGTAACAACTGATTCCCACGGAAATGTAGCAGCATGGACCACCCAAGGAGTGGAAATTTGGGAAGCTCATCTAAAGAGTCTTGTTCCCCAGGTGAACACTTACCTCCGTTTATTCTCATCTCGTGTGGAACAGTCTTATGAATGAACTTGTTGTAGGAGAATCAATGCGATTCTATCACAGTGCATATAAACTTTCATGGGTTTCGCGTTATGTTACGTTTAAGTTTTAAGTCCCTGCGTGGGACCAAACGTCCTTTAACTTGAAACCTGTCTCTGATCATCACTTCACACTCAGTGACTGATACCAATCTTCTCTTTCAGGGCCCTTCAATAGGCGATGTTGATGGTGATGGACATACTGATGTTGTGGTTCCTACAACATCAGGAAACATTTATGTTCTTAGTGGCAAGGATGGTTCGATTGTCCGTCCTTACCCGTATAGAACTCATGGAAGAGTTATGAACCAAGTTCTTCTTGTTGATCTGAACAAGCGAGGTGAGAAAAAGAAGGGACTCACCATTGTCACCACATCCTTTGACGGTTACCTATACCTCATAGACGGACCCACCTCGTGCACTGACGTTGTTGATATTGGTGAAACTTCGTAAGTCACTTGCTTCTTCGCGTTACATCTAATACCTTTAGTAGCTTCGCTTTTTCAGTGGATTTTGATCGCCAAGATGTTTCCTGTTACAGGTACAGCATGGTCTTGGCTGATAATGTTGACGGTGGAGATGATCTTGATCTCATTGTCTCAACTATGAATGGAAACGTCTTTTGCTTCTCAACGCCTTCTCCTCACCATCCCCTCAAGGCAAGATCAACCCCGAATTCTGTTTTGAGGGGGAATTCCTCAACATCTTCGTGTTTCTTTTTTTTTTTTTTTTAATGTGTGAGATTACTAATTTCGCACTTGGTTCTCGAATTCATCAGGCTTGGAGATCGACTGATCAAGGGAGGAACAATAAGGCAAACCGTTATGAACGTGAAGGCGTTTTTGTCACGCATTCAACCAGAGGTTTCCGCGATGAGGAAGGCAAAAACTTCTGGGCTGAGATCGAGATCGTTGATAAATACAGATATCCATCTGGTTCACAAGCACCCTACAACGTTACAGTAAGTTCCTCAAACCTCAATTGATGATTGGCAATGGGTTTCTTGCTTTTGATCCCTTGAATGGTAAAGTAGAGCGGTTTTCAAATGTACAGACGACGCTGTTGGTACCAGGAAATTACCAGGGAGATAGGAGGATAAAGCAGAGCCAGATCTTTGACCGACCGGGGAAATACCGAATAAAACTACCAACCGTTGGAGTGAGAACAACAGGCACCGTAATGGTGGAGATGGTGGACAAGAATGGACTCCATTTCTCAGACGAATTCTCTTTAACGTTCCATATGTATTATTACAAGCTTCTGAAATGGCTTCTTGTCCTCCCGATGCTCGGGATGTTTGGCCTGCTCGTGATACTACGGCCTCAAGAAGCCGTGCCCCTCCCATCCTTTTCCCGCAACACAGATTTATGATGTTAGGTTCTGTCCGTACGCCGGAGCTCCTTAATTAGCTCGTCTAAAGGATCCAGGGACAAGTTCGTACTAGAATTTTGGTGTTTCTGTATCCTTTTTAAAAAATATCCTGTAATTCGACTTTTAGATCATTTTGTTTTCTGGGTTAGAAATCTTTAGATCATCTTTCTTTGAGTTTATAAAGTTTATGCATGCATTACTGAAGTCTTCAGAGTCCATTTTGAACTAACAAGTTGCAAGATTTTAGGATGTTTCTATAATTGTTTTTATTACATAACTAATGATACTGATGAGAAGATGCCATAATGTGATTAAGATCTGAGTTAAATACAAACATTATGAATAACAGTTGTATAGACAAGCAATTTTTTTATTTATCAGGAGAGCTGCGACAATGGTCTCTTACCAAGCCTCTTCATCTCTCTCTCCATGCTTCCTGTGAGCATCAGACTAAACATCTTGAGATCGCAGAGAAACGACCAAACCGGGTGCCCAAAGCTCGCCGGGATATTGCCTTCCACGAAGAAGTGGCTGTACCACGCGAACCCGTATCCAAACAGAGGCACCAGAGCCACGAACCACCGGCTGATCAGAATCGAACACAATAAAGCCACGATGCTCGCGATTATACCCATGAAGTGCCATCGTCTCGTTGATGGATTCGAGTGTTGCATCACGTAAAATGGCCAGAACTCCTCAAAGCTTCTGAAATTCATCTTTCTCCAAGAAAACCCCTAATTTGATTAACCGAGATATTTAGAAGACGAAACGTACCTGGCGAATCTTGGAACAATACATTAAATATCAACATTATTTGCAAATTAATTCTAGAACATGGGATGATGAAATAAATTAAAACCATATTTGTGGGCTTTTAAAGGCCCACATTATAGCGGGCCTTATTTCACAACCATCTAAAATTGGGCTTGAGCTCTGAGTAATATTTTCCTTTTTTAATAATTGCGAGAAATCTTTTTAAAATTGAGGAGAGAAACTACAGATTTTAGGTTAAATTAATTTTATAACGGAAGATTTTTTTAAATTGAAAAATCAATCGTGTAGAAAATGTTTCCCTCCTATACAGTAACGACAATCCCCGGAAAATCCCCAAGATCACCATCCCTCTCTCCCCTAGGGTTTTTCGTCGTCCTTCCGATACCAAATTCATCGGAAATTTAGGGCTTTTTTCCTCTTCTTATTGTTCCCCTAATCAGGATGAAGCTGAGCCAGAAATTAAAGAAGACTTGTCCATCAGCTAAGGTACGTCTTATCAATCACTAGCTCACCAAAATATCGAGACAAAATGTATTGAATATTCTAGTTTCCGTAGAAACTTCCTCAAAATGGATTTTTGTTATTCTTCAGCTGATTCTGCAAGAGATCATCGGTTTGACCACAAAGAACGCCAATGGTTTGGCGTCGGTGTCCTGCAGCTCGAGATGTTTTTACTTGGCGGGATGCGTTGTGGTGCTCTATGATGTAGATTCGTGCACTCAATCGCAGCTTGTCGTAGCTCACCGGACGCCTAAGCCTCTGACCTGTGTGGCCGTTTCGCAGAATGGGCGGTTCGTAGCTGCTGGAGAGGTATATATGAATATGATAGTGTTTTCATTTGTTACTTACCTGTGTTGTTGAGATAATTAGATTAAGGGTTCTCAGTCACCAAATCTCTCTGCAGTCTTGAGATTTTAGATAATCAGTTTTAAAGGGAAATGCATTTGATTTAGAATATGATGACTTTCGTATCCTGATTGGTTTCTGGTGTTTGATTTTGATTTTCTCAGTCTCCGAATCTCTCTGCGGTCTTGATATGGGACTGTGAGACATTGGGACTTGTGTCGGAGTTAAAAGGCCACCTTTATGGAGCTCAATGTCTTTCCTTTTCACCAAATGGTTAGTTTTCGTTCTTTTGTTGTTGCTGAAACTGTCCTTAAAGGGTCTTATCCATTTTTTGTTTTTCTTAGTTGAGTAGTTGTATTTTTTATTTTCTTACTTTGGTCTTTAGGGGAATACCTGGTTAGTGTTGGAGGATACATATATCTTTGGGACTGGCGCAGAAGCATCTTACTGGCGAAGGTCAAAGCGAGTTCTGAAATTACGTCTGTGGCATTCTCATCCAATGGAAAATTCATTGTTACTTCCGGAAAAAAGCATTTGAAGTTCTGGACAGTTGGTTCTTTTCAGAGGACACGTTCAAGCAAAGTAGGATCTCTGGCATTTCATGGAAAGCCAACTGATAATTTTCTTCAAAAAGGAAACTCATTTGTATCAGTCATATCAGCCAACACAGTGAACTCCAGTGGAAGTCACGAACGAGCTGAAGAATCTATCTCAATATACGCTCTTACAGATGCAGGTATTCGCTCCACACATTTACGGCTGTGAATATGATTTTTTGAGTACGCATGCAGAATTCTTTTTCACAAATATTAATTTTCTTCCTTTTGCGTAGGGGTTCTGCTTCTCATGAGTTGTGGGATGTCAATCAAGAAATCAGTTGATCTGAAGGTACAGTAGTTTCATTTCTTTTTCCATTGTTAATCCATGACCTTCAGTGGATCACGCTAGCATTGACTGTATTTTTCTTATGAGCAACATGTATGCGTTGATTCTAGGAGTACCGAAAGCAATAGATTTTATATGTTAGCTTGCGGAGAATAATTTCAATGAATGGCTTGTGATGATATGTAGGTTGAAAAATGCTTTGCTCTATCTGCATCTAGTCGATTGATAGCCTGCGCTTGCAGCAAGGGAGCGATCCAACTATTTACTCCTGAAACTTTAGAATATGCTGGCACGATACACTTTTCAGATGCTAGAAAGAGCGACACTGAAAATCATTCTAATTCAACAGAACTAAAAAATATAGAATCTCAGTCTGTTATCTTTCCGGACGCAGTTGCTTGCCAGTTTTCGACCACAGATAAGCTCGGTTAGTGTAGAAGAACCTCATAAGGCAGTATGATGCTTTTACCAATCTTCATTTTGACTAAAGGTGGAATTTTGGCTTCGCAGTTGTCATCTATGGGGATCATAGTCTCTATGTTTGGGATGTGAATGATGTGAACAAGGTAATTCTAAATGTATTTCAGTATTTGCCACAGAGAGTTAGTTGATTTTGAAGTTCTTTTGGAGCCAATGCTACTTCTGAAGTTTCCTGTTGAAGCTTAGAGAATCAACCGCATATGGTGAAAGTTTTTCCTTATTCCAGCCTACTAGGTGCTCTATGATGATATCACATTCCGCCAGCATTTGGGATATAAAAAATCTCTCTTGTGGAAATATGCACAGTCCTACAGCTGCATGTGTAGCTAGAGGATGCTGTGAAGGGGTTTCCTTCACTACTTGTTCTGAAGATGGAACCATACGGTTGTGGGATCTTGCTCTTCAACTGGATCCTTTAGAAGCCAATGCAAGCAGCAATTCGTCAGAATCTGGGACTATGCATTTAGGTAATTATCACATATGATCAAAATTTGAAACATATTCGTTAAGATGGAGTAGTCTTTTAATGTTCTGGATATATAATGCAGCTAGCGCTGGAATATTTGAACGCGATCTCGTTGAGACATCTAGTACCAAATTTGGTTTCCGAGCACTGGCAGTAAGTGAAGATGGAAAGTACTTAGCAGCTGGTGACTGTGGAGGGAACCTTCATATATATGATCTACAAAAATCAGAGTATACATGCTTTACGGTAATCTTACTCAGCGGTGGTCAAATTTTTAATAGGCTTCATTTCCTCAGTAGTTAGTGTCCAGACATCCAATTCTGGTGCCTCTTATTGATAATATTGCAGGATGCTCATGATGCAGAAATTCAGTCACTGAGCTTCAGCTCTCCTGGACTCAAAGATGTTGATTCTGAAAACGCCTCAAGCAGCGATTTCTTGCTAGCTTCTGGTGGAAAGGGCCGAGCGATCCACATTTATGATGTCGAAAGGTGTATACACAACTGCTTTGTTTTGGTCTTTTGGCTTCCCTGGCAATGCCATACGAACTTATATGTTTCTTATTGTCAGGAACTTTGATCCCGTTGGGAGTGTTTGTGGTTCAGCTGCTGTAACTTCTGTTACATTCGCATGTAATGGCCGGAAAATTTTAACGTCGGGTGCAGATAGGTAATGTTCTCTATGCTGCCAGATCGGGAAAGTTTCATATTTATTTTAGAGAACTTTTATACATATTTGTTGATATTTGTGCAGTTTGCAGTTGTTTGACGTTGTCAGAAAAGCAAGTAGCGTGCGTCTTTCACCTTCTCATCCTCAAACTCTATCTCATGGAACCATCTATGATATGGCGGTAGATCCAACATCAGGACTTGTTGTCACAATGGGACAGGTATTGCTACCTTTCGATGTCTGGAGCACATTCAGTCAATTAATCATACACCTTGGATCTGATTAAACAAGCGTCTGATGTCTTATTTTATGATTGCAGGATAAGAAGTTAAACATATTCGACATAGAAAGTGGAAAGCTTGTCAGATCATTCAAGCAAGACAGAGACCATGGAGATCCCATAAAGGTGTATTGAACAGACAATTTGATAAGGTTTCAACATCGTTTGATGTTCTAGTGCTGACAACAAAATCTTATCCACAGGTCATTTTGGACCCAAGCTGCAGCTACTTGGCATGCTCCTACTCTGACAAGACAGTCTGCTTTTTGGACTTTGTCACAGGAGAGTTGGTTGCTCAGGCCACAGGACATGGTGAAGCTGTGAATGGTGTTATTTTCCTACCTGATTGCAAACATATCATTTCAGTAAGTTTCTAAATTGTAGCTTCCGTTATTTACAAATGTAAGAACCTTGCTTGGCATTCTGATGAAGTCAAGATCAGTATCTCATTCCTATGGAATTTGATTCACCGTATGAGAGCTTTCTGTGCTTGAAAGCGTGGATCTATCTTGGTATACCTCTAATGAAAAATGAACAGCAGCGATCAAATTTTGCTACTAAATTTTCTTTGGTGTTTATTGACAGGTTTCAGGTGATGGCTGTATTTTTGTTTGGAAACTGCCTTTGCGAATGGTTACTCGTATGATACGGGCAGTAAATGAAAATGGCAGATTAGCTCCTGTAACTGTGGCTCAACCCGCAACGTTTATGCAAATTGTGGGTTATTTGGATGAAGACAATCCAAATGATGCACCCTATTCTGCAAAATATAAGCTAGTAGAAGAGAACGCAGATCAGATGCAGCAACGCTCTCCATGGACATCTTCATTTAAGTTCAGCGTTTCTCGGCTTCCTAAATGGGCTCAATCTAAAGTGGAAACATATGGCATTGCTACCACTTGTGAGGATTCCATTTCAAACCAGGTATAAACCCAAAAAGTCATCTTTTAGATCCAAAAATTCAGCTAAAGGCTTCCATTCTTCTGATATTGGGTGTCGTGATTGCCTCCACAACAGGAACAGGAACATGAAGATAAAGTTCTAGTGAATGCTGTTGAAAGTCCTGAAGAATGCTCTTCTGTGAATCTTGAATGCCAAACCCCCAAACAAGGTTCAAGAACCGAAAAGTCATGCCATGGAAGCCTGTCCAAAACCTCCAGCGACTCTGGAACTACAAGGCTTCAAGAAGATGCTCCTAGGTAAGAAGATCTAGCTTGTTTCGGGTCGTTACTGCATCATTTTTCTCTCTATCTCTATCCCTGCTCTTAGGAGAACCACATTTTTGTTTTAATTTTATGTTTTCAACAGCCATAGGAAGGAAACGCGCTGGAACACTATCTACAACGTTTGTTTGGATCTTCTAAATTCTCCAAACATCCAAACAACTTTCTTTAAACAGCAGAAACCAGAAAATATCTGCACCAAACGTTCTGCCGAACAGGGCGACATGCTCAAGCTGTTTGATAACAGTTTGTCCATTATAGACGAGGTGAGACCTCTATTCACTATTCCTTCAACATTTATAGTTACCAAGAGAAATCACTATGGTCAATAATGTTTACTTTATCCACAGATGGAGACCGAGAAAACATCGCAGCAAAGAAGATATTCTACCCAATTTGTGCTTAGAAGGGACTACATCGGTGGAGCCAAACAATGTGTACGTACACCCTCCCAGAAATCAGGGTACAATACTTTGAGGCCGATCCAAGAACATTTCCCTCTTGACACGGTGAATGATCCATCTTCCCAAGAACATACTGAACAGGTTTCACCAAGTCATATATTGATATACCTGCACACATATATACATACTTTACACACACGCTATTACATATTTATAGGCTTGAACTCACTCAGAGATGCATAAAAAATTTCCAGCTACGGTTTCAAGTGCCAACGTTATGTTTGTGTATTAAGTAAAAAACTGAACTTGTGATTTTTATGTTTTATGTAACTCTGGTTCTCTTCTGCCACAGGACAAGACCTCTTCAGAAGTATTCCATGATACACTTGCAGACGATTCACTTCAAGAAAGAATAACTTATTGCCGTCAAGCACTGCACGGTTTGAACGCTGCTGCAGCGGTTTTCGTCCAGGCGATGTCGGAATTATCTACAGCTTCTCCCCGAGATCAAATCTCAGGTGAACTCAGAGCCCAGTTGTTCGATGAAGCAGCTTTGATGGTCCCAGAAATGTCTCGGAAAGTTAATGAAGTTGTTGCCAAAATGATGCTTGAGCACAAAAATCGAAAACAAGCGATGGGTATTTTGTCTCCGATTAGTTTAAGTCAGCAGTAGAATTTCAGTATACTTACAAACACTGTAAAGATTTTCCTCTTACAAAATGAATAATAATAGATCGATTTGTTGCATACTTGCACTTCCTATTTTGTTAAACATTGACGGCTTTGCTTTAGAAATGTTTGTTTTTTTTAACATACTTACATAGTACGTTGTATACACCTTTTTCTTTTTAGTCTCATATTTTATTAATTTCTTAATTTTCAAGATCAAAATCGAATTTGTTACTTACAAAAACCGGATCCACCAAAATGATGTTGTGATTTGAACTCTCTTTGTTTTTCAACTTTGCCTTTTCTCTCTCTCTTCGTTTGAGGACTACCACTACTAGCTGCTGATTTTCATGGCAATAGATTAGTAGTCACGTTTTATGATATCCAGTTATATATTCGGTTACTTAACATATATACGTTGATATATTGGATCTAATTAATGCCATCCTTTTGGAAATAATTTCTTCTAGATACATTAATCATAAAACATATTATTGTAATAAGATTTTTTCATACATACGTTGATATATTGAATCATTGTTTGAAGTGTTTTTTTCTTATTAATCAAACACTTAAAATAAATATTCGAGTATTTGAAGAGTTTAGAAGATCCAAACACACTTTTAAATATCTAAATACTTTTGATCAGTACTAATATTTTTTTTTGGTGGACTTGATCAGTACTAATATTGTTCCTATGTAATAACATATATATTTTATTTGTATATAAATATATAGTAAGTTGAATTATAAGGACGAGCTGAATCTAAATTTACATTATAAAGAAGTGTTTTCGTAAGAATTAGCAAATTATCATTTCAGAGCCATACCATTGTCTAACCATCTAAGAAAATATGTTTAGCTCACAAAAATTTTGTAGTAAAGCAAATCCTAGAAATTTGTCCTGTTTTAGATGCTTTTCTTGTCTTGCTTTAGTAACATGCTAAACCAAAAAAAGAGTTCACTCCTTTATTGGGATTCCTCACTCTGATTAAAGAAACAAACAAAACAAACAAATAAATAGAAAAAAAAGACGAAAAACAAAAACACAAGATTTGAAATAGATGTTAAGAAAACAAATACTCCCTCCGTTCCATAATAGATGATGTTTTAGAAATTTCACTCTTATTAAGAAACAATAAATATGTATTACTTTCAGTTATTTTTTTGTCTTTTCACTTTCTAAATTTTTTTTTCACACACTTATTAAATGCAATATAATCATTATGAATGAATTTTAGTTCCATCACTTGATATTATTGGTTTGTTTACATATAAACATTTATTACTTCAAAATAATTAAATAAAATATGCTATTAAATCATTCTTGTAAAATGTAATAGCATTAAATACTTTCAAAACATCATCTATTTTGGAAAAAAAAAATCTTAAAACATCATCTATTCTGAAACAGAGGGAGTATTAAAAAATTATAATGATTCTAATTCTTTTAATTTAACGTGTGAGTCATGTGTTATCACATTTTTTTAATATGACGTCTTAGATAGAACGTACCATACACCATTTTATATAGACGAGTCATTACAAATTACAAAATGCATCGACACTTATTAGTTAGAGTATCTGAGTAGGAAAGAAACTAAAGAGACTTTCAGTCTTTCATAAATGTGAATAGAATGACATACAGAAGCATGTTGGGTCCAAAACAGAGGCTTTTTATGTAAAATAATAAATCTTTTGCGATTTAAAAATAGAAAAAAAAAATTAAGGTGGGTTGTTTTTTCTTCGTGATAAATTGGGAAACCCAAAAAGCCTTTGATTTCTGTGAGTTGTCGAATGTTGTGGGCCAAAAGGTTCATATTTCGATTGTCCTTTTCCAACTCATAATTTCTCTTGTAATGATTACATCTCTCTTTTCTTTTCCTTTAACTTTGATCCAATATTGTGTTCAAAAAAATACACAATACTTATATAAATATAGAGCGAGTCTATAATTATAAAATAAATAACAAATTTTATAAAATAGTTTGGTTTAGTTTAGATTATTAATTAAGTTAAGTAGATTGGTCTGATAAATGAGTTACATCAGTAGAAAAATAGTAAATGGTTATTGTAAATAACGAATTATGCTTCGGAAATTAGTTTCTTCTTTAGTAGAAGCAGTTTTTGAGAGATAAAAGGTTGATCAGGAGAATTTAAGTATACTGTATGTGTATCTCTCAAGTGTTTATTGGGTTTGTTGTCATTTGGGGAAAATAATATGGTTATTCAATTATTTGTAAGCACGAGCTGGTGTGTTCTTTGTTGTTCAGTTACTTAATGTTTGACTTTGAAAAGCGAGAAATGGAGTGAGTGATGGAGAAGAAGAGGCATCACGGTATCTGATCATGTAGTTTTGGTGGTGACTATTACTGTTGATCGACGAATCTTGTAGGGTAAAGTTTTACAAATTAATATAAAAACTAGAGGTTGAAAAAATTCAAATGACAATCACTCTCTAGTCATGGCATTTGGTAGGCAAGATGCAAGTATATAAAGCGTTAAAGAATAAAGACCAATCGCATAAAGAGATATCACCAAGTAAATCAATTATACCGTAATTTTGCTTTAATTGTACCATAATCTCTTATAGACTATAGTATTTAGATTTACACAATTTATAACCGTTTTCAAAACTTTTACCATACTATCATCTTTTATATCACACACCAAACTTTTTTCCCATGGTTTTGATCTTAAAAAAATCTTAATCATGATCTTCAATTCATGATTAAATGACACAGTACAAGATAATCTATAATATAGCGCTGAAATAATTATTACGTTTTATGAATTTTCTTTATTTTTTAAAAACTTCTATACAAAAAAAAAATATATTTTACATGCTATGATCATTTGTATTACAGTATGTAATATTCTTCTTTTATTGTTAGGAAACTAAATATTTTTGACTTTTAATTTCCTCGATTTTTGTAGAAAAATCTTACTAAAATAATTAGGAAGTATATAAAGAAAGTAAAAAAAAAAGAAAAGGAAAAAAAGAAGATGAAGAAGAGATACCGCGTTAAAGTGAAAGGTGAAGTAATAATTTAGGTATCAATAAACACCCACATTAATGCCATTGATTGCGTGAGGTTTAATGGGATACGAGGCAACAGTGAGGGTCAGTACATCACACGCGCACACGTCGCTAAAATAATTACTTGAACCAAAAAAGAAATAATACTACCTCTTACGAGTTAACAAAAGAAATACTTATGTATATACTTACGATTACAAAAGTACATTTTTAATACTAGAAATAGAAAGACATACACACGAAAATACTATAAAGAACGAATGATGATGGATTATATATACACGTGGGAACTAATTGGCAAACTCTTATAAGTCTTTTTTTCTTTCTTTTTCTTAAGTATTTTTTTCTTTCAACCAAAGGGCTATTTTTCGAAGTCTTTACCCACACGCTTGAGAATATATTTATACACAAACACGGTACACATTCTTCTGTACGTAGTTCTATATGTAACTCAATCTGCTCGTCTTTACCAAGTTTATAAGATTACTTTGAAATGAAAATATGAAATTCGTAATCATATTATATTCGTCTATTTATATATACAGTCGACGGTACGCTAAGAACAAACTTATATTCCACAAACGATGGAAAACGACGGCGTTCGGAGGCAGGACAAGATTTGCTTCCCATGCTAGAGACATTCCGAGACCGTACTACCAGGACAAAAATATAGCTCCAAATCATATGAACAATGAACAGTGTAAACAATATAAAATGCATCCACAAACCTCACACAGAATATATATATTTTCAATAAATATTTTTTTTTCCGAAAAAGAACAGATAAGAAAAGAAACAAAAAGAAAAACAAAGACAAATTTGATCAGATAAAGGAGATAAAGTTAAAGTTAATAGAGTGCATCGCAAAAAGCATACAAATAATACAGTCCTTGTCTCTTTGAAAGCAAAAACTTTCAAATATTTGATCTCGTATTTTTCTTGACTCTCAATTCGAATGGGATATACAATTATTTAACCCCATTCAAAAATAAATCTTACTTACCAAATAAAGTACATTTTAATTCTTGAATATTGTACGTAGAATAAAAAAGAAAAATAATTCTATTTTCTTGTAATAGCTAGTAGTATAAAAACCGTATTTCTTCTTCCAAAAACAGTGATTGTGTTCGAATATGATTTATGTAGAAAATGTATAGAGAAAAGATAGAAAAGGAAAAAGGAAGAAGAGAGAAAGCGAAAGGAGAGAGTGTCATAGAGACAAGGAGTGTGATGGCGTGATTTGCTTTTATTGGGCTCGTAAGGTCCGAATCTTTGAAATTCCAAAGTATCCCTTTTATTGTATTTTTTTCATAATAAAATAAATTGTTAAAGTGGTTAAAGTAAATCGGTAATTTTCATAGTCGACGCTGTTGCTATGATTGATGCGATAATTGACATGATTATCATGGTAGAAGTAGAACTGTGGAGAAGCAGCACTGTCAGATATTAAAAAATCAACTAGGGCTGGAACGGAGCCGGATATCTAGATTTTTCAAAGTATCCAGATCCGGCTCCGGATTTGACGGATAATCAATTTTATTATCCGAATCTGGATCCGAAAACTCCGGATATCCGGAGACCGAATATCCGGTTTGAACCGAAGATTTACGGATATCCGACCGGATATCCGGTTTCGTTGATTTAAAAAAAAACTTCAATTTTTAAAATTATAATGAGATAACATATATAATTAAAATGTATCATTATAGCAAAAATTACAAATACCAAAAATTTAAAAGCATTCAAGTAGTATTCAAATAACACAAAGTTTAAAAATTTATATAACAAAAGAGAAAATAGTAATAGAGAAGTTAATTTATTTTCATATCCTTGTGTTATCTATTTTCATGGTCTTCTCTCACAATCTGAAATAGAAAATTATCATGCAATATAATTTCAATCATGTGTAAAAGAGTTAAACCAAAAACAATTTTCAAACATAATTAAAACAAAAAATTAAATGCATATCCAAAGATTTCAAAATTTTCAAAATCTTAATAAACGGATATCCGAGTTTAAAATTTTCTATTATCCGGATCCGTATCCAAAATAACCGAATACTTAATTTCACTATCCGGATCCGAATCCGAACTACACGAATATCCGGTTTTTACGGATCGGATAGGATCGGATACCGGATCGGATAGCGGATACCGGATAATAATTCCAGCCCTAAAATCAACTAAATCGTAAAATATATTTTTATAAACGAATTTTATTAAATATGTTTATACAAACAATGCTCACAAATATACACAACTATTTTGTGGATACATTTCATGTTATAAGAACGCATCAAATACATTTTCTTTGGATTATCGATGACCACATTGAGATCGTCTTCTTTTTTTGTTGAACCTTTTTTTCATTGTTATCGTCTTTAACGATATAGATAAATATTTAGTCGTATGATCCTATGCATTTTATATACAAATTTTGAGAAAGGGTTGCTTTTCATAAATTTCTTCCTTTGTTGAATCACACTAGTTATATCTTATATTTCTAGGAATTTCGAAGCTAGATAACATCGAAGGATGATTTTCCAAGATAAACAAAATTTATTGATTTATTTTTTTGTCGAAATTATTGATTTAATTTAAACTAAAACATGTGTTGCTTTTGAAAATTTGTCAAAAGCAGTGTGAAAATTTTGATTTTTTTCTTCTTTCTTATAAAATCGCTTTTGGCAAAAGCAGGAAAATAATCCACACTGCAACCGACCCAACAAGTAACGGGTTTATATTACACGAGACAAAATCGGAAGACACATAAGGTCAAATTGGACATTTGACATCTATACTAACACTAAACACCGTAATCACTTTAAACTTTTTTGATTATTTTTTTCCTGTAGAATTTCAGTCTGTATAGACATGTTAACAAAGAAAAAAGTAATTAGTAATTGGACAGGGAGAAAAAGCACAATTTTGTAAACGCAAAACCAACTAACAAAATCCATTTTTCATCTTTTCTCTTGATTTAATGTTAAAAATTAGTTTTTAATTGATAACCACACTAAACTAAGCAAAGACTTATTTTCCTCGGAACAATTTTATTTTAGAAAACTATTTTCTTCATAAATAATTTGTTTTGTGTTGTTTCGATTCTCTTCATCTCCTTTCCTTTTCAATTACCGTTGGAACCAGACTAAGTTTCAGAAAGAAGACACATACACACACACTCTCTCTCTCTCTAACCTCGGTGTTGTCTCTCTCTCTCTATAAGCAGAGAGACAGTGATGACAATACTCTGAGCAGAGGAAGGATTAACCACGATTTCCCGTCATGAATCCGGCAAGCGACCCTGTCTCCGCAGCCGCAGCAGCTCTAGCTCCGCCTCCACAACCTCCGCAGCCACACCGTCTCTCGACCTCCTGCGACCGTCACCCGGAGGAGAGATTCACCGGTTTCTGCCCCTCTTGTCTCTGTGAACGCCTCTCAGTCTTAGATCAAAACAACAATGGCGCTGCGTCGTCTTCCTCTTCGTCGCGGAAACCTCCGACCATCTCCGCTGCAGCTCTCAAGGCTCTCTTCAAGCCTTCCGGGAACAACGGAGGCGGCGGAAACGCCAACGGGAACGGCCGGGTTAAACCCGGGTTCTTCCCGGAGCTCCGTCGTACGAAATCGTTCTCGGCGTCGAAGAACAATGAGGGATTCTCCGGCGTGTTTGAGCCACAGCGTAGGTCTTGTGACGTCAGACTTCGAAGCTCTCTGTGGAACTTGTTTAGCCAAGATGAGCAGCGAAACCTTCCCACCACTGTTTCCGGCGGTGAGATTGAGGTCGAGCCTAGGAAATCTAGCGTCAGGGAGCCTGTTTTAGAGGTTAACGACGAAGGAGAAGCTGAAAGTGACGGCGAATTCGAAGAGGACTACGTCGAAGCCGGCGATTTTGAGATTCTTAATGATTCCGGCGAAGTAATTGGGGAAAAAAGCGACGAAATTGTTGAAGAGAGAGAGGAGATTGAGGAAGTTGAAATCCCGGAGAAAGCTATAACCGAAGAGGAATTGAAGCCAATGAAGGATTACATAGATCTCGATTCTCAGACGAAGAAGCCATCGGTGCGAAGGAGTTTCTGGTCGGCGGCGTCTCTTTTCAGCAAGAAGCTTCAAAAATGGAGGCAGAATCAGAAGATGAAGAAGCGGCGGAACGGCGGCGATCATCGGCCGGGATCCGCTAGGTTACCGGTGGAGAAACCGATAGGGAGACAGCTCCGGGATACTCAATCGGAGATCGCTGACTACGGATTCGGCCGGAGATCGTGTGACACCGACCCTCGATTCTCGCTCGACGCCGGGAGATTTTCTCTGGACGCCGGAAGATTCTCCGTAGACATCGGTAGGATCTCGCTTGACGACCCTCGTTACTCGTTCGACGAGCCGAGAGCTTCCTGGGATGGGTCTCTGATCGGAAAAGTAGCGTTTCCTCCCGTTGCGAGACCTCCGCCGCCGCCGTCGATGCTTTCGGTGGTAGAGGATGCGCCGGTGCACCGTCACCTAACCCGATCGGATATGCAGATTCCGGTGGAAGAACCATCACCACCACCACAGATGGTTAATCCAGCCAACAATGTGTCCGACCCGGTTATAATCCCGGGCGGGTCGATCCAAACCCGAGACTACTACACTGATTCGTCGTCAAGGAGGCGGAAGAGTCTCGACCGATCCAGCTCCATAAGGAAAACCGCTGCAGCGGTTGTGGCGGATATTGACGAGCCGAAGCCGCCAGTGTCAGTAGAAACTCACTCAGGATCACTGAGGGATAACAGTTACGTTGTGGAGACGACGGATAATGGGTTTTTCCGGGAACCGGCGATCACCGGCGAGAGGAGAGGGAATGGTAACGATAGCAACAAGAAGTCTAGACGGTGGGGGAAATGGAGCATCTTAGGGCTTATTTACAGGAAGAGTGTTAACAAGTACGAGGAAGAGGAGGAAGAGGAGAGGTATAGGAGATTAAACGGCGGAATGGTGGAGAGATCGTTGTCGGAGTCATGGCCGGAGATGAGGAATGAAGGAGGACCAAAGATGGTCAGAAGTAACAGCAATGTGAGCTGGCGGAGCTCCGGGAGGAAAGTCAACGGATTGGAGAGGATTAAGAGTTCAAGGTATTCGCCTAAGAATGGGGAAAACGGAATGTTGAAATTCTACTTAGCACCGATGAAAGGTAGCCGGAGAATGAGCGTTGGAGCTGGCGGAGGAGGAGGAGGAGCTGGTGGTGGTGGTGGAGGCGGCGGGTGGGCGAATAGTCACGGCCATTCTATAGCGAGGAATGTTATGAGGCTGTATTGATCGAAATCAAAATTGTTAATTGGATGGTTCGGTTAAGAGGTTTAGCTCTCTGAACCGTTTGTTTTTTTTTGTCGTTTTGTTGGTTTGGGTTTAATTTCGGTGCTATTGGTTTACTTTTAAATGTTTAAGGGGAGGGGCATTTTCACAAACGAATGACTTGTTGACGGGGTCAATTTTAACCGGAATAAACCGCCTTTAACCAACCATTTTCTTTTTAATCATAAGTTCAGAACAAAGCAAATCATTGAATACTCGGACATATTTGAAAGATGAAAGATCCATTAATTAATAAAGAGTTTAACATTGATACTTTTTTTTTCACTGCTAATTAAATTCTCAGATCTCTCTCAAAGCACCGGTCTGATAAAAAATAGTCTTCCATAATCTTCCGCATCCTCCATTTCTTACTTCTTCTCAGCTTTGCCGGCGAATTGGCATACTAGTCAGAAGTCCGGTTACTCTGGTTTCGCTGACGAGAGCATCAGCTAGAAACCAAAACATGCCGGAGAAATAAAGTTTTAACGGTCACTCACCGAACACTCTCCCATGGTCGTTTTCCCAAAAACGCTGTCTCCAAAACACCTCCTCAAGCTCTTGAAGTCGGAGAAGAACCCGCGTGAGGCGTTTGCTCTATTCGATTCGGCGACTCGCCATCCAGGTTATGCACATTCCGCCGTCGTCTTCCACCATATCCTCCGACGTCTCGCGGAGGCGCGGATGGTTACCCATGTGGGTCGGGTCGTCGACCTCATTCGGTCACAAGAATGCAAATGCGACGAAGATGTCGCTTTATCGGTTATCAAAATCTACGGGAAGAACTCCATGCCCGATCGAGCTCTTGATGTTTTCCAACGAATGCGAGAGATTTTCGGGTGCGAGCCTGGGATTCGGTCGTATAACTCTCTACTCAGTGCGTTCGTGGAGGCGGAACAATGGGCTAAAGTCGAGTCCTTGTTTGCCTACATTGAAACAGCGGGTTTGGCGCCAAATCTGCAGACGTATAATGTTTTGATTAAGATGCCATGTAAGAAGAAGCAATTCGAGAAAGCAAAAGACCTTCTGGACTGTATGTGGAAAGAGGGCTTGAAGCCGGATGTGTATAGCTACAGCACTGTGATCAATGATCTTGCTAAAGCTGGAAACTTGGGTGATGCATTGAAACTGTTCGATGAAATGTCTGAAAGAGGAGTGGCAGCTGATGTTACCTGTTATAATATCTTAATTGATGCGTTTCTTAAGAAAAGAGATCACAACAAGGCAATGGAACTGTGGGAAAAACTGTTGGAGGACTCGTCTGTTTATCCGAATGTTAAGACTCACAACATCATGATTAGTGGTTTGAGCAAATGCGGAAGAATAGATGATTGCTTGAAGATATGGGACAGAATGAAACAGAATGAGCGAGAAAAAGATTTATTTACATATAGCAGTATGATACATGGGCTGTGTGGGGTTGGGAATGTCGATCAGGCCGAGAATGTGTTTAAAGAGTTGGTCGAGAGTAAGGCTCTAATTGATGTAGTTACATACAATACTATGCTTTATGGGTTTTGCCGTTGTGGGAAAGTTAAGAAGAGTTTGGAGTTATGGAGAATCATGGAGAAGAGGAATTCAGTTAACGTAGGGAGTTATAACATTTTGATAAAAGGGTTGTTGGAGTATGGGAAGATTGATGAAGCAACGATGATTTGGAAGCTTATGCCTGCGAAAGGCTACGCAGCTGACAACAGAACTTACGGTGTTTTTATTCATGGGTTATGCGTGAATGGTTACGTAAATAAAGCCTTGGGGGTGATGAAAGAGGTCGTGAGCAAAGGAGGGCATCTGGATGTATATACATATTCGTCAATTATACACTGTTTGTGCAAAGAGAGAAGACTAGAAGAAGCATCAAATTTGGTAAAAGAGATTAGTAAGCAAGGCGTGGAGCTGAATTCTCATGTCTGCAATGCATTAATGGGTGGTTTAATCCGAGACTCGAGAATTGGTGATGCCTCGTTTCTCCTGAGAGAGATGGGGAAGAATGGTTGTTGGCCGACTATTGTTTCTTACAACATTCTAATTGACGGTTTTTGTAAATCAGGAAAGTTTGGGGAAGCATCAGCAGTTGTGAAAGAAATGCTTGAAAATGGGAGGAAACCAGATCTGAGAACTTATAGTTCACTTTTAAACGGTCTTTGTAGAGACGGGAAGATCGAATTGGCCCTTGCATTGTGGCACCAATCTCTTCAATCAGGTCTAGAGCCCGATGTGAGGATACATAACATTCTAATTCATGGCCTGTGTTCAGCTGGTAAACTCGATGATGCAATGAATGTAGTGGCGAATATGGAGCATCGGAATTGCGTTGCAAATCTCGTGACCTACAACACCTTGATGGAAGGATTCTTCAAAGTTGGAGACATCAACAGAGCGACAGTGGTTTTGGGTTACATGTACAAGATGGGGTTGCAGCCTGATATAATATCTTACAATATCATACTGAAAGGGTTGTGTATGTGCCGTAGAGTGTCGGATGCTATCGAATTCTTTGATGATGCTCGAAACCATGGCATTTTCCCAACTGTTGTCACCTGGAACATACTTGTTTCAGCTGTCGTGAATCCCTGACGTGATGAATATGAAAGGAAAGCTTAATCCGTTGCAATTTGCTGGATTTGATCTCTGGGCTATCTCAGCTAGCTTTCTGTGATAAGTGTATAATGCTCTTCCATTTTTCTTTGCCGTGGAACGCTTTCGGTTTTGGAAGTTGAATTATGATGTATCGGAGCTTGGAAGTAACAGGAGGTAAATCGTAGTATGTCGACAAGAATCCAGTTAGCTACAACCTGATGAAACTAGCATTATATAGTGAATCATACATACATCACAAGCATATGAGTGACACAGTGGTTGAATGATTCGAGTAAACATCATCGAGATCCAATTTGTACGATGATGCAAAAGAAAAACTGTAGCTTGATGTATCAAAAGTGACGAGTTTCCCACTTGGTTCTATGTCATCAAGTCATATTTATCTCTTTCGATTGATACAGAGCCAAATTATCTTTGTCTCTCATTCATTCCTTCTTGTTTCCCTTTTCCTCATCTGCATCTTCTGATAACAATGTCTGCTCATAGACGAACTGAGTGAGCAACGGGATAAGAATCGCTCCAAGAATCGCGACTTTTCTCCAATCCGGTGAAGAAATGAAGGATTCAGCAATTGCGAGAACCACGATCCCAATTAACCCGAGGTAAACATTCCTTCTTGCCTTTGATCCTGCACTTTCTTTGGTAACCTCTTGTATCTTCTCAGTTTCCTCTTTGGCTTTCTCTGCATCGACCGGCTTTTTATCACGTAAGCTCTTGAAGAACAATCCTTCATTCCTGTCTATCACGATCTTCTCCTCAAACTCAGCTAACTTATTATCATTCTCCTCTATCTCCAATCTGTTCAATCCTGCAGATTCCTCAAAAGCTTGCATCTTGCTCTCGATATTCTCCAGTATCTGCTCAATCACCCGAAGTAGAAAAACACAAATATCATCAACTTATCTATCTATCTGCAAGCTTATGACTTCACTTGATCTATAAAGAAAAGACAATTCTTATGGATGGAGCTGAGAATCAAGTTAAGCCATGGAAACAAGACGAAGAAAAAAAGTTAAAAAAATTCAATCTTGAGAAGTAATACAAACCCTTGAGCTAGCTTCGTCAAGGTCTTTCATGGCGTCTTCTCCAACCTTGTCAAACTCCGCATTGGCTTCTTCAGCAAACTTGGTGAGGTAATCTGATCGTTCGTCCAAGAAATCCGTTAAACGGACCTTAGATGTCTGAAGCATGGCGATCCTGGCTAAGAGTTCTTGTCTCCGAGTATCGCCTTCGGGTTTTGGAGCGTCGGGATCAGAATCTGAATCCGAAGTTCCATCTCCGGATTTCGAGAGGCAGAGAAATTGGGGTCTGGAAATGGAATATCTTGATGCATTGAAACGAATATGGAAGTTTGGTGTTAAAGTTGTATGAAATGCATGAAGTGTATTCATCATCTTCTTTGTTCCTGAAGAAGAAGAAGACGAAGAAGAAGAGGTTCCTCCTTCCAGAGCAACCTCTTATTCCTTTAATTTTAGTTTACGCATTATCCAAAACCAGTTTTGAGTTTTAGATTATTTGCAGAAAAGACCCTAGTTTCGAGGATTATTATAGATAGAGCTTTTTATTTTGATTCATGTGCTTTTAGTATCACGCATTTAAGAATTACAAAATGTGATGAATATCTCTAAACTCCAAAAAAAGTAGAAATTTGTTATTGTAAATTGTCCCACATCGACAAAAGTGTGAAAAAAAAAATCTGAGATCATTATAAATAAGGTATCGCGAACGGGTCTCCGTAAGGAGCCCAATCTGTATCTGTCAACTTTATTTGACGGAAAACACGAAAAGATAATACAGTAACATGGATTAAGTCACGCGCCAAGTTTCTTAATTGAATCTCAAATTATTTGTTATATGAAAGTTTAACCGAAGAGAATAATCATATAAACCAGAATTGAACAACCGCCGGTTTTCCGGGTCAACCCGACAAAGGTGGATTTTTTTTTTTTAACCGCTAAAAAGTTTGATTCTTTTAAACAGTTGTTCGATTTTGTTTACTCACGACGACTCTTTTCCATTGGATGCTTCATTTGTTTTATATACTTAAGAGGAGTCGAGACATCGGTTCAAGCTCCGGTTCAAGCTCCGGCGAGGTTCGTTTTCCGTCGGAAATCAGAATCATGTATTTTCGATTTCTCTTGATGCCGTCTTCGCCCATGTTCGATTCTTTCTCCTTGGTACGTCGTCTGAGGTTTTCCACTTTTGACGGACTTGTTTCGCCAAGCCATGATCAGATATATGACACACTCCTAGAAACTTGTTTGGAGCAATGCAAACTAATCAAGAGCCGCAAGGTGTTCGACGGAATGCCTCAGAGACTGGTACATGCTTTGAGAACCGGAAAAGCTGTCCATTCCCAGAGTTTGGTACTTGGAATCGATTTAAAAGGCAGGCTAGGAAATGCCATTGTGGATTTGTACGCCAAGTGTGCACAAGTGTCTTATGCCGAGAAAGTCTTCAATTCACTTGAAAAAGATGTAATGACGTGGAACTCGATGTTATCCATGTATTCCAGCATTGGGCTACCAGGGAAGGTCTTCAAGAGTTTTGTGTCATTGTTTGAGAATCTGATCTCTCCAAATAAATTCACTTTTTCGATTATTTTATCAACCTGTGCAAGGGAGACCAATATAGAGTTTGGCAGACAGATTCATTGCAGTATGATAAAGACGGGACTTGAACGCAACTCATATTGTGGAGGGGCTTTAGTTGATATGTATGCCAAGTGTGACCGTGTGGGTGATGCTCGACGTGTTTTCGATGGGATGGTGGATCGTAATACAGTTTGCTGGACATGTTTGTTATCTGGCTATGTCAAGGCAGGTTTGCCAGAGGAAGCCGTCATCGTTTTTGAAAAGATGCGGGATCAAGGCCATCGGCTTGACCATTTGGCTTTTGTGACTGTCATAAATACGTACATCAGTTTAGGGAAGCTCAAGGATGCACGTTTATTGTTTGGGGAGATGCCAAGCCCAGATGTGGTAGCGTGGAATGTAATGATATCAGGGCATGGGAAACGAGGATGTGAGACAGTGGCTATTGACTACTTTCTCAATATGCGGAAATCTAGCGTTAAATCAACTCGTTCGACACTAGGGAGCGTTTTAAGTGCCATTGGACTTGTAGCAAATCTTGATTTAGGTTTGGTAGTTCACGCAGAGGCTATTAAACAAGGCCTTGACTCCAATATCTATGTTGGGAGTTCTTTGGTCAGCATGTATTCGAAGTGTGAGAAAATGGAGGCTGCTGCAAAAGTATTTGAGGAGTTGGAGGAGAAAAATGACGTCTTGTGGAACTCGATGATAAGGGGTTATGCACATAACGGCGACGCCCACAAGGTTATGGAACTGTTTATGGATATGAAATCTGCTGGTTACAACATTGACGATTTTACCTTTACAAGCCTTTTGAGCACTTGTGCTGCATCCCATGATCTAGAAACAGGAAGCCAGTTTCACTCCATTATCATCAAAAAGAAGTTAACAAGAAACTTATTTGTGGGAAATGCATTAATAGATATGTATGCAAAATGCGGAGCTCTTGAAGATGCAAGGCAAATTTTTGAGCATATATGTGATCGTGATTATGTTTCCTGGAACACAATAATTGGGGCTTACGTCCAAGATGAGAATGAGAGTGAGGCTTTTGAGTTGTTCAAGAGGATGAATTCGTGCGATATGGTATCTGATGGAGCATGTTTGGCTAGCACACTTAAAGCATGTGCAAACGTTCATGGTCTTTATCAAGGAAAACAAGCTCACTGCCTCTCTGTCAAATGTGGCTTAGACACAGATCTTCATACTGGTAGCTCGCTCATTGACATGTATTCCAAGTGTGGGATCATTGAAGATTCACGTAAAATTTTCTCTTCTATGCCTGAGTGGAGCGTTGTGTCAATAAATGCTTTAATTGCAGGTTATTCTCAGAATAACTTGGAAGAAGCTGTAGTTCTCTTTCAAGAAATGCTGACCAGAGGTGTTAACCCATCTGAAATCACTTTTGCTACCATTGTTGAAGCTTGTGATAAACCAGAAAGTTTGGCCCTAGGCACACAATTCCATGGTCAAATAATAAAGAGAGGGACCTCATATGAAGGTGAATATCTAGGGATTTCCCTTTTGGGCTTGTACATGAATTCAAGTAGAATGGAGGAGGCGTGTGCTCTTTTCTCAGAGTTATCAAACCCCAAGAGTATCGTTCTTTGGACGGGGATGATGTCAGGGCATAGTCAGAATGGTTTCTATGAGGAGGCTTTGAAGTTCTACAAAGAGATGCGTCATGATGGTGCTCTACCTGACCAGGCAACATTTGTCACTGTTCTTCGTGTGTGTTCAGTCCTTTCCTCTTTAAGAGAAGGTAGGGCAATCCATTCTCTTGCTTTCCAATTGGCTCATGACTTGGACGAGTTAACCTCTAACACCCTAATAGACATGTATGCTAAATGTGGGGACATGAAAAGTTCATCACAAGTTTTCGATGAAATGAGGCATAGAAGCAATGTTGTCTCATGGAACTCCATGATCAATGGATATGCGAAAAATGGTTACGCTGAAGACGCCCTTAATATCTTTAACTCCATGCGACAAGCCCATATCATGCCAGATGAAGTCACATTCCTAGGTGTTCTTACAGCTTGTAGCCATTCAGGGAAAGTGTCAGACGGACGAAAGATTTATGAGATGATGATAAGTCAATATGGTATTGAAGCGCGTGTAGATCATGTGGCTTGTATGGTTGATCTTCTTGGGAGGTGGGGATATCTTCAAGAAGCCGTTGACTTCATAGAAGCACAAACCCTGAGACCAGATGCAAGACTATGGTCATCTCTTCTTGGTGCATGTAGAATCCATGGAGATGACATTAGAGGAGAATTTGCTGCTGAGAAGCTCATAGAATTAGAACCACAAAATTCGTCAGCTTATGTTCTTCTTTCGAACATATATGCTTCGCAGGAACGTTGGGAAGAGGCCAATGCTTTAAGGAAATACATGAGAGATAGAGGAGTCAAAAAGCTACCTGGACGTAGCTCGATTGAAATGGGACAGATAAGACACAATTTTGTTGCTGGAGACAAATCTCATTCTGATATAGGGAAAATCGAGATGTTCCTTGAAGATATATATGAATTGATGAAAGATGATACTATCGTCAATATTGGTATCTTGGAACATGCTTCTCTAGATTGTGTGTAATAACAGGGAAACACTAACGGTGGACAGCTTCTCGACCTTGTTTGATTTTGTGATGAAGTTAATAACTCACCTGACAAAGTGAGGAGTCACCTTGAAAACATTGCGACAGTGCTAGCGAATTCACTGATGATGCTCGAAACCATGGCATTTTTTTCCAACTGTTCTCACTTGGAACATAGTTGTTTTAGCTGTGGGAAATAGGTTACGCTCTGTCGGAAATGTGAACGGAATCTCAGTCGTGCGGTGGAAGAACAAGAAGAAACAATTGCGATTTTCAAGGATTGATTCAATCAAATTGCCTTTCGGATTTTCAGCTCAGAATCGTTGATTCTCCTAGTTCCAGGATCAGATGAGCGCACCAAGTGTATCTTGTGAATTTGAGTTTGGTTCTTCTCTTTCCACCGTTTTCAAATTTGAGACTAAAATTTTTGTAGCACGCTAATGTGATAAGGAGGATCAATTAAAAACGTTTAAGAACCCTTGTATGGATGTTTAGTGTATTCTTTCTTCCTCGATCCCTCGTGTTTGTGTCCTATGTTGAGTTTAAATTCAGATTACATCAGTCTCTTTCTTAGTTTTTCTTATTTATTTCGACATGTAAGCGACATTGAAGTAAGTGGCAAGTGATGACACATGTGAATGCTTGTGTTGTTTGTAAACATTTGATATGTGTTCACGAGATGACTGAACAAGGATTTTTTTTACTTAGTTCACATTCCTATGTTGCAACAAACATCAAAGTGAGAAGAAGACAAAGTTGGTTATAATTCTTGTACTAGGAGAAGAACATGTTTGATTCTGAACCAGAAATAGAAAAGATGTTACATTGGTGAGCCTGTGAAAGTGTAAATGCAGAACCCAAACGGATATAGAACAACATCAAGAACTAGTTAATTTCACAAGATCAATAAGCGTACATCTTTTTTTTCATAGTGATTTTACATGTGAAAGCCCACTAGAATTACTAGTGATATTACTAGTATTACTACATTAGTATTAATAGTAGTATTACTACATTAATATTACTAGTAGTATTACTAGTAGTATTACTACATTAATATTACTAGTATTACTACATTAGTATTACTAGTGGTATTGCTAGTATTACTACATTAGTATTACTAGTATTACTAGTATTACTACATTATTATTATTAGTATTACTACATTAGTATTACTAGTATTATTACATTAGTATTACTAATATTACTAGTGGTATTACTAGTTTTACTAGTATTACCACATTAGTATTACTAGTGGTATCACTAGTATTACTATATTAGTATTACTAGTATTACTACATTAGTATTACTAGTATTACTAGTGGTATTACTAGTATTACTAGTGGTATTACTAGTATTACTATTACTAGTATTACTACATTAGTAGTACTAGTATTACTAGTGGCATTACTATTATTACTAAATTAGTATTACTAGTATTACTAGTATTACTATTGGTATTATTAGTATTACTACATTAGTATTACAAATATTACTAGTGGTATTACTAGTATTATTACATTAATATTACTAGTATTACTAGTATTACTACATTTTATTACTAGTATTACTACATTGGTAGTACCAGTATTACTAGTGATATTACTAATATTTCTACATTAGTATTACTAATATTAATAGTATTAGTATTATTAGTGGTATTACTAGTATTACTACATTAGTATTACTAGTATTACTACATTAGTATTACTAGTATTACTACATTAGTATTACTAGTATTACTACATTAGTATTACTAGTATTACTACAATTAGTATTATTAGTATTACTAGTGGTATTACTATTATTACTACATTAGTATTACTATTATTACTACATTAGTATTATTAGTATTACTAGTGGTAGTACTAGTATTACTACATTAATATTAATAATATTATTAGTGGTATTACTAGTATTACTAGTGGTATTGCTAGTATTACTACATTAGTATTACTAATAGTATTACTAGTATTATTACATTAGTATTACTAGTATTACTAGTGGTATAACTAGTATTACTACATTAGTATTAGTAGTGGTATTACTAGTATTACTACATTAGTATTATTAGTATTACTAGTGGTATTACTAGTGGTATTACTACTATTACTACATTAGTATTACTAGTGGTATTACTAGTATTACTACATTAGTATTACTAGTGGTATTACTAGTATTACTACATTAGTATTACTAGTATTACTACATTAGTATTACTAGTATTACTACATTAGTATTACTACATTAGTATTACTACATTAGTATTACTAATGGTATTACTAATATTATTACATTAGTATTAGTATTATTACTACATTAGTATTACTAGTGGTATTACTAGTATTACTATATTAGTATTACTAGTATTACTAGTATTACTATATTAGTATTACTAATATTACTAGTGGTAGTACTAGTATTACTAGTTGTATTACTAGTATTACTACAGTATTACTAGTGGTATTACTAGTATTACTACATTAGTATTACTAGTATTACTAGTAGTATTACTAGTATTACTACATTAGTATTACTAGTATTAGTATTACTAATGTTAGTATTACTAATACTACTAATATTACTAGTATTATTATTACTAATATTAGTACTAGTACTAGTATTATTAGTATTATTAGTAGTAGTATTACTAGTATTATTATTAGTAGTATTACTAGTATTACTAGTATTATTACAAACTAATGTGATTCTCAAGCAAAACTATTTATCAATTCAAGATTTAAGCGATACTAAATTATTTTTGCATCGCTGCGGACAAAATAAAAACCACGTCTATGAAACTATCAAAAAGTCAATAGCTGAATTGTATAACTCCACTAAGCTTCGATTCACTCCATGAAACTACTACTTCGAAATCCACCAATTAAAGATGACAAAATACTTCACTTTTCGAGTTTTACAAAAAAAAAATATCAAATTCAGCGGATTAGACCGCAAACCCGTGGATTCGTTCTGACCTGATCCGTAAAATCATAGTTCCACGCGGATTTGGACCGCGAAACCTGCATTTTATTTGAACAAATTTTATGTAACCCAAATCCGCACCACTACGGTTCTACTTGGGCCGAACCCGCGGATCAGAGTTCAATTTAACACCTCTAACTTCAATATTGAAAAATCAATATAAACTTACAAGTTTATTTATCAAAAAAAAAAAACTTTCAAGGTTCAATTTTTTAGTGTGGTTGTTAAACTGAATCCTTTATTTTTTTCTCTTTATAATTTCGCCCCCGAGTACATAACACACCTCCCTAGTCCCCGTAGATGGTCGCTGTCTTCAAAATCTACCATTTGCTTCTCTCTCTCTCACATTTGCTTCTCTCTCACACATTTGCCTCTCTCTCTCTCTCTCATCAACATAATTTCAGAAAATAAATATGTCACAAAGAGCATGCAAAAGAGTACGATTTAGTCCGAACCAATTAGCCACAGACGAACCAAGATTCCCAAAACATCACGACCGGAGAAAGGTGGCCCTCATAGGAATTCTCAGTTTCGGTCTAAGGAGCTCGCCGGCCGCGAGGAAGTTGATCCGGCGTATCGGGGCTAGAGTCGCCAAAACACTGCGTTTTATGTCCTTGGGGAGGAATACTACCGACAAAACGTCATCGTTCTTGTTGTCTCCGTCGCCCTCTTCTTCATCGTCTATTTATATGAAAAGGTCAAAGTCTCTAGCTGAGGCAGAGTCTCACCGAGCAGAAGCTATTGAAGACTGCATTGAGTTCTTGAACTCTTCTTTTTCTCTGTCCAGATCAAACTCCGTCTCCACGTGGTCTTCTTGATTTGACCTGGTTCTTCCAGTCGGGTCAAAATATAGCTCCAAGTAATCTCTTTTTCGTTGTTGTTGATGTAATGTTATAGAAGAAATGAGAAATGAGCATTGTATAGAATAGGGCTGTTTTATATTTCTTCTATTCGATTCACAACAAAGTTCTTGGTTATTGACTAGAACAAAAAAACCGAACAATCATTTTCAACATTCATTAAAAACCACAGATCAAGGTTAATGAGGGCAATGAATAGATGATTAACTAGATATTATGCGTATTTTGGTGTAAACAATGGAAGTTATTTAATATTAGAACTTCCATTGTGTTAAAACATTTATATAGTTTAGTTTCATGAACCGGAAATATAATATAATTCCTTAATCTGTAACGACCAAAAGAGAGAAGCCAGGGTTTAAAATTCGAAAAGAGGGGGTCGACATCAAAGATTCAAAGAACCGAAGACAAAGCTCATGGGAAATCCCCATTTGGCTTTTTCTTCTTTTTTGACCCTATTAGTTATAATTCTTGTTTAAAAAAAAAACAAGAGGAAGATTCCAATACATTTCTTAAAAAAAGGATGATTCAACCAAAAAAAAAAAAAACACACACACACACAATTTCATCATAACAAACTTTAAGCGTTTCGGAAACTGTAGGTCCAAAAACCTGACCTAACAAGAACAAAACGCATCAATGGTATCTAAAGAATCCAAGGACAAAACTTACTTTTAAAATATGTGTTCCTCTCCTCTCAAGAAAAGACATTGTGTGAGATTGGACTGCACTACCAGAAGTTGCAACAAAAGGCTTATTACATTGGCAAGAACTCAAAGCATAAAGAAAAGATTCCTTGTCTTGTTAAAAAAAGGTAAACATTTCATTAGAAATGAGAGTATTAGGTTAAGTAGGTTGAGAAAGACAAAAGAGTAGGTGGATTTTATCTTACAATGGAAACTTGCTTGGAAGACTAAAAGATTTATATAACCTTAATGCTGACATAATATTGAGTACTTAAGATCTACAGTAATTAATGCCCTTAAAGGGTATAATCATGGAGAGATCATAGATCATTAGATACAATGAAGATATAAGAACGAAGGTAAGATTTTTTCCTTTCTACCGAGATCACTTTCCACCACAAGTGCTTCCACGGGGTAGACCTTTAACATCATCACTTATTGTTCTTGAACTTAATTTTCACACACAGCTAAAATCCAACAATAGTTTCTTGTCAACATGGTCTTTTTGTATTGTCTCTAAAATGGATGGATTCGTAAATTACCGTAAATATCCACTAGAATCAGAAATTTACAAAGACTATGAATCCATTTACAACATAAGAGGGCTCTGGTGAATTTTACAACAGTAAAGTTTGAATATTGATGTTGTTCTTCACTCTTCAGGTAGGCGATCAGTATCAGACCCTGGAAAGTTTGAAAATTTGACTCTTTCCTATTTTCCCGGGAAAACAGAGCCGCTTGATCAATGTTCTTCCCTGTTTGGGAAAACATTACTCGACCGATACCAAACTTGAGAAATTACAACTTTCCCAGACCTCAACACCTTCCATATATTCCCGAGAAACAAACATCCGATCACCTCCGGCTTCAATTTTCGAGATCATCCCTCTAATGGAATCTTCTTCCTTGTCTACAAAGTTTCTTCTACGAATCGGATCGCCACGTATATTATCCTTAACACTCGACCATACCTCTAATGCGCCACCTCTCGCGGCCCACACTTGCTTTCTGTAACAATGTACGACGCTGTAACCCCCTCCTCCTCCGTCGTCGGACTTCCACGCGCCGGGATTCTCGTCTGACACATATACCCATGGATCTTCACCTAATTTACGAAGGTCTGCCATTCCCAGGTCACCTGACTTGGAACATACCTTGTAGAGAATCGAATCTTCAACGTCGACGTCCACGTCAGCCAAGGCGTCTCCGAACCTGCTGCTTCGTCCCGAACCTGGCTCGCTCGTCTCCCACACAATGTTCCTGGATCTCGGGTCCCAGATCCTGATGTAGCCGGAGCATCCAAACACCCCGCGCTGGACCGCGGATCCAACTAAAAGACCGTTCGTTGGCACCCACCGCAGTTTTTCCGGTACGCTGGTTTTGGCGGAGCTTCCAGATTGCTGGCCGATGACGGCGGCGACTTGGAGAGTGGATTTGTCAATCTGGAGAACGCTGTTCTCTCTGTGCAGGCAATCGAAAGATGCGAACACTCCACCGGACGAATCGGCAACGGCGGCGACTCGTGCCTTATGGATCCTCGGATCTTCCGGATCCGTCCAGTGGGTAGATCCGACGTAACGACCTCCGGAGAGATCGTAGAAGTGAAGTCCCGACGCGGATTCAGATCCGATAGCCGCCGCCTCGGCCCACACGCGGCAGATCGACGTGATATCGTTGAGATGCGTACGGACGGTTCCAGAGTGAGAAAGACTCCAATCGTAGACGGAGATCTGTCCGCCGTGAGCGATCCACAGAGAGGCGTCTCCGGCGGTGGCGGTGAAAGCGGAGGGAACTCCGTCAGCCGCGGGTGTGATGGTGGAGACTAGAGAAGCATCGATACCTAGCAGCGGGGACGGAAACATCGCCGACCGGAGGAGTGACTCCACGCCGTAGTACAGAGCCTCATCGAGTAGCTCCTGCTTGGAGAAAACGCCGGAGGAATTAGCTGGGAGCCGTCCAGTACGGAGGAGATTGAGGATGACGGCGAAAATCTCCGGGTCACGATCGATGAACACAGGAATCGAACCATGGGAGGTTGGAATCGTGAGAGCAGCAAGGAGAGAATCTGGGGAGGTTGATTGAATGGTCGATACATTGGTTTCGAATATCTCGCCGCCGACGTTGAGCTTCACGCGCTCGCCGTCATCGGGAGCCATCACTGGCCGGTTTGAGCTTCGATTCAGCTGAGCTACTTTGTCAATTGGGCTGGGGTATTGTGACTGATGACGTGTCAATATATGGGCCTTGCCAGTCTTTATTGGATATTTATCGGCCCAAACTTAAAACGCCGACCAGTTGTGCAGCTGGGATCAGTTTCATGATTGAATATTTTTCTTATTTTTGACATCTATTTCATGATTTTATTTCCGTTGAGACATTACATTTTCTCTTTTTTTTTTTGTCTAGATGGAGGTGGATTAATTTTAATTTCGTCGATTTTTCTTGATTCGACGTGTTTCAGTTGGAGAAAAAAATTGAGGAATTGATTTTTAATTACAGTTTACATGCTATTCTACAATGTAATTAACTTACAAAGTGAAAGAGTATTATGATACAGAGGATTTCTCACAGATGACACAATGATCTGAAACAATTTTATCCATGGCACTTCCTTGCTCAATTTTGAATTTGCTACTAAACTTATTCCACAAATGCAACCCGTAGCTTCTCCTCTGCATTTCAAGAACCTTGACTTGGACTCTCTTCGAGTCCTTCTCTGTTCTTGGAACCTTGAAGAGCTTCTCAATCTCAACCCAATTCACAGAATAAAACGCAGGAGGTGTCATGATGGTGAAGTTATAGCCATCAGTTCCTTCAACAGCTCGAGCCACTCGAGATACGAGGTACGGTCCGTTATGACCCCAAACGTTTCCGTTGAAAGTCAACGCGAACTCTTCAATGCATTTTCGCAAGAGAGGATGATTTTTGTCGAAGATCAAAACCGCATTGTTCAATCTCGTCCAGTTTCTCGAAACCGGTTCGAGAGTCTGCGCACCGATCACGTTCCTCAGACTTTTAAAACTCTTCAGAACAATCATGTCTGTGTCCAGATAAACACCTCCGTATTTGAACAGATACGCGAGTCTCATGAGATTTGACAGATTCTGTGCTAACGAGATCTTCCCGGGATCTCTTTTCCCTGTCTGAACCTCCTCAAGCCACGATTCTCCAGCCGTGTCCTTGAGCAGAAAAGGCAAATCCGGTGTCACCGCCATAACTCTGTAACCTCGATCAAGAAACGGTCTCAAGGTTCTAAACCCTTGAGGAGAATCCATTGTCGATGATAAAATGATCAAACAACCTCGAGGATGAGATTTAAAGACGCTTTCGACGGATAAAATCTCTCTCTTGCCGAACAATTCCGCAGGGGAGATCCACGTCATCATGAAGTTGACCTCACAATCATCTCTCAAAAACTCTGTTGTTCTCAGTTGAAACTTTTCCGACACGCCTTTGCCTCCAAAAATCTCGAGGACCTGAAGATTGTTATCCTCGTTGACTGTGACACGCTGCTTGATCGAATACTTGTTGTTGTTGTTGTTGCCTTGGCTTAGCTCCTTCTCTGATCTCAGAGGTAAGTAAGGAACAACTGTCTTGATCTCTATTGTCACCACCTCTGAGAAATCTCTCACCGATAAATTAGAGACGATAACGATCGTGAAAACGATCAGAGCTATAACTGAGGCAGCAAACGCTGTGAACAATGATGATCCAGAGCGGTTTAACCGCCGGTGATCAAACATAGCCGTGATTTTCTTCGTGATTTCGTTATCCATTTTTTTTTTTTTTTGAATATGGGTGATGCGGAGAAATCAGTTTGCGAAGTCTCTGTTTTCTTGTTTTCTTATATGTTTGTGAGTTATATTTTTTGCTTTGGTGTTGAAGCTGTCGTGTTTTGAAAAGTTCTTAAAGCCGCCAGAGGACGAGGAAGTCTAACGTAGACTTCAATATGTTATTGTCAATAAAACTTTCGTCATATAACTAAACTAATGGGGACCATAAGTTTAAATAAACGATCATGATTTTTCCATACGTATTTATGTAAGGGCTCAATCTTTTGACGACTTTTCTTTCATCATTTCATTGATTATATCCACAACCATAATGACTGAATAATTCGGTTTTAGTTCTGTTTAAATATCGGATTCAGCTTGAATAATATCAAAAATAGCTTTCGTTTTAGATTATACGTTTTAAAAAAAATAGTTTCAGTCAGGTTTTTGCCTTTGAGACTTGGGTTTGGTTTTAGTACTTATCGAAAAGATAGACTAAACCTATGGTTCTATCGGTTTAATTGTCATATTGGTATTTTGCTAAGTTTTTTGGATTTGTAAATTTAATTAGTGAACACAGCCAAATTATCCATTGATTTGATCGCTAGTTTTTTCTTTGCTAGAAGCTGAGGATTTTAAGTAATTCTTACAATTGTTCTTGTAAGGAGGAAGCAACTTTTTTATCTTTCTTTTGATATGGTCTATATTCTTATAGCTTTAATCATTTGTTGTTAATTATAGGCCGCCTTTGGTGGAATTCTAATAAGAATTGTAGTTTATTATAAATAAAAAAACTCCGGAATGATAAACGCGCTATAACGAGAAGGCATCTAAAACCTTAAAGTGAGGTCTATGCAGTAGATGTGTGAGGCACTTTCCTTCCTGTTAGATCATTATAGTTCAATTTTTTTGTTTAAATAAGAAAAATTGTCCAATCCATCCTTCGTAAGTATGGTTTTTATTTCTTCGAACAAAGTAATTGAGTTGGAAAATTAAGGAGAGAATATGAAAGGTTGAACAAGTCCACCTACATTTTTCATCCACAACTTATCTCATTGTTAAGATATGAGAGCATCTTGACTTTGACAATTGAAAGGATATATAGTTAGGTACATAAAATCTGTTCCCAGTGTATTAGACTTTTTTCATTTTTTTTTTGACGTACATTATACGTATCTCATTATTTGTCGATAGTTGATATAAACTAATAAAAAAAATTCAGTTATTGCATTCAAGAATGTTGCGAATAATGCCAATTATAATTTATAATAGCTGGCCTTTCGGACATAGGAAATATGTCAGACAACTAAACTAATATTGGTCAGATGGGCCTCGTTGGTGATTCACCATAATCTATAACACTTATTATCAATTTCATTACTATCCAAGCATCACAAATTTATACAAAGCTTTTATTGAGCTGTTTTAGTTTTCTTGAAGCATAATAATTCCTGGAAAGATCAAGGATTCAAGATATTGTAGGCTCATCAGCTGAAGACACTGGTTACTGGAGCAAGACTCATCATCTCTTTGGGCAGAGCTGATTCCTGGAAAGATCAAGATTTCAAAGATATTGCAAGCTCTGCGCTGGTTAATCAGCATTGAGCTGTGATGTCAATCAATTGGCTTCACTTACATGTTTAATCAGGATTTGTGATTGCTGGTTAGACCGGTTATTGGAGGAGACTAAGGTAGACCAGTTAAGTTAGAGCAAACCGAGTTTGTTAGTCGTAGTAACGCATTCTGTTCGTTGCTATACTTGCTATGTTGTGATAAGATCACATTTTCAGTCTGTGAGATTGATTCATCGATCATTGTACACACTCTCTCAAAGCATTGTGTAGTGGATTGGTAGGAGTCTACCATAGCCGAGATTAGAGATTTCATTCTGAAACCTAAATATGTGAAAGTGTGTATCTTCTTGCTCTTGTTTTCAGTGTTTTAGATTCTCTGTTTCGACAAAGCTTATGGATCATTCATCAGTTCGTTGTTCCACGCTACATAGTATCATCAATTATTTCGTTGAGTTAATAATTTTTTTCTCACATAAAATTTGATTTGCTCTATGTATATAAAGAGATTAACACATCAGAGAAACTAATTAACATACTCAAGATATATAATTCTGCTCTATTAACAGGAAAAAAAAAAACAAAAATCATCATCTGGGAGCCATCTCTGTGATGCTCTGAAAAGAAATAATAGAGTTGGACGAGGAACCATGAGGAATGGCTGAGCTTTTCCCTTTGTAACGTTGTGTTGAAGAGCTCTCCTGTGAGCTGCCACCTGCAAGACCGAGGCCACGGTGGTTGCGTCCCTTGTTGACACCTCTGTAGACACCAGGCTCCGTTAAGGCAGCCTCGTTGAGGTTAATCTCTTTCCTGCAAAGCATCTCCACCACTTGCTTCATGTTTGGTCTCTTCGGTGCTGCGGCTTGAGTGCAGAAAAGAGCCACCTTGATGAACCGTACCACCTCGTCTTCCGGAAACTTGGTAAGGTCCGGATCCACGCACTCTAGTAGCCTCCCTTCTTCTCTTAGCTTCCATACCTGCCATGACCACAGTTTAAAGTCTCAGATCAAAGTTTGAGTTCGCATTTACATGTTAGATAACTGGATGTTTTTCCTCCAAACGAAACGACAACTTTTAGTATTTTCTTTGGTTAATAGTAAACGCAAAAAGCCAAGAAAACGTTTTTGCATTTACATTTTGGCAAAATGTATCATTTAAAACACTGACACAAACATAGAGTTATTTGTTGTGTGTTAAGAGATATGAGACTTTTACCCATTCGACCAGAACTAAGAACTCATCTCCAAAGGCGGCTCTGCTGCTACTACCACCACTTATGACCTCAAGCACAAGTATCCCAAAGCTGTAAACGTCTGCTTTTTTGGTCAATTGACCAAGAAGTGCATACTCTGGGGCCAAGTATCCCCTGCAGCCTAGGTTTCATCAGCTGAAAATACCTGGTAGAGGAACAATATGCTTATGGAAAACGATTCTTACACTGTTCCAGCGACTCGGGTACTGACATGAGTGACATTGTCTGGAAAAAGCTTTGCCAACCCGAAATCTCCAATTTTGGGAGAAAAGTCTCTGTCTAGTAAGATATTACTCGCCTTGATGTCACGGTGAACAACCTGAGGTTCGACTTCCTCGTGAAGGAAAGCTAAACCGGAAGCTGTCCCAACGCAAATGGCAGCTCTTTTGGACCAATCAAGCGGAACATATTTACTCCTTGAACCTAAAAAAAACTCATAAACAACATGAGAAAGAAAAAAAAAAAAACAGGACATGTAGTGGGACTTGGTAGACAAGAAAAGGAACAAAAGTTACCAAGCAAAACACTAGCAAGACTGTTGTTCTCAAGGTACTCATAGACGAGAATCCGATTGTTCCCTTCAATGCAGCAGCCAATGAGGGTAACAAGGTTAGGATGATGAATGTTCGATATCAAGTTAATCTCGGTCAAGAACTCGCGTGTGCCTTGTTTAGATTCTGCTGAAAGTGATTTCACAGCTACTTGTGTCCCATCTCTCAATACTCCCTGCAAGTTTCAAAAACCTTTTTTTTCATCATTTTACCAGAATTATATCATCAACATTTTTAAGCAGACTTGAGTTCAAAAATTTGTAAGCGAGGTTATCAATCATTTTCTCACCTTGAAGACAACTCCAAAGCCTCCACCTCCGATTCTTTTTGATGGATGGAAACTATCTGTGGCTGATCTTAATGAGTTATATGAAAACACCCTCACATTGTCGGTGCAAATCTCTGTTTATTCAAAAGGACAGAGATCATCAAGTTAAATTTTCATGTTTCCAAGCAAATGAAATCAAGAAGAAAATCGATTTGGTCAACCATTGTCAAATTCTGCAAATTCTTTAGCTCTGTTTAACAGAGCTTATCACAGAATTAAAAAAAGAACTTGTATAAAGAACCAATAACCTATAGACGAAACTGAGATGGAAATTTAAAACCATAGAATCATGGTGAACATCATCAGTATTCATCCAATTGTATGTATACCTTCAGCTTCTCGTTGTCCAAGACGATCATTTCCTTTGCATAAATCAAGAATTCCGAAGCAATTATAGCGCATCACAAACTCAGAGATGTTGTCGACAAAAACCACTCCAAGAACAGAGGAAATTCTGCAACAGAAGGTCAAATCAAAACCCAAACAAAAACCAGAAATGGGTTTGATAGATATGAAGTGAAAATTTACTAAAAAGAACCTCAAAATTGATTTGTCTCCTCGATACTGAATCTGGAAGAAGAAGAGGAAGAAGATTGTGGGTTTGTTTGAAAAAAAAAGGGAAAAAAATTGCTAGTGGAGAAAATCCATATAGCGCACGAAGACCAAAGAGTTAATCAAAGAGAAATCATGAGTTTGCTTTTTCAACTTTTTCGTGAGGAGGTCAATAAATTATTAAGCAACCAAACCAAACACAGAACAGACTGAGCAGTGAATAAGCAGAAAATGTATTTTTGCAATTTCTGCTGTTCCGTATTTAATTTGCTTTTGTTCGGCTGCTGGAAAAAGTGAGAAAAACAAAAACAAAATATAACTCGAAAGTGACAGGTACGCGACGAGACTATAATCAAGTCTTGATGATTTGATTTCTCTTCATTTTTTCCTCCTTAATTTGCTTTTTTTAGAAACTTTTTTTTTCTCATATAAACTTGTTATGTACTATGTTAGTTTGGAACCGTACATTATTAAACGTGATCAATATAATTCATTTACATAAATATGAAATACATATAAGTATTTTCTAAAAGGTATAAGCAAAAAGATTTCCGACAAACTTTTGTCGGCATCTTATTTATATTTGCAAATAGAAATTTAGTAAATTGTCATTTAGTTAACTAATTAGAAATAGGCATTTAGCAAATCTTTCTCGTCAAATAGTTGAGTTGTAGAAAAGTATAAGCAAGAAAAATGCATAAATAGATTTATAACATATTTTTAAGTGGGTCGTTACATCTTTACCATTGAGTCATTGACACATAATAATTACTATTAAAACATGAATTAATAGCTATAGTTAATCTTTCGATTACAAAACTACACGGCACATTAGTTTGACGTTCTTGTCGCCGTTCAGACTACCATGCATTTAAGTTTTTTGTCAACCTTTTCTAATATTTCGGGAAAATCAGAAAACGTCATCAAATTACCATATAATTGACGTCATCGTTACGTTAAAATGAAATCATGCAATGAGAAAATTCAAAATTCCAACTCCTGTTAAAGTTTTGGAAAGGAGTATTTTCTGTTTTCATCGTGCCTTGTGTCTTTCTTTTATCAGTATGTTTAACTATTCGTTTACTTTCATCAATTTCAGTCTGAAATTGACTTTGCGATTGTACATGACATCATCATTACGCGAAATGCGCCATTATTTGTTATGCGTTACCAGGCAAACAAAATTGAAAAAGTCCACAGAGCCAAAACTAGAAAAACAAAATTGACCAACAATCTTCATACATTTTAGTAATGTATTGACAGCAATCGTTATAAAATTATAATATTCACACGATTTTGTTAGAGTGGTGGCATGTAACTACTTGCTGGTCAAGTTAGGTATGATTTCTCGCTGTCTCTAAACATGAAGACGCTTCACCAAATCAAAATTCTCCCAGTGATTTGCTTTTTTTTTTTTGTTTTCCAAATAAACTGCCTTCTCCTTTAAACCAAACGAGACAAGTAACGAAGATGTTCCAATAAACCCCAAAACTATTTACATGTCTCTGATTCATGAATTCATCCAACATTGTTTGATTTACTAAAGCATTGGATGAACGGTAACCACTTTTGATCTTTGGCTTGTTTTGTTTGTTTGGTGTTATGTTGAATTCACGGGCTGGCTATGAACTGCAAAGTAATCTTTCACCAAGCTGGTCCCTATTCACAATTCTCTTGTGTGGTTTCAAAGAGAACCTTCTTCATTAGTGGTCGTTAAGATTGATGTAAAGGACGTTTTTTTTTTATCTAAAGACATAGAAATTAGAAGTCTGTCTGCCAATGTCTGACAATTCAGATCCAAACTACTCTGCAACTTGTAAATTAAAATAAGAAACAAAAATTCCAAGCAGCAATCAATAATTATTGGCCGATATTTTTTTTTTTGAAGAAACTGAGATTGATTCAAAATCACCACAACATCGAGTTTTGTATCGGTGAATTCATGTCGTTTGATAACATGTTAGTGAGAGAAAATAATTATGGAGGAAAAAAAAAATTGACACCGAGTTTCATATATTTTATCGCTTAGAAACAAGGGCATATAATAATTATAGGTCAAGATGTGAACTTGGGGAACTGGTTTCGAGGAGAAGAAAAGCTTCTCTCACTGAGAAGATCATCGTTTTCGGCTTCGTTCCCATCTAAGCAGAGAATGTTGATGTTATCAACACTCGGTTCAGATGAGCTGACGGTGCTGCTCGTAGCCATCGGAGAGTTGGTGACACTAGCCGGCCGGCTTCTCACGCTATACATTGACGATGCCGGAACTTTCGTCACAAGCGGCCGGAGATTTCCTGTCATGCCTCGTCTTATATCCTACACACGTTAGAAACCGAGACTCATAACGTTACCAGTGTCAGAAAAGACTCATAACTTGAGAGATTAGTGCAAGAATGTGATCGTACCATATGCCTTAAGGCCATATCAATTGAGCTCTTAGAAAGGTTTCTCCCATATCCAAGACTGTTAAAAGCCGAGCTAGATTTTCCGGTTCCTCTACCGCCGCTCTCTGTTAGCCGTGGTGGACCTAGTTTCCTCATGTTCACCACTCTCTCCACCATTTTATTCCCCATAGCCACTGGACTCAAGCTATCGCAGCTACTCCCTCCGTTGTTGGCCTTTCCTCTCCCACGAGCACCAGGGAGGCTTCCGTTGGTGTTCCCCACGATAGGCGCTCTACCTCTGGAAGGCGAGCAAGATTGCCTTCTTGAATGTCCTAAGCCACCACTGCCACGTTCTATGGAAGCAGATCTTGAGCCTGGTGCCGAGGCTACTCCAGGTCTGCCTCTTGAAGCTGAGACCGGCCTATCTGCTAAAGTCGTCCTTAGATTAGGTGGGGCTTCTAAAGAGAAACCAGGCATCTCAGGTGGTTTCCATGGCCTTGACGACTTCAGAGTTGGAGTGGGAGAAGTCCCTCGAGATGGAGCTTTACTAGAAACTATTGATGGACCGGTCGGGGTTGAAGGCCTGCGGGTCGGTGTGGTTGGTCTTGACACAGGTTTTTTAGAAGGTGCAGAAGATGGCCGAGTTATAGACCGAGTTGGAGTAGATGATCTAGCTGACCCGGTTGATGTTGCGGTGCGTGGAGCCGCAGTGGAGGTAGTAGCACGTGCGGCAGTTAAGGTGGCACGTGAGGTGGGTGTTGAGGATCTAGAGGTTGAAGCTCTGGTGGTCACAGGCTTTGTTGTGGAGGTGGATGGAGTTGTTGACCTTCTTGTTGGTGTAGAAGGTCTGCTCGTTGACCTTGAGCTACCTGATGAAGATGGTCTTCTGAGTCCAGCCACAGAGGAAGAGCTGGTGGGCTTATTATTATTCCCTGAGACCATCTCTTCGCGACAGTTCCCTAGCTGCAGAACCAAACAAGAGTTTCATCAATGCTTATAATTAATTATAAAGACAAACGTAAAACTTGGAACAGAGACATTTTACGAAATTGAATCAGTTCTGTCTAACAAGTTTCGTACTCGAGATTTAAGAGCAGTGGGGCGAGAATTGGGAGCATCAAGCTGATTCATTACGCTTCTGTGTGACTCTTTCTCAAACTGTGGAGTGCCCGGTGGCGTAAGCAGCCTGAACAAGAGACAAGAACGACAACGAAGATGATACCTTATCAGACCAGTGATCCATCGAAGAAGGCAAGACCAGACATTCGATTACACTATAGCAATAAGCTCGGATGTTGTAAAACTGAATTGCCTCTTTACGTAGTTGAAACTTAGGCTTGTGTTAATTTCAGTATAATTTGGAAAACTCAATCACTAGACGAATTATGTTCCCAAAATCCAATTTTTGTTTTTGTAATTTATTGAATGCACAGGCTGCAAATTGCAAAATCTTAGAACTCTGCTTCCAGATTTTTCTGATACTAAAAGTAGATAGATATTTTTAGAAGCGAAATAAAATGGAAACATTACCAATCGTAATCGGATTTCTCATTCTCTGAGTACAAGAAGTTCTCGGCAGCGGTTCTCCGGAGAGGAAAACGTTGGGACGACACCGTTTCGGAGACGCCCGAGAGCGCAGCTGCCACCGAAGTCGTCAACGCTCCGTTGATACTAATGTTATCAGATCCTAAAAAGAGGCAGAACAAATTTCAAACACCATTGCCGAGACACAGATATATACAGCTTATTAAATAAGTTTACATATATAGAAAGAGATATATATATACACGAACCTGCTAAAAGAGATTCTCCTCTGTGTTCTTTTTCGCGTCGACGCATCTCAAGGAACAGAGAGAGTTCCTCGTCTCTGTCGTGGCTCAACATTTTTGAAACCTGAGGTTGGAGCTTTCTGGGTCTTCGCAAGAACAAAAAGTCCCCAAAAAAAAAGAAAAATAAAACAGAATCGGACCAATCAGATCTGAGGAGATCACACTAAGGGGTCCTTGAGAGAGTTAGAAGACTAGAACAGCCACCAATGAGAACCATGAAGTCATTATAGAACAGAGGATAAGAGCCCAGAACGTTTTTTTAATTGGGTTGATTTGGAGAGAAGAGATAGAAATTTTTTGAGTTGAGGACGAAGAAGGGAGAGAGTGGGCAAGATGTTCTTCTCGACGAGTTTTTTTTTTTTCTATTATTTTGGTTTTAGTTCCCTTTTTAAAATTCCGATTTCAAACCAGACAAGCCTTAGTCGTACCATCTCCTCTTGTATTTTTCTCTTATTTTTATATTATATAATTAAATATGGTTTTTGAAAGTTTGAACAGAACACGAAGCATCGGGTTTAAAACGCAGAGGATCTAGCTCACGGGACACGTTGTGCAGTCTTTACCCATGAATATTCCATGTAATTACGACAAGGCCACTCGTGCTCCAAAAGGTTATTATATATATGCCTCGGCATTTGGTTAAAAGTTATAACTGTGCGGTCAAATTTGAAAAGCTAGTTATGATTGGTTTTTCCAACCCACTCGATACATTTTTATCCCACTCTAGGTACGATGAAGTTGAATATCCAAGTGTGGAGGCCTGGCAGAGAAACATCACTGAAAGTAACATCTGGTGATTTAATTAAGATTTCAGAATAAACTAGGAAACATGGCTAAAGAAGCTCTATCTTTTGATCAGTGTCCACTTAATACCTTTTTATGTTCATAGTTTTGTTTGATTTATTTAGTAAAAAATTAGTCATTTTAGTCTTTAGATACATATATTTTGAAAAAATTATTCTTTTGGTTCTTCTAAAATCATGTTTGCTAGGCAGGTTGTAGCTTACGGTTGACATTAGATAATGTCTCGTTTTACCACTTTAAAAAAATACTTATACTTCTGAAAGTGTACAAAAAATACCTATTCTTTTCTTAAGACATTTTATTCTCTATTTTTCACACAGGTCTTGTTACGAGTACTACGTAAATGTAAGATATGCATAAAGTAAAATTGGTGTTTGATTTGGAGATCGATTCATTCACTGATGTATGTGTCGTTAAGACATACCAATGAATGGTTGAATTCTAATTGCACAAAACAGTTTTCAAAAACGATAAAAAAAAAATTTATACGGATACTGATATCGAGTTTCAAAATTTGTATAAGAAATCTAAATTTATTTATCATATGAATATTTGGTTTCTTCTGTACGCTTACCCGAAAAAATGTCGAAATTTGCATTGACCACATGCTAATTAACTCCAATGTTTGGCTCGTAAAAGAAAAGAGAATCCAATTTTTACTCTTCTTCGTCGCTTCCAATCATCGGCTCGTCCTGGTTCATGTCGTATCCGTCTCCATCGGGTCCAAGCACTTTAAACCTGCTCAATTAGTTACGCCATTTTTCCATGTTAAGTTTGAATCGGTTTGTGATGGTTTCTTTTTGAGGGTCAATTCTGGTTCTAGAGAGAAATTAGGAGGTATAGTGTTGAAAGATCAACAACCTTTCTATGATAAATTTTCCTTCCTTGTACTTCTGAGACTTCTCATATGCAATTTCCTGTGGGAGAAAATGAAAATCAGCATCAAAAGAAGCACAAAGAGAGTTGTTCAATAAAACGAGTGTTTGAGTCTTTTACGTATTTCCAGCCAACAAGAGAGCCACAGCTAACGCAGAAGATATCAGCTACAGTATGCCAACCAGTCATCATGATGCGATGCTCCCTCTCTCCAACCGTCACATTGACACTACCAAATCATAAAAGGGTTGCTAATAATAAGGGAACCTTGTCACGAGTCCTTGTATGATCATGTCTGATACCGATTAATGAAAATGAGAAAGAAATCAGTTTCATATTGAGTGACTGTTTAAGTTTCATTTGTTTGATGTTTTCTTTATCTTAAAAAGGAGCATGAAAATGAGAAAGAAATCAGTTTCATATTGTTTTCGGTTGTAACAGAGGAGCAAGAGATTCTCTACTGTTAGGAAGTTCTGTTCTTAGAATTTATGAATAAAAATATTTCCTTTCTCTGGTTCTTTACTCTATCAATATCCTTCTAAGTATTACTTACACATTTTCGAAAAGATAGGCCCTTCCATGCTTGCAGTGAAATGACTGGAAACAACACAATCATGAACACAAGTCAGGTTAGCTGTCTGATCAATTCAAGAGCATTAATTGACTGTAAAAAGACAAGTATGAACACAAAATCATGGTGTGTTTCATCAATTCAACAGGAACAACAAAACAAGAGTGTAAGGATCAATTCCCAAGTTGCTTGTGCAGACCAGTCCGAAAATGCGAGTTATTGTTTCACTCATCTGCTTTCAAGGGTCAGTATCCGAGTTTGGTCAATTCAAGAGTATGAACGGGTAATTGTTTCCATTTCTCAAGTTTGTTTTTGACCAGTCTATAAAAATGCAAGTTGTGTGTGTTTCAATCGGAACAGAACCAAAACTAATTCACTTAGAGGAAAATTAAGTAGTAAAGTGATATGGAAATCAAGGCATGTAGGGAACATTCCAAGAAATTAACCTTTGAGAGTAGATCATCGGCAACTGCGAAATGTGTCTGGCAATGCTTGCAGCTATATATTTGTCCTTCGAGGTCTATCACGAATAGTCTTCCCATTTCGAACAAATCCACCTACCTAAAATACAAAAAGAAACACCAACAGATCTCAATTTCCGTCACAGTCACAGATCTTGATGAATATGAGGATATGCAAACAACTGAAGAATCTGATCAGATACGCCAATAAATTTGAACAGAGAAATGAAACAAAACAACCGAGAAAATTTCTCAACACTGCGAGACAAAACAATAACGACGATGGTGGAGAGAAAATAGAAACCAATGCTGAAAGGCGAAGAAGACAAATAATATCAAGGGAAATTACCCGAAAATAGTTGGCGTTTTACGAAATACAACATTAAAAAATTTGGTAGAGAACGAAAAAGTAAGAGATGGAAATCGACCAGAAGCGCGTTAATCTCGAGAAAAAGCTTCGATCAAAAATGTCAAAAAAAGGTAAATACTAGAAACTTGCGTACTTCGCAAGAGTATAAAAAAAAAATAAAGTAGGTGAGAGAAATGGAAAAGAAGATTCCTGGAATTTCCAGCGAAGAAAATTCCCAGACGAGGAGAAAATTCTTACGAGAAAGACAATTGAAATCTAAAGGAACAACCCCAAAAAGAAAATTGAAAAACTGGAAGAACCAAAACAAAATTGATCTTACCCCGAAGGAGAAACGCCAGAGCAGAAGAGGTTTCGAATTTTCCATGCATTTATAATAATTATTTGATTAAATAGGCTACATGGCTACTCGGCCCATGGCCTATTTATTTCAAGAATTGATTCATTTTAATCAGATTTATTACTTTACACGCGTAGAACAATTATCTATTACAGCATTTATCCCGAGGGAAATGCTACAGATCGGGTATCGGATTATGGCTTAATTAGTGGTGTTCGAACCGAACCGATAAAAAACCCTAAGAAATTGGAATTTCACCGGGAAAAACATCGTCAGTTATAAAGCTATGAGATTTTGTTAAACAACCGAAACGAACCAGAACCAATCAAAACCAGGGCCAAGTATTACAAGAAGGGCGAGCTAAACCTTTGTTTTAATCCCGAGTCTCGTCCAAGACAAAGAACGTGCTATAATTGAGAAGTGACCTTTAATTCCCAATTTCCCATTGGGGTATAATGTAAGAAAACATGTAGAAATGTGAATTTTTAGAGTTCCCATAGAGAATCTTGAGAAACATGGAGACGAATAGACCCGTTTTGATTTATTGAATGAACACCAGAAAAAATGGGGGAAAAATCGAACCTTTCAAAATTTCTCCTTCTTCTTACTCTCCATTAGCTTTATCTACCAATCTTGCTGACTCTTTGAGGAGGCCACACGACATGAGTGACCCGTCCACGAATTAAACCCAAAGGAATCTGCCAAACAAGTTTATCCCCATCAGTCACATGGGACAAGGCGTTGAAGAGTATCATATGGATCATCTGCGTTCAAATTCTACGAAAAAATATGTGTTGGGGTCCAGAAGCAGAGGACTTACAGGGCCATATGTTCTCGAGTCTAAGCTGGAAGCTTTGTTATCTCCTTCTACCCAACAATGTCCTTGTGGAACTCTGATCACATCATTCGAACTACTTATCCATTCACCAGGCATCCCGACTATCCTCTTTATGTATCTATCCTTGAAATGAGTTGGAGAGCTGCCAGAGATATGAAGTTCACTCTGTCAGGAGCTCATTGACATATTTCAAAATATATTATTTTTATTACATACAATACAATGTCAGAGGAATACTTTGAAACATATTTTGAAACCTGAAAGAGCAGAAAACAACTGAGGTTGGAAGCAAAAGAAAAGAACAAATACAAAGAGCTTGATTTCATGGCCAAATATTTAGACTACAGTATATAAAAGGTACAGTTTTTGTAGGCCATGTCCTGAGATTAAATATAAATGCACTTCATGATTCAGCACTACAAATAGATGGATTTTTATTTTCATTTTGCAAGGTTCTAGTGAATTAGTTTAAATAACATTGTGAATGGTGTAAGCATCTGAGAAAAGACAAAAGCAAGGGACCAACATGTAATCAAGTATTACTCAATATATAGTTATCTTTTGTTGTCAAAGGATGATGACTCAAAAGTGGCTTGGTATTAGAGGGAACATACCTGAACACTACAACATCACCACGCGCAAACTTGTAATCCTTAAGGCAAAATTTGTCAACCAGAACATAATCATCTGCACCAAAAATGAAACATCTAATAAGAAATAAGGAATCGTCTAATTTCAACTATATTGCCACCAAAAACACTTACCTAAATACGAATTTCGTTGGGGGTTGAATAATGGAGACATGGAATCTCCTCTTACCGGAACAACACTACAACATCTATCTGAAATGGTAAGCCCAATAATGCTTCCAGCGAATGCTTTCTTTGTCACTTCCCATACAAGTTTCTCGATTCCCATGTCCAAGATGGTCTATCTAATATGTGATTCTCAACAACAGGCATAGAATCATCTGCAACAAAAACCACAAGGTTTGATACATCTTTAAAATTATATTTCTAATACAAAATGACATAATCCATAACTTGCACCTGACAATAACCTTAAAAGTTTTCTTAATCCAAACCAATCGCTACGGTTATATCAAAGTGAAAACCATCTCCGATCAAACACGACGGTCTAAAAAACATAGCATTGGCCGATTTAAGCTCAAACTATGATGCGAAATGAGCTAAATCCAAATCGATCATGGAATTGAAAGGATTGAACTGAACTAATCTGAAACCTAGGCCTGATCGAATCGTTTAATGCAAGAGTCGGGAGTGGAAGGCTAATAAGCAAAAAAAAGGCAATTGAACCTATTCAGGAGAATGAAATCGACTAAAAAGACAATGCAAAATCAAACTTTTCTAAAATGATGGATAAAAACCTGGAAATTGACGAAGCCAAAGAGAAAGAAACTGAGACTTGTAACACGACTAGCTGCAAATCGATTTTGCGAAGAAGATTAGAGAAGAAGCAGAAGTCGCGGCAAAGGCAATGTGAAGAATCAGGGTTTTTCTTCTTTTGCCTTAAATCAATGCTTCGGACTTGGCTAGAGGGTTTAACTGGAACCATCAATTGCCCGGTTAAATCAGGAATTTTGGGTCGCGGGATTTGACCGTTTAAGTGCTTCCTTCTTTTTTCCCGGTTTTGGGAATCGAAATTATATACCGATTTGGTCTTTTCTGCCCATTATTACGAACACAAATTGTACAGACATGGTCCTCCTGCGATAAGAATCGCCGATCATCTGTTAAGTATAAAGACATTAAAATAATTAATTTGAGTAAAGCCTTTGAAATGTATTAGGCCTTGTCGTGTCTAGTCATGATTCGGAGGACGACTGTTCGCGGCTGAAACGCGGAAACCCCTTTCAGGCAACTCTTTGCTTGTGTCATTTATGTGAAAGAATCACTTCAATGAAACATAAACAATCTTTCTTTGGTTCACTCGCTATCTTAATTGCCTCTACTAGCTTCTGTTCGATTTTTTTTTTAAAAAAAAAAAGCATTATGCTCCAGGGTTTACAAAATTATAATATAATTACAAATTAACCCAATTCCATGTTTACGTAAATCTATTCCTATAAAACTATTTCACTAACGTATCTGTGACACAAGACAATACACATTCTCTGCAAGCACAAGAACCTCCAGAAGTAGCTTGCAACACAGGACACATGAAAATTCTTCCCAACAAAAGGGTGTACATCTCTGAAACTAACCCCTGACGAAACAGAGCTTTCATTTGAGCTGAGGTTTCTGTCTAGTCTTCGTGAACTGTATGTCTCCGTTTAGAACAGCCGCTACGAATTTCTCGACTTCCTCCATAGTCATGTCGCCTTTAAACGTAGCGAACTTACCCCTTCGAGGCTTGTAAGCTATAAGAAGCTTATCAGATGTTTTCATCTCTGATTTGTCAAGTGAACTCAAGAACGAAGATTGTTTTGCCGCGTCAAGAAGAGAATAGGAAACTGTGTCCTGAGAACCAGTGGCTGAAGCTTGTCGTCGAGAAAGTGATTTCTGTGACACCTGCACAAACAGTAGAGCCAGACGATTATTGATCAAACTGTGCTTCGCAATCACATTGAGTTAAAACAAAAGGGGCCTATTTACCGAACAAGGGGGTGATAATTTGCTTACCTTGGACAATATTGACTGCAGCTTCTCTTTACCATGTGAAGATCTAAAGGCACCGATGATACAAACAGGAGTCTTCTCTCCGCAAATGGAATCGAAATTTGTTCTCGAGAGAAGATGTATCTTTTCTAATGGCTGGCTTTGTGCTTGGCCCGACTGACTATTAGAAGCGACCTTCTTGTTCTTTTTCTCAAATCCTTCTAGCAATTTACCAATTTCCTGGACGGCTGATTTCAGATTTTTCACAGTGATGCCTGTTTTCAACACTTGCTTCTCCCCATTCGAGAACCAGCCAAGTATTGCTGGAAACGCGTCAACCCCCAATTCCCGAATCTTCGGATCAAAAGTATCATGGACCTACAAAGATCATGAAAACATATGCTTTAGCTGAAAAGATTCCATTTCTAAAGATCCCAAGGTCTTTAGCCAAAAAGAGGAACTCCAAATCCCTCAAGTATACATAATCAAGCTCAAATTTGCATTCTCGCCCTAAACGTAGACCAGGAAACCACCCATAAGTTCTAGGACCAGCAGATTGACAGAAACGATAACGGTAGTGATAGTGGTCTTAAAACCAGAATATATCATACCTCTGTGTTGTAGAAGACAAAGCGTCCATTGTACAAGCCACTAAGAACACGCCAGATGACAGGAGTGTCTTTCTTTGTTGACAGAAGCATAACTTTAGGAGTCTTCTGTGAGCTAAGAGCAGAGACATCAAAGGTATCCAGGTCAATCCTTTTTGAGAATCTCGGTAGATGTTCCTGGCAGAAGCTTTTCACCTTCTTTGCAACAAGCTCTTCAGTATATTCTGCTAAGGTAGCTTTGCCACTTGATGTGTATGAATAAACAAACAACCTTGGAGCCCTACGAGGAATTATGCCAAGTTGTTTGCAAAGAGAGGATTCTGTTTCACAATTTATACGCCCAACCTGTAAACAAAAAGTTTACTCATGTAAGCAACCAAGACCAAAACCCAAAAGATAAAACATGAAGATCAACCATGTTCACAACTGAATCTTCTAAAACCAAATCCCAAAACCAGAAATCAAATAACTCAACAAGCACAAGTTTCACCTTTAAAGCTCCTTGCAACGACTCAGCAACTTCCTCTATGATCGAATCATGGTACTGAGTTCCCCTTTGAGACGGAAGATACGACAGCACAAGCCAAGTCATCCCTTGGTCCACAATTTCCTTCTTATAAACCTGAGGATTTATAGTTCTAATGGTTGCCACCGTACCACTCTTTGATCCAGATTCAGCCTTGGATGAGCCACCAAAGCCACCAAATCCACCAAACTGATCCCTTCCTTTAGAGCTACCTCCAGAAAACATGGAAAAGATATCATCCATCCCAAAACCGAAGGAACTTGCACTTGGACCGCCTCCACCAAATGAGAACGAAAACGATTTGGAACCGCCTCCACCACCCATATTCTGCCATCCACCTGGTCCTCCAAAATTGAACCCACCACTTTGTCCACCATTTGAGGAGTATGAATACCCACCGTTACCTCCGTGAAAGCCCGGGTCAAATCCAGGCTGGCCCTTTTCATCACCATAAAGATCATAGTTTTTCCTCTTCTCTTCATCAGATAAGATCTCATAAGCTGTAGCAATAAACCAAGGTTTAAACTTGTCAACATACATTCAATTTATGCGATTAACCCATGCCTACGAAGCAAGAAAAATCTTCAAATGTACTAAGAAATTAGCGATTAAATAGAAAGTATCCATGGAATAATGTTGAAATTAAATACCCACCATTATTAATCTCAGCAAACTTCTCCTGAGCACCCTTATTTTTGTTTTTATCTGGGTGATATTTCAGAGATAGCCTACAAAAAAAAACACAAGCTACATGAGTAAAAAGAATCGTATTTGTTGATCCTGAGCCAGTGACTACAATAGAATGGTACGCACTTGTGGAAAGCTTTCTGGATTTCACGCTGCTTTGCATCCCGAGATACTCCAAGAACCTGAGAAGTCACAGAACGTATATAAATGTGTTGCACATTAATCTTTCTAATCAATGGCAAGACTTTGGCGCAAAACCTAATCAAAGTAAATATCTTTCCTTTCTACAACACCCCAATAAAATCAGCCTAAATTGAATTCGACCATTAGTCCCTAATATGAATCCGAAGTCAGCACCGATTTCGATTTTGATTTTTACTTACAGTCAAAACACATCAGAGCGAACAAAATCGAAACCTTCAATTAGAAAGCAGATAATCAAACATAAGCAACAACGCAATTCATAATTTCCGCCCCCGATAAAAAAATTCGAGAATTATAGAAAAACCAAAACGAGATCAATCTCAACTTAGTGAAGAAAAAAAATATCCATGAAAAGTGAAGTTTTCTCTTCTAAAGTACCTTGTACGGATCAACGGTTTTCGCTTCTGCATTCGACAATAACAACGTCGAAACAAGTATAACAGATATCGCCAATCGTGTTCTCACAATCCCCATAGAAAAACCTGCGAATCTTCTTTTTCTTTTTCTTATTCTTCTTCGTCCAAGAGGTGTATGTATTATTCACGGAGCTCTACGCTTCGGGAAAAATCGAGAAGAGAACATATCATTAAATAGGTTCTCTGGGTTTAAAGAAGAAAGGCAGAATTTCTCCAATGACCTTTATATTATTAATGAATCTAGAATGTTTCCCATATTAGTGATTTAACAAAAAGATACGAAATTCATAATTTTTAATAGGAAACGTGGTGGGGGGAAATTTTCACTACAAAAGTATTAGAGGTTTTTCTGTATTTATTGAAAATAAATTTCGGTAGCTTCCAGTTTCAATTTAAGGCGGGTATTTACACGTGGCAAAAATGATGAAGTCCCACGCATCTCAACCAATAAGATTCTAGCAAAAGAGAGAATATTGATCGGTTGCGGCCACGCGCCACCAAGATCACGCGCTATATTTTTTGGGCCTTTTAATTTATATTGCGATCGGCCCAAGGTAAAGTAACCGGTTCGGCGATCGGAATCTGATCTAATCGACGGTAAGTTTTTCCTTTTTTTGGTCGTCGACTGTGAAAATGCATTGATAACAAAAGACGACAACAAAAACACATTAATAACAAAAAATCGGACGGAAATTGTAGTTGCCGATTCCACGGCGGTAATGAAGCCATTAACACAAATGGAAGAATACATTTCTACAAAACGATCAAGCCAGACCTTTGATCTCAATAGTTATTATTCAGTTTTATACCATTTTCTACGATTTGTCCAACATATTTGATAGCCTACTTGAGTCACTTGAGGATCAACAAAAAAAATTAACAAAGTCAAGCCAAATGATAATACTTTTATGGATATACTTCCCGAGTACAAGATTGGGCACTTTATTACCAAATTATATGAGTTTCACGTTTATATAATAGATATATAGATCAGTATATCGCTCTTGAGGAGAAAACACATCTCTTGACCAAAAAAAAAGAAAAAAACACAACTTTCATGAGAATTAACTACATGTGCATTTGATTTGAGTATTTGACCGAAGACGTGTACAAAGTAATTGACTTTCTTTTCCTTCATGATTCAATGACTTTATGATAATTGAGACTTTTAATTTAGGCCCAAAATTCCGTGATCAGCCCAAATGAAAGTCTCCGGTTCAGTGATCGGAAACTGATCAGAGGTTCGGTAAGTAATATTTTTCCATCGACTGTGAAAAAGAAAAAAAAAACATTTCACTTACGGCATTGTCATTTGTGCATTGTTGTTAGATGTTTCAAGAGCTTTAGAGAGCTTTAGAGAGATTAAAAGACGGAGAAAGAAGAAGACGTGGAAGGAGACGATCTTCTTTTTCTTCTCTCTCTGTCTCGTACTAGCTTCGCTTTTTTCTTGCCGCCGCCGTAAGATTTTATTCTCACCGTCGCTGCTCGTTGCCCAAAGCCCTAGGGTTCATCCTCGTCGCTTCCTTGGAGTTCATTGGATCTGGTTACGGTTTTCTCCTTTTTGTTGAGAGGAGAACGGAGCTGCCTTTGATGGCGTTGTCAGCTTCCGATTTACCGGCGATGTACTCGCTGCTAGCAAATTCTATGAGCGGTGACGAGACCGTTCGGCGGCCGGCGGAGGAGGCTCTGTCTCAGTCCGAGAGCAGACCTGGTTTTTGCTCCTGTCTCATGGTGCGTTTCTAATCTATGCTCTTTTGGTTTCTGCTTGATGTCAGCCCAATTTTACTCGCCCATTTCCTCTCGTTTGGTTGCAGGAAGTCATTGCATCCAAGGATTTGGTGTCTCATGTGGACGTTAGATTGATGGCATCTGTATATTTCAAGAACAGTATCAACCGTCATTGGAAGAGCAGACGAAATTCTTCGTAAGTTCATCTTTTCCGGAATTCGGAAAATGTTACTGATCATTGCAACCAAATTGCAAGTTGGGATACTTCACATTCCGAATTATTCAACCTGGATTAAATTAGAATCTGGACTTATGTTCATCATTTAACTTAGCTAACTGGTTTAGACTCTTAGATTTGTAATGGCGTAAAGTTACTGCTCTATTTCTTAGTTGTTGACACTCTTGCTGGCGACTTTTACAGAGGTATAAGCACCGAGGAGAAGATGCATCTGAGGCAGAAATTGTTGTCTCACTTGAGAGAAGAAAACTACCAGGTTTTGCAACATTTGCTTTGTTTATTAATGACTGGTTTTGATTTGTTTTCCTTGGCTGCATCAGCTAAGACTGTAAGCATATGAATCTGACTTTATTTGCTTTATGGCAGATAGCGGAAATGTTGGCTGTTCTCATATCGAAGATAGCCCGATTTGATTATCCTAGGGAATGGTCAGCATTTTCACTTCATTACTCATATTAACTTGTGACAGTATTTTCCTTGATTTGCTGAGTTTTTGCATTTATTCTCGTAGCAATTTAAATGGTAATTCGTGCCCATGATTTCAGGCCTGACCTCTTTTCGGTACTGGCGCAACAGCTTCACTCAGCTGATGTTCTTGCTTCTCACAGAATCTTTATGATTCTTTTTCGATCCTTAAAGGAATTGTCCACTAAACGTCTCACGGCAGATCAGAGAAATTTCGCTGAGGTGTGTCTGCTACTATTTTTTCCCCATTAACAATTTCATTTCTCCTCTAGCATAAAATTATTGTTGGACCAAAGCTTGGATTTTTGCTTTAGTAAAGGATAAGGTCCAGTTTAATTTGTTGGCAGATCTCCTCGCAACTCTTCGACTTTAGTTGGCACCTTTGGCAAACTGATGTCCAAACAATTCTACATGGCTTTTCAACAATGGTTCAGAGCTATGGTTCAAATAGTGCCAAGCAGCATCACGATGAGCTTTTTCTGACCTGTGAAAGGTGGTTTTTATGCTTGAAAATAGTGCGCCAACTCATAATTTCAGGATTTCAAAGCGATGCCAAATGTATACAGGTAGATGCACTGTACTTCTCCTTGACACTTTTTGGTTCATTACCACATCCACAGCTATCTTCCTTCTTTGAACTAGTGGTATATTTTGAGGGAATATGTGTTCCATTGCCCCTCATTTCTTCTACTATCTTCCGATAAGTAAGCTGCAATCATAACCTTGATAGATTAATTGACTATGTTGAAATATAGAATTCGTTTTTGCTCTCAGGCGTATACCCTACATTCAGATATATGACATACATCTAACTCTTTTCTCTCAGGAGATTCAACAAGTTAAAGAAGTCTCTCCTGTGCTCTTGAATGCGGTTCAATCGTTTCTTCCTTATTGTGAGTTTGTTTATAGCTTCTGAAAACTCTTCTTTTTTTTTTTTTTCCTTTTTTCATGCATATGATTAAAGCACCTAGAGGTCTGTAGCAAAGAGGATTTGTGTCCTCCTTTTCCTCGCTTCAACCTGTCACCCCACATATGTACGCTTTTGCTGACCTGTTTGGAATCGTCATGCAGATTCATCTTTTCAGAATCGAGATCCTAAATTCTGGGAGTTTGTAAAGAAGGCATGTGTCAAACTGATGAAAGTGTTAGGCGCAATTCAAAGCAGGCATCCTTATTCGTTTGGAGATAAATCAGTTCTTCCTGTCGTAATGGATTTCTGCTTAAACAAGATAACAGACCCTGAACCGGCATCGTTGCCGTTTGAAGAATTTTTTATTCAGTGTATGGTCATGGTGAAATCTGTGCTTGAATGTAAAGAATATAAGCCTAGTCTAACTGGTCGCGTAATGGATGAAAGTGGAGTTACATTTGAGCAGAGGAAGAAGAATGCGTCAAACACAGTTGCTAGCACTGTGTCTTCACTTTTACCCAATGAAAGGATAGTTATATTGTGCAACATACTAGTGAGAAGGTAACACTCTAACCAATGCAAAGTTCGTATCTTTTCATGTCTTAGTTTTTGAAAGTAGAGAAATTTTAATTACCAATGCAAAGTACAAAACAAAATATGAGGTGGGCCAATCTTTTAGACACATAATTATCTTATTGATGTACTTCTATTTATCTCTGTTTTCCGTCTCTTCACCGTGAAATAAGGATGTCGTTATTGTATGGTCATACATAGCGTTCGAAAATCAAAGATAAGTTACTTGACGTGCATAGAATCGATGATGAGGGATTGTTACTATAGGGGCCCTCGTGGTTAGTTTGGAAAATATTTCATGCATCAAGTCTTTTGTTTTTGGTGTTAACTGTGATACTGTCATGTATTCCTACCTCCATACAATCACCACTCTCTGTTTGTCGTGTGAATGATACCTGGAAACATAGTTTGCTGAAATTTAATATCCAACATTCCAACAGGTATTTTGTTCTAACAGCAAGTGACCTAGAGGAGTGGTACCAGAACCCTGAGTCATTTCATCATGAGCAGGACATGATTCAATGGTCAGAGAAATTGAGGCCTTGTGCTGAAGCTCTATATATGGTTTTGTTTGAGAACTACAGCCAAGTAAGTAGCATATAGTCTTAAGCACATCATCATGTTCTGAAAGAAGTCTGCTAAATTCAACCCCAGAAAATAATAGACAAGAAGTCTGCTAATTGATATATACTGATGCTTACTCTTTCTGTCTCCATCATTGTGAACAGCTCCTAGGACCTATTGTTGTGTCCATCCTTCAAGAGGCAATGAATAATTGTCCCCCTTCTGTCACTGAAATAACTCCACCGCTGCTTCTTAAAGATGCAGCGTATGCTGCTACTGCATATGTCTACTATGAGCTCTCGAATTATCTTAATTTCAGAGATTGGTATGCTCTTTTTCATCTCCTCTAAACATGTCCTGTGACTCCTAACTGATCCTTCATATTGCCAACCCGAAGAATGTGTCGGAAAATTTCGATTAGTTAAGATAAAAAACGTGTCCTTCTTAATGATCGGATGATTTGGCTGCAGGTTTAATGGTGCGCTATCCCTTGAGCTGTCAAATGACCATCCAAATAGGCGTATCATCCACCGAAAAGTTGCTATGATATTGGGTCATTGGGTTTCAGAGGTAGTGTTATTTGACTCCGGCTTTATTGTTTTTATGCTGCTAGAGGAAATTGGATTTTAAATTTTTATGAAAATGTTTCTTATCGTTGCATGAATGATTATAGTATCTATGCAAAATGACGTAATATCTAGGGCTAGTTACCCTGCTGATTATGGGTCTCTTCTCTTAAAGTTTTCCGTTAATTATATTTTTGGTTGAAATATTGACTGGTTTATGGTTAATGTTGAAAACCTTTCAGATCAAAGATGACACAAAAAGAGCAGTTTATTGTTCTTTGATAAAATTGTTGCAAGACAATGACCTCGCTGTCAAGGTAGTCTCATCGTATCTCATCTTTGTTGCTTTTATCTTTCTATCTTGCAATAACTAATAAGGTCGCATTTTTTCCCCTTATTTATGTATTTTGGCTACCTCTGAAATTGTCTGTTAACTCATGTAGCTGGCAGCTAGTAGGTCATTATGCTTACACGTTGAGGATGCAAACTTTTCGGAGCAAAATTTTCTTGATCTTCTTCCAATCTGTTGGGAATCATGTTTCAAAATGATTGAGGAAGTTCAAGAGTTTGATTCGAAGGTACATGATGTAGCTGCCTCAAATTCATTAGAGCACTTCATTCTTGTCATACTACTTCCTCCAGTGATTAATATGGCTCTCTATCTTTCCATCTAACGATCCTTTTCTTAAAAATTTCAGGTTCAAGTTTTGAACTTGATTTCTATTCTTATAGGCCATGTTAGTGAAGTCATTCCGTACGCGCAAAAGTTGGTGCATTTCTTCCAGAAGGTATAGTGACACTCTTTCTGTATTTGTTTATTCTTGTCGTGGTGCGCAAATGATATGTTATTATCTTTGTGCTTGACTCAAGAACAGGTTTGGGAGGAATCTTCTGGTGAAAGCCTTCTTCAGATTCAGCTTCTTGTTGCACTGCGGAATTTTGTGATTGCGCTTGGTTATCAGTCTCCCATTTGCTATAGCATACTACTCCCAATACTCCAAAAGGGCATCGACATTAATAGCCCTGATGCACTCAACCTTCTGGAGGATAGCATGGCAGTAAGTTTCTACTTCATAAGATGCATACCTTTGTTTTCTGTTGATACAAATGTTCTATAGAAAAATGACACTGCATCACATATGCAGTTATGGGAAACCACACTCTCCTATGCTCCAATGATGGTTCCCCAGCTATTAGCATGCTTTCCTTACATGGTGGAGATCATTGAAAGAAGTTTTGATCATTTACAGGTTAGCTTTTTAAGTTTTCAAGGAGTAGACGTTTTCATCTATTAATAACGTATATATGTGTGCTCGGTTCTACTGAAACATGTTGTGTCAATATTACCTTATTACATATTCAAGTTGACCATATGCTCCGGAAATTTTTCACTAACAACTTAACCAAAAGTAGGTTGCTGTTAGTATCATGGAATCGTACATCATTTTGGATGGAGGAGAATTTCTTAATATGCATGCTTCAAGTGTCGCAAAGATTCTTGATCTTATTGTTGGAAATGTAAATGATAAGGGGTTACTCTCGATTCTTCCAGTGATTGACATCTTAGTTCAGGTGCGTATAACTTCTCATTTTCCCATTTTGTGCAGACAAGCAACAAATTTTTTTGAATTTCATGATTTATCATTGATTAGCAATAACAAAAAAATGATTCCAGTATCATATTGGAGCCCCTTTCACGTATATAATTCTGTCAGCTAAACCTTTGTTCTTCACATTTCTTTGATTCTAGCATTGTATCTATATTCTCCCAAAGACTTCTGTTGCGAAATTCAGTTGTAATGGTGCTGTGTTCAAGAGAGATTCATTCTTCTGTTATGTTTGTATATACACTGCACTTATCTGTTTAATCACATAGCCTTATCTTTTGGTATATGTATAAATTGACCAGCGATGGAACTTTTATGGCATCATTACTCGTACAGTCACTATCATGACTGTGGATATGTGTATATGTATGAAAGTTTCGGCAGATTACAACTCTCTGATTTGAACATTTACTCTGGTTTTGAACAGTGTTTCCCTTTGGAAGTGCCCCCTCTCATAAGAAGCTGTTTGCAGGTGAATTTCCAGTGTTTTTCTTTTTAATTGATGAAAGATTCATATTTTTCCATAAAACAGTTGATGGAGATGGTTTGTTGGTATCTCCCAGAAACTGGTTATTATTTCCCTGAGTGGAGGAGATGACCGAGATCCATCCAAGACTGCAGTTAAAGCGTCTTCAGCTGCTATCCTGGCAAGGATTCTGGTGATGAACACCACATACTTGGCCCAGTTAACATCTGAATCATCTCTCTCAGTGTTACTCCAACAAGCAGGGGTCACGATCGAAGACAGCATACTCCTTTGCCTCATCGACATTTGGCTCGACAAGGTCAGGGGAGAACGTATCTTGAACAGCTTTCTGGAACTCTTAAGTGATTTTAAAATTGGCTTGCGGGAAACTCATGTTGTTAAATAGTCCTTTTTTTTTTAATCCTAAGCAATAGCTCGTTTCCAAACTGCGTATTATCTGACTTATTTTGTTGTTACATCTACTCGTGCAGGTGGATCATGCGACCCCCATGCAAAAAAAGACATTTGGATTGGCTCTTTCCATAATACTTACACTTAGAATGCCTCAAGTTCTTGACAAGCTTGATCTGATACTAAGGTACACGCTTGCACAATCAAATATTAACAACTTGATTACGTACTATGTTACATAATTGATCGTGTTTCTGGAAACAGTACATGCACCAGTGTGATCCTTGGCGGAGATAAAGATCTAACAGAAGAAGAATCAAGGTTATATTAAGAATTTATTTAATTGCTTGCACAAATAATAATTTTGAAGCCAGTTTTGGGATTTGTTACTGAAATGTTCACAACACTCGAGTGTTCTTATCTAAAGAACTTTCAATTTATCATTTCCAGCGGTGACATTAGTTCGAGCAGGTCTCAAGGAGAAGAAACCCCACCTAGCAAAGAATTACGGAAAAGTCAGGTAAAAAGTTAAAAATTCCTTTTTTGTTGTCTTAACGACCCAGCTTCTTCAAAACCACAGATTTTTTAACATAATTTTTTTTTTGGGGGTCTGATGTTATTAAGATCAAAGTTTCCGATCCAGTCTACCAGATGTCACTGGAGAACTCAGTGCGTGAGAACCTTCAGACATGCTCTACACTTCATGGAGATGCCTTTAATTCTGCCATTAGTAGGATGCACCCATCAGCGCTTGCACAAGTGAAGCAAGCTTTAAAGCTACCATGATCAAATATGTCTTTTGCCTCTCGTCAGTGTGTGCTTCCTTACCATTTAAGCAGCAGTATCCAAGTGAGTTTCTGATCCCTCACGAATCTTCCTTCTCATTGTCATTCATATATGTGGTGATGTATCCCCACCAAATGATCTGACTCGCCACTTCATATCTGTTCAGTGGAGTGAGCTTTTCTTCTCCTTACCGTTACGAATTTTATGGGTGTGTCACATAGGCGCGCATGTTGCATTGTGTCCTCTGAGACCTTGGCGGTTTGAGGAACTCTGTACAAATCTTTGGTGAGGTGCGTCTGTTTTATAGCTCCCCGTGCGATTTTTGCCTTACATGGACAAAAAGAGGCGTCGATGAAACCACCTTTTTTTGTTTCCTTGAGTTTAATATGTCAGTCAATTCATTCTTTCAATACAACGTTTTTGTCCCGATGTTTTCAAAAAAAAAAAAATACAAAGCAAAACAAAACATAAAGAAAAAAATGAAGTGAGGAGTCAAAATAGGTAGATTTTTAGGATGTATCCAGGTATATCTAGTCCTAAGAGGTCTAACAAATATATGAACGAAAAGGGTCGGAGTTGAGTTTCATTCAATCTTCTACTCTCTTGTTGTATTACTTTCGATTAATACAGAACACTTTCGAAAACTTGATTTCATTATTCCGTCGCTTTTATTCATTAGCAACATTTACATTTTCAACAATCTATGACGATTGTTCGAAAAGTTTGCTCCCAGCTCTCACATCTCCGATATCCGATGATAGTAAAGCATTGACGACAAAATAAACGTTAAAGCCCCATATGGGCGGATCAAATTTTATCAGGCATGTTCTTTTTCAAGGAAAAACAAGCTCCGTATTGAGAAATTCTTATCAATGATGACCAAGAAATCAAAATAGGAATTATGAAAAAAATTCATTATACTTTAATATTTCTTCGAAGGCTCTTCACTTCCGGTACTGTCGAATCTCTTTTACGACGCCGTCGGTCAATGAGTCAACATCGTGATTCTTCCCGTAGAATTTCACAAAATTCATCTCCGGACTCATCAAGTACCTTCACCAACAATATGTTTTTTATATTAAAAACTCTAGCCACCAATTATAAATGATCATAAACTACTTACTGAAACGTATATATTCATGACTGTAACTAAGTAATTCTTGATATTTGAGAACAAATACGATTTTCATATGTAAAGGGAAAATAAGTACAACACGTACATGACTATAGAGTGATCAACGAGATAGTCTGAATCTTCCTCTTCCGTCTTCATGTAATAAACTCGGTAAGAACGGGCCACCGATTTAATTTCTTCAGGGCTTCCAGTTAACCCGACCAATTTCGGATGAAATTCTACAAGAAATATCATCAAACTATATGAATTTCCGATTCAGAAACCGAAAGAATCTTACGGAGTTGAGAAAATATCTACCTTTGACATATTCATGTACTTGCTGCACTGTGTCTCTTTCAGGGTCCACAGAGATAAACACTGGCACCACATCTACTCCACACTTTTCCTCTGTGTAACATTGTGAGAAAACGAACAGTTAGGAAACATATATATCCAAATGTGCAACGACACGAATGAAAAATGCCGGCAACTCACTTATTTTGTCAATGGCTGCAGCTAACTTAATAAGCTCGTCAGGACAGATATCAGGACAATGAGTGAACCCAAAGTATAAGATGGTCCATTTTCCCATCAAGTCTTTCTCCGTAATACGTTTCCCATCGTCTCTTATAAGACTGAATGGTCCTCCAATGGCTGCTTTTCCAGCAGATGGTCCTTCCTTGACGGCTATCGAATTGGTATTTATATCTAAGTCAACAAGAACCCGAGTCAATTATTCAAAGGAGAATAGAGAAAAACAATAAGGTTTTCTATGATATTGGAATTCACCACAAGTCATGAAAAATCCCTAAGCATTTACGAATTGATCAGTTCTTTTGCCATGTCAAGTTTGTCACTAAGCAGATCAGTAGTTGCATCGATTGCTAAGGGCTAAGGGATGTGCACATAAAGCTACAAACCATGTATTCAATTAGGAGGGTTTCTACGATAAATTTCAGAACCCAAATTACCAAACAGACTCCATCATGCAAGATATTAAGAGCTCGTTCAAAATCCTAGCACCATTAGTATACTGCGTCTCACAGTCCAAAACACGATGTTAAAAAGAAAAAAGGAGCTCTGTAGCAAAAACGGTAGTCTAGAAGATCAAGTTCTGATTACGTTGATGTTACAAAAACAAACTCACCATAGATGAGTACCTTCGATATGACGTTTCTTTTCCCTGTCGTAATAGAAGACCAATCCAGCTCCAGTAGCTAATAGCAAGAAAAAGCTCCACCACGAAACGGGCTGCAATTACCAAAATTTCCTAATCATAAACTCCAGAGACTTAACTTAGCTAGAGTGAACCAAATAAAACCAGATTTTAGATGATCGATGCGATTCATCGAGTAAAAATGTTCATGGAATCAACAATCAAAAAGAAAAGGAGACTTTACCGCTCCACGAACGTCTTTTCCGGAAGAACGGCCGTTTTTCTGATTGGAATCGCCATCTGAGCTCTCTGATCCTCCAGATTTCTCGTTTTCAACGGAAGATTTTGTTTCCGGATTACCAGAGTTAGGCTTAGAGGTAGTATCAGAGACAGAAGTGCTTAGCAAACATCTCTGATCCATCTTCAATCGTTCAATTCCAAAGTTAAGTGTATAAAACTGCAAGAGAATCATCGCAATTATGGAGCTGAACCCAAACAGATTTAGAAAATGAGAAATAAAAATGAGAAGAAAAAGCCGAACCGATCGAGAAAGAGAGAAATTTCCATGACGAAGCGCGTCGGATATACACGACGGATTCACTAGATCGTTTGAGACGCGAATTTGACGATAAAGTTGGAAGGGACGAAGAAGGCTTGCGGTTCTACGCAGAGCAGACGCCATTGACGACTGAAATTTTTTCTCAAATCTGAAAGGAGGAATAACAAGGTTTTAGGAACAAAGGAGGTTTTACGTGTGTTTATCACAAACGGCATGGTATGCGTAAACCCATCACATAAACACCATGCTGTTTACTTCGACAGGCCAATTTTTCCCTATCGATACAGGCCCATCAAGCCAGCTGAGACTTTAGGCATCCATAATTTTAGATATTTATGTTTTCACCCCCCAAACAACACAGTTATCAGTAATTTTCACCTAACTTTGTCTTCCAGCTCAATGTTGAGCAAATTTGATGCTAAACAAATAATGAATAAGACCCGCTAGATTCAAAAACAAATAATGAAGAAGACCCGCTAGATTCAAAAACAAATAATGTTCAGCAAATTTTAAGCTTATCAAATAATGATATCAGTTCTTTACTGAGAAATATGATTGAGTACTGTCAATGTCGTCTTATGTAATTTTTTTTGATCTATAAAACAATCGTTGGGGTTCAGATCCAGATTTGATCTTGACTCGTCCTAACCATAATATATATTATATATGAATACGCCATACAAAAAAAATATCGATTTAAGAAAACCCCAAACAAGGCATATTCCATCATTCTTTGGGGTTTATTTCATTTAACCGGGTTATCAAAATTCAAGGATCGTAATGATTTCTCTCTAACAACATATTAAGCTGGTTTAAATGTTGATTCGCGCGCGCACACATACACAGTGGACTTCTTCCGTTAATAACATGTTCTGCTCAAGTGACAAGTGGCTTTGTATAAGATTCGCCAAGGAGCCTCTTTTGCCCAATCAGCTTATAAAGCTCATCTAAAACTTCAAATATGTTAGGATAACGCGGAACACTCAATAGATAAGGCCGAGCGTATTTCCCACCGTCAGATGGATTTGTTTCTAGATCCAACCGTCAAGATTCTTTTCCTGAGATCTCCAAGTTTCCATCTCTCCCACACATTTACCCGCGACATAAAAACGCCATTTGCTTCATATCTTTACAGAAAATTTTAAGGTACAAACGTGATAAACACAAACGACGCCGGAGATGGCCGCCACTTCAACCGCCGCCGCTGCTTCTTCTCTCATGGGAACTCGGGTAGTTTCCGACATCCATTCCGGTTCAAGCCGGTTCACAGCTCGGTTCGGATTCGGAACCAAGAAAGCCGCTCCCAAAAAGGCTAAGACGGTTATCTCCGACCGGCCTCTGTGGTTCCCAGGCGCAAAATCCCCTGAGTATCTCGACGGCTCGCTGGTCGGAGACTACGGTTTCGACCCTTTCGGTCTAGGAAAACCGGCGGAGTACCTCCAATTCGATCTGGACTCTCTGGACCAGAACCTTGCAAAGAACATAGCCGGGGACGTGATCGGAACCCGTACAGAAGCGGTTGACCCCAAATCGACGCCGTTTCAGCCGTACAGTGAGGTCTTCGGGATCCAGAGATTCAGAGAATGTGAGCTCATTCACGGTCGGTGGGCAATGCTCGCCACTCTCGGCGCTCTCTCCGTCGAATGGCTCACCGGAGTTACTTGGCAAGACGCCGGCAAGGTATGGCCACTTTCCGCGTCGCGTTTGCGTTTTAAGTCTAAAGTTTGCGTTTTGACATTGCATGATTGTTTGTTCTTATTGTTACCAGGTGGAGCTAGTGGATGGATCGTCCTACTTAGGACAGCCACTGCCGTTCTCGATCTCGACTTTGATATGGATCGAAGTGTTAGTGATCGGTTACATCGAGTTCCAACGAAACGCTGAGCTGGACTCGGAGAAGCGTTTGTATCCAGGAGGCAAGTTTTTCGACCCGCTTGGGCTAGCTTCTGACCCGGAGAAGAAGGCTCAGCTTCAGCTAGCTGAGATTAAACACGCTCGTTTAGCAATGGTTGCGTTCTTGGGATTCGCGGTTCAGGCGGCTGCGACGGGTAAAGGACCGCTCAATAACTGGGCGACTCATCTTAGTGACCCGCTTCACACCACCATCATCGATACTTTCTCTTCCTCTTAAGTCTTGATTTGGTGGGGCTTTTAGTTTTTATTGGTGTACTGCAATGTCGTCATCTTTTACAAAAAAAAGTTTGCACTTTTTGTATAAACGAAGTTCTTGAAGTGCTGATTATCGGAGTTATGTGCCTTGACCTCAATCATATTCACTGTATTCACAAAAAATCTCCCTGTTTCATCCAAAAATTGACTCGAAAGAGACCACCGATAAGTGGAAGATGCATTAACCAACACTCAAAAACAGAACAGAGTTTGTATTTCTTCTACAGAGTAAAAAAAGGAGACAGGCTCGAAACAGAGTTTGCCTCGAGCAATAAAAACAGTTTCCAAAATCTCCCCTTAGCCCTTGACCAAAAAAAATACCCCACATCATTCGACAGAGAAAAGAGGAAGACCACCAGTAGCTAATCTTTTATCCATTACGATGAGTGCACGAGTCTTGCGATCATTCCTTGAGTCCAACGTGCAGTTACCTTGAGCTCTTCATCCTCTGATTCGAGACACTCATTGAGGAACTCACCACAGAAGGTGAAGTTGTTAAACAACTGCTTCGTGTTCTCTCCTAAAACATCCGCAAGATCACCCATTGCTGCAACAGCGGCTTTTGTCACGCTCTCATCCCTGATCCCAAATCGAAACACAAGAAACGTCAGTCAATAAGGTGCGGTGAAACTACTGTATAACAGAAACCAGATGACATTTAAACTCTAATACGGACCTCAGGGAATCTTTGGATACGAGCTCAACAAACTGCAAGAGATGTTGAGCGTAGGGCATCATGAGCTCTGCCTTTTCATCCTTGAACCCTTGTAGTATCCCAGAGTAAGCCTCGAAGATGCTCCTCCGGAGTTGGTTTGCATAATCCATAAGCTCCTCGTCGAGGGTGTCCATCTGCGCGCACACCTGAGCAGCCCCTTGCATGATCTGAAGAGCTGGAGCTACATACCTACCAAAATTTGCACCGATCGCCAGCGCAATGTCTCCAAAGGATGAGAATATTGGAGGTTTCACCGATCTGTGGAGTGCATCACTCTTAAGGTTATGGATGAGGAGAGCCATGATCTGATCACAAAAAGGTGCGATTTTTTCATCTATGGCACGGCAAATGTCACCAATCACTCCTACGGTGATTGAGCAGACTTGGTATTCCTCGAAATTCTGCAGCCCCATCTGAATATATTTGAAGAGCTCAGGCATATATTTCACAAACTCAGAACCAGTCGCATATGCAAGCGCACCGATTGCAAGCATTGCTTCTTCGTGGACACTTGAACTGTGGCATCCAAACACTCTCAGGAACAGCACCATGATCTGATCTGCGTTCTGCATTATGATGGGTTTTGTCTCCTCTGTGCCGCTCAGCTTCTGGATTATGACCTGGAGAACACCACACAGAGAAGCCTGGAGCTCCGCTTGCTTCTCACGGTCCTCAGTTGATACTATCTGGAGGTCCATCGTCTGACCTAATTTCGTCATAATGACAGGGAGGAGCTGCGATATGATGCTCGAAGCCTCCGACAGGTTTGAACACCGGACAACCTCGTTCAAGGTTTCATATGCGGCACCTCTTAGCTTAGACTCTGCTCCATCTGTGCGCTCAGCAGCTGCAAGCAGATGTTTGATGATCTCTGTAAGATAGGGAGAGAGAAGAGAGGAACTCGCTCCAGAGTCTTCATATCCCTGTGCGAGGTTGTATATCGCTCCGCAGACCTTCTCGGCCACATTCGGCACATCTTTAATCGACTCCAGTAATACGCTCACAATTCTAGGGAGGTTTTCGGGTGATATAACAGAGAAGCCACTGTCTGGGGTGTGCAAAAACTCAAAGATACGGCTCAGAGTCCAAGCAGTTGTGTCCCTGACGTGGTTATTCTCATCCTTGGTTGCGGTAAGGAGGAATTCCAAGCCCGCAGCAACCATCGGGGCAAGCTTGTCAATTGTTGGCCCCTCCAAAATTGATCCGAAAGCATAAGTGGCTGCCTCCCGGCTTCGCCAGTTCGGCTTCCTTATGTTGATTTCAACAAAAGGCATCACGAGAGGGACTACACCATCTCCAACCGTTCTGGCAACGAGGCCAAGGCATGTCCCGCCAGCCATAGATATGTTCCAGACATCGTCGTCATGATCCTGATCCTCTTCCTGCTTCTCCAGAGTTTCTAGCAACATGGGAACTAAATGGGGAAGAGCCTTCTCTATGAAGGAGGAATGGGGAGGGGATGAGTCACCAGTATCAGGACTGTCGTACTCTTGACGGTCAATCTCTTCGTCACAGATGGAGCTCCAGAACTCAATTGCTTGGAGGGCAACGCTCTCTTCATCTCCCTTTACAGCATTTGATGTGAGCTGAAAGAGAGTTTCCATGTATTGCTGCAGAACCTCGTAGTATGTTGATGCAATGGACACGAGGCACTCGAAAGCAGCTTGCCTGATCTCCGCCTCCTTGGAACATGCTGTCTCGCATACCATCTTCATGATGTAAGTTCTCTCCATTTCATTCTCGAAATTTGTCTGAGAAAAATCCAGGGCATTCAACAGTGCCTTTGTCGCTGCAAGGCGAACTTCTGCAGGATTTTCAGACTGGTTCATGCCCTGCACAACTGCTGTGAGGACAGAGTTCACTTCATCCTGCACCAGATCATGATGAGATATCTCTTCACAGACATAGCCTAGAGTTTCTAAGGTTGACTGCTTCAAGTGTGCGGGACTGCCTTGCTGGGTCATATTGGTGAGCAGCGATCCAACAAGTTCAGGCCACTGCTTCTGAGGAATTTCAATGGAGGCTACCTTTGCAATAACCTGAGCTGAAGTATGCCTCGCCTCTAGAGCAGATGAACCAAGAGTTCTGAGTAACAGTTCCTTGATATGGGATTTAAGGGCAACGTCAATGGCTACCCATTGTTTCACCAGATGATCTTTTCTAGCAGAATCTTTGGCATCGAGGGAATTTTTCAGCAAAATACCAGCTAGTCGACGGGATTCAGATGGTTTATCATTGTTGGCAAGCTCAGAAGACAGGGATAAC